TGAATTGGGTTTGAAACTCTTTTTCACTCAGAGGCCTCATTCTCCTAGCCTAGACGACTAGACAGACAGTGCAAGAGTTTGACTTTGCCATCTATGATGGGCCCTTTCACCAAAACTCTGGCCTGATTGGACAAGTCTTTGTGGCCGTGTGGACTCCCACCTTCGAATCGTCATCAAACTCTCTGACTGCTCGTGTTGTCTACAGATTATGCCAATTCTTACCGGGGGTTTTCTGCTCCTACACCCTCCAATTTATGCAGAAACATCAACACTAGTAAGTCATGTTTTATGTCTTAGCTATTTTTGAGCTCTCTGAAGATTGCAACATAGAAACTGTTAATCGTTAGCTACCTGTGGCTATTCTATTTGCAAGCATGTCATATAGTACTGTTGGGAACATATTCATAATCTTAAGCTTGACAATCATTTCTGTGCATTGCTTAATGCAAAGGAGAAATTAATGATTTTATTACCTGAAAAAAATTTATGCAGATAATAGGACTGTTTCTCTTAATCTTTCTGCAAAGACCAATTAAAAAACATCAGGTTTGGCAGATTCTAGCTCTAAACAAGGTCACATGAACACAGTAAAAGGTGAATCAACTGCTTGGCTATCTCAAAGTTATGGTTACTATTTAGGCAAATGTTTTTGACTTCTTATATATTTACTTGTACACATAGCTCTTCAAGATCCAACATTCCTAGCTGGCATAAACATGACCATTCTTTTTTTTTTTTTTTTCCCCTGACAGCATCTTTAACTTGCTCTTCTGACAGGATGAGAGTTATTATAAGCAAATCTTACCTACAGGCTTTTAACTCTAATGGGAATACCTTACAACTAAAAGACCCAACTTGCAGACCAAAATTATCAAATGTTGTGGAATTTTCTATCCCTCTTAATGGATGTGGTACAATCAGAAAGGTAAAGTGAAATACTGATAGCTGGATTTTGTCAAATGCTGAGTGCATGTTGAGCAATGCAGTCAGGGTAATGCTCGCTAGCTGCTGTAACAAACAGCCCCCAAATTTTAGTGGCTTAACCACATGAGAAGCATGTGAAGACATATTAGTGCACATACCCATTCATACATAGCTGCTAAATTGCTGGATTCATTTTCAGGACAAGTGGGTTTATCTTTCACAGAAGGTAAAGAACTCTGAAAACTCACTAAAGAGAGTTTGAACATCTATATGCAGTTGGCTTAATAACCTACCAGTAACACTTATGCACAAAATGTTTACACCTTGTATTTAGTGAAGATCTAGCTGAATTTTTAGGATCTTCTTCTTTTCCTTTTAAAGACAGAAAATAAAATGTTAAAAAAAAATGAAACCTGAAGGATATTACTGAAGTTTGTGATTTGTTCTACATTTTTCTAGAAGTCCCATTCAAGATTTCAAACATTTTCAACCTTTGGTCTCTTTAGGATACATACCATAAACTTTTCCCTCAGACATTAAATAATAACCTAATTGAAAAGAATGGTGGCTAATCCAGAGGAATTGATAAAGACAGAAGTAAATCATCGTATCTTGCTAAAAATGAACACATAGGCTTTATTACACTGTGAACCCCCAGGGAAGGCAGCTAAGGGCCTTCCTCTTGCAGACCCTTGGTCTACATATATTTTGGAAACTGCCCCGTTAGCCACACTAACTTAAAGCTCCTTAAGGAAAGCAATATATAGTAAGGTTTAATGTCTTCTCAAGACTGGAAATTTGCATTCAAAATGGATTTTACTGTAACTGAAAAAAATTCTGTCTGATTCTATCTTCAGGTCTCTGTAATACAAGCTGTATTTCTCATCTCATTCTTTCTTTCTTTCCTAGAATATTTCTTCAATGAAATACATTTAAGGTTTATAGTATTCTGACATGAAAGCTGTTACCTCGTGATTTAAGAAAATTATATCTGTACCTGCAAATGTTATCCACATCTATGCTCTAAAATATTACTGGATTTAAAATATAAAAATTGAATTGTATCTTGTTCTGCAGGTAGAAGATCAGTCAATTACTTACACCAATATAATCACCTTTTCTGCATCCTCACCTTCTGAAGTGATCACCCGTCAGAAACAACTCCAGATTATTGTGAAGTGTGAAATGGAACATAATTCTACAGTGGGGTTGATATATACATAACAGAAGATGATGTAATACAAAATCAAAATGCACTGGGCAAATATAACACAAGCATGGCTCTTTTTGAATCCGATTCATTTGAAAAGACTATACTCGAGTCACCATATTACGTGGATTTGAACCAAACTCTTTTTGTTCAAGTTAGTGTGCACACCTCAGATCCAAATTTGGTGGTGTTTCTGGATACCTGTAGAGCCTCTCCCACCTCTGACCTTGCGTCTCCAACCTATGACCTAATCAAGAGTGGGTATGTATTAATGTAACTGATGTATGTATGGTATTTCTTCCTGTGGAATAATAATTTCAATAAAGTAATTTTTTGTGTTGTATATATATACATTTTTCCTAGTACTACATGAAATTTCATTAAATTTATTCTAATCATTTTATAAAATACAATTACTATGTACCAATTATGAATAATTTAAATTTAAACATTTATGCAGATACAGCTTATATCCTCTAGAATTTTAAGTGTATTTACAAAATATTTGCTGGTAGAAACAAATTTATTTTTGTTATAAAAGCTCTATTTTTGTTTTTGTTTTTTGCACATTTTGGTTTTTGTGAAGCAAAACCTAGAAGATTATTTCATGTGTATTATCTTTAAAATACAACGCCATCAGTAAAACACATGTAGCATCCTTAAGAAAAAATGTAGAAAGTTCTTATTTGAAAGGAACAATTTCCTTTTTTCCTTACAATTTGTTGGATTTTAACTATGTCATTTGTACTGATACATTAATGATAAACATGTAAGGAAAGAAGTCTGACTTCCAATACATAAGTATTGGTTTTCTGATTAAGTTATATGGACCAGGAATTTTAGAGCTAGAAAGAACCTTGCTATCTTACCCAGGAATCAGATCTATAGTCTTAACACACTGTAGTGTAAACTAGAGACACCGTCTTTCACGAGAGATTTTTGGATTCACAACTTAATTCAGAGAAAATTTTTGGAATGGAAAAGACTGAATTTGTCTGTATTTTCTAAACATGTTCATAAATTCTGTTCCAGATGTAGTCGAGATGAGACTTGTAAGGTGTATCCCTTATTTGGACACTATGGGAGATTCCAGTTTAATGCTTTTAAATTCTTGAGAAGTTTGAGCTCCGTGTATCTGCAATGTAAAGTTTTGATATGTGATAGCAGTGACCACCAGTCTCGCTGCAGTCAAGGTTGTGTCTCCAGAAGCAAACGAGACATTTCTCCATATAAATGGAAAACAGATTCCATCATAGGACCCATTCGTCTGAAAAGGGATCGAAGTGCAAGTGGTAATTCAGGTAAGACAAAAAGCTATTTCATGATCAAAAAGCACATCATGGCTCATAAAATGCTGCTTAAATCCAGTAACTCTTAAGCATGTACAGTTTAGAGATTTATAATAGGAGCTTTAACAAATAAGTTGAATTTTAAGTATACAGGATTAGTATTTGTTTCCATCAGTTGATAATATGCATACTATGTACAGTGTAAGCATATGATACACTGATAGTTTGCCATTCATTTGGATTTTGAGTTTAAGTATAATGTCCTCATCTCTAAAAACAAATTTCCTTTAGTTTCCTGACTCCTTATTATAGATGCCATAGCAGATAATTGAATTGAAAGCAATGTATTTTAACTCCTAAATGAGTAAAACAAAATGAACCAGCATTCCACATAATAGCCTATTTGAAAAAAAGTTATTTTTTTTAAAAAAAAACCAAAGAATCTATTATATTAACATAGGCCAGCCCTGCTTCTTTTGAAAGGCTTGAAACCTGAGATCTGCCCAGATACATGAAAGGAATGATGGTAAATACTCAAGGAAGGTTCATAATTAAATGGCTTAAGATAAGCCTTAATGAAAGAAAAACGGTAAGAAGTTATTTTAGTTGAAAATGGCATTAAAGGACCTTATGATCTCTGTATTTATTCATTATTATTAGCACGATAAAGGAGTATTTGTAACAAAATATTTCTATGGCAAAAACAGAAAAACAAACAGAAATTAAATTCAGTAATTTTATAAACTCATTCACTAAGTGGCTTACATAGTGTATCTATAGACACTGGTCTGAAATTAGTTGAAAATTTATAAATGGAAGTCATTATGGAAATACCATCAATATGAGAAAAGTATCTTTTTCCTATTTCAAGGGAATGAACAAAATTTTTTTTTTCTGTTGACAAAATGTATTTTGGCAACAGTGAGCAACAGTGACCATTAGTAAGTGAAGCTGCATTTCCATTAGACTGTTATGCTTGAGTTTTACACATTTTTCACGTGATATCAAGAAACCAAACTAAGTCAACTGTTTGAAACGAGTTTAAAATTAAATATAAATATAAATGAATTCAAATATTTGATAATGGTTCCTCTATATTGTGTTGGCATTATGTGTTATACATTAACTCATATATGAGTCATAGGATATGTACAGGTATTATAAAAGCTACCAACATTTTATAATGTTAACACTTCTTAAAAAGTGATTTTCATCTTGTTTCCCATTTTAGGATTTCAGCATGAAACACATGCGGAAGAAACTCCAAACCAACCTTTCAACAGTCTGCATCTGTTTTCATTCATGGTTCTAGTTCTGAATGTAGTGATTGTAGCCATAATCACAGTGAGGCATTTTGTAAATCAACGGGCATACTACAAATACCAGAAGCTGCAGAACTATTAACCAACAGGTCCAACCCTAAGTGAGACACGTTCCTCCAGGATGCCAAAGGAAATGCTACCTCGTGGCTACATATATTATGAATAAATTAGGAAGGGCCTGAAAGTGACACACAGGCCTGCATGTCACTGTGTCAGTGTGTTTCTTTACAGGACGATGGAAATAAGTACCATGCTAGTTGGCTCTCATTTTAGGAACTAAAGATACAAAAATATTACATGAGGCTGGGCATGTGGCTCACGCCTATAATCTCAGCACTTTGGGAGGCCAAGGTGGGTGGATCACCTGAGGTCCGGAGTTCGAGACCAGCTGACGAACATGGTGAAACCCCGTCTCTACTAAAAATACAAAAATTAGCCCCGGGTGCAGTGGCACGTGCCTGTCATCCCAGCCACTCGGGAGGCTGAGGCAGGAGAGTCACTTGAACCTGGGAGGCGGAGGTTGCAGTGAGCCAAGATCACGCCATTGCACTCCAGCCTGGGCAACAAGAGCGAAACTCTGTCTCAAAAATAAAAATAAAAAAAATAAAAAAAATTACACGAATTAACACCTCCTTTTATAAATACAAAGCATTTTAACCAAATATTAGGTGAAAAGGGTTATTTTTACTTAAGAAAAGTAGCCTTCAAAGATAGATGTGTTTATTTTTTAGATGCAAATATGCTACTCTTTGAAACATCAAAAGTTACAATTTCTGAAACTAAAGCGTGAGGAGAACCGCAGTCTCCTTGATCCACGTGCCTTCCTGCTTTCATGCAGAGCCTCACCATTTCTCACTGTAAGCATTTCAGGACAGGGCTCTGGATAGACAAATGTGAGCATAAAATGAGAAACTTCATACCGTTTCTGGGTTAATGAGATGAAATCATTTTTCTTCCCCTTCATCATCAAGCGCCAAAGCCAAAGGTTCATTGTTCTCAACTAGTAGCCAGTTTGGGTTTACACTTTCCCATTTACTGTGGCTGAACAAATACAATTAAAGACCCCAGTGTGCACTGATTTTACACATGAAAACATAGAATCTAATAACCCTAGATGATCAACACAACTCTCTCTCATCATCTAACAACACACATAGTTTCAGGTTCTAATATGCATCCGAACAGGTAACCACATTCCCAAATGCCCAAAGGCATTCTCCTTCCTTCTAAACATGCATCGCATCTACAGGATGCTGAAGAGAATACATGGTGGACATGACAGAATCTCTGCCCTCACAGAACATGCCCTTGGGACACTGATTGATTTTCTAGCTCCAAATCACAACAGATCTTCCCCATTTTCTTTTCATTATCTCCATGCCAATCTCCTAAATATTAATATCTCAGGCAGCCACACAGTGACTCTTTTCTATGTTCATCCAGGTAGCCTAAGTTGAACGACTGCAAAGTTATTTTTTAACCTAACGTGAAAACCCCTAAACATTTGATTAGAATGGGCAAATCAGGTTAAATGCTTATAAAATAGTCTGGTCTGGTCACAACCCTTCAGTCATCTCTCTATCAGGAAATGACTGGACATTCTCTGCTGGCCAACATGGTAGGGATTCAGATGCATAGCGCGCACAAAAGTGTAATGCTGAGAAAATGATCAAATATTGCAACTCACTAGATGGTGTAAAATCATATTACCAAGAATCATAAGATCATTTGTAGTGGAGCTATTGAGGTATATCTCCAATATCAGTGCATATGCATTGTTAATATGTGTGTTACTATTTAAGTTTTCTTTGTTTAGAAAGGACTCCAGAGAAGTGAAGTGATAAAAGTTCCTAGGTCTGGGGTGGGTGGCCTGGATTCTAGTTCTTCCCACTTACCTGGTGGGTTACATGAGCTAGGTCACCTTTTAATCCTCACCTGTGGTGAGGATTAAAAAAGAGAATGTGTTTGCAGTTAGGAGCCATCCATGTTCCACTTACCACCAGCGAGAAGTTCTTACTGCCAGCACCAAAATCCTGTTCCAGAATCTGCTTCTAATATGCCTGGGCCACACCTGTTATAGGTTGGGTTCTGGGGAAACAGACTCTGACACAGAGGCTGGTATACAGGAGACTTCCTCAGGGGTGTGCTCGGGATCAGCGCCTGTGTCCCAGAAGGGAAGCAGAAGCAGGCAGGGGAGTTGGTGCACAAAGAAGCAGCTGCAGCAGCGCGGGCCCAGTCACTCCCCCAGGGTGTCCTGGGGCCGCTCTGTTCTTCCGAGACGCCCCACTGAGGCACGGTGCTCAGCCCTTTCTATGCTTCTGCGGATCAGTCATTGACTGAGGGCTGCCTGAGGGTGGAGGGGCTGCGAACTTGGATTAGACAACAGCCTGGAGCTAAGGGAAATTCCTGGCGAGCGGTGGCACCAAGAGCCGCCAGCCGCCAACACTCTCAGCAGCCTGGAGAATGAGTGACTTTCTCTGATGGGACATCTGGGTGTCACCCTAGAGCAGCCATTCTACTCACCTCCTAAAAGGGATGGATTTTCAGAATATTTTACAAAGTAACTCTATATTGTATTCAAAAGACTCGCTTAACATAGTGTTTTGGAGAAGCTAAAAATGAAGAGATGGGCAATGGAATACCAGGCACAGGCAAACTAGAGGGGCGGGGTGGGGCGCAGCGGGGTGGAATCCAGGCTGCCTCTGCTTTCCCGAGGCAGGTGGGGTCACCTCATTACTGCTGGGCTGGGGTGAAAGTCCTGGCTCTCCATTGGGCCTCTTCTAACCAGGATAGAATAAAAGGGTGTCTTATCCCTTCCAAGTAGGGGTAAAAATGGAAGTCTAGGCTCACCACCTGGTCTGCACCTGACATGAGGGCTGCAGGTGAGAGTCTCATTACCACCTAGAGGTGATGAGCATCCCAGTCCCCGCTTTGCCTTCTCTGACATCACTCTGGATGAGGGAGGGGAAGAGAAGGAGTGCTGGGGGAAGGCAGAAGTCTAGGCTTTCCACTCAACGTTTGCTGGCTGGGATGAAGGTGGGACCACAGTGTTTCCCAGGGCAGTTAGCTAGAGAGGACAGTTTTCATCCAAGTGTTTTCTGTCTTGCTAGGTTGCTCCTTTGCTGGTCCTTTGGCTAGAGAGAGCAGGCTTTTCTTGGTTCTTTTTGGTCTGTACCCTTGGTGTTTCCTGATTGCAGGCTTTTTCCTGTGAAGTGCATTTTGATCCATGGCTTTCAAACTTCAGCCTTTCTGAGAATCACCTGGAATGCTTTTGGAGAAGGTTGCTTCCTGGATCCCATCCTTTGAACCACACACCAAGAGGAACTGATCTGGAAGTTCTTTTGGACCCCTGTTTATTAAAATGTTAGTTCTTTCATTGTCAATACTTTTCATATTAGGGATTTGTTAAAAGTCATAAAACGCTAGGTTTTGGTAGATGTTAGCTTCTACTTCCTCAACATGCTATGGACTATGAATAAATACAGTTAATGGGGAGATGACTTTGAAAGTAGAAACTCTAGCAGCCTACAATTACTTGGAAAAGCTTCTTTATTCATTTGAAGCCCTTGCATGAAATACACATCAAATACTAAAATCATTGTTTCATTTGACTAAAGTTGGAGCTACTCAGGGACAAATAATTAACTCTGATTTAAAGACGTCATTTTCACCAAATTGTCCAGTAATCACATTTCATCAATTTCTGTGTATAAGCAGGGAACTTCATTAAAATAAATACCAGTATATTTTACCAAGACAGTTGTTGATGAAGGGAAAATTTGTAAAGAAACAGATGTTCGACTCACAGGCTACACCCTTCCTTGGGTCATTTGTCAAATTTTTAACCTTGAGGACCTCAGGGTTAGCTCCCAGGCTCTACCAAAAACTGCCCTCCTCCATCGGGGACTTGACAATACTGTCGTCCCATCCTGTGTATGCCATTTATTGACTAAGAGGGGAACTAGTCCTTGGAGATGGGGACCCATCTTTTAAATATTGCTACTGAATATTTCTTGACAAGCAAAAATAAAAATCTGACTATGTTCAAGTCAGTTTCTTTAAAGACACCTTCAAGGATAGTGAGTCTAGCACGGGTCTCTTTCTATTAAGGTAGAAAGTTAGATGAGAGATGAGAGTGGATGCTGCTCTCCTTCTCTGGGAGGATGCTGGAATAAGCTAATCTTCCCTTGTTTGCTTTTCAGGTTTTATGTGTACTTTTCAAGTTTCCCAAATGCTTGGAGGATTTGGGAAACAGACTGAGAACATGGCCACATGAACTCCTGGTAGTGAAGGAGGAAGTGGGATTCAACTCTAGAGGTGGAGCTCGGGCACTGGACCAAATTGGAGACTAACTAAAACAGGGCTGGGGTGGAAGCAGCTTTCAATCAGACATGCCCACCAGGGTGCCATGTCAATTTACTGTTGCCACGGCAGCACCTGGGAGTTACTGCCCCTTTCCATGTCAATGACCCACTGACTCAACAGTTACTACCCCTTGTCTAGAAATTTACGCACAAACCAACACTTAATCTGCATGCAATTAAAAGTGAGTATTAATATTAATATGACTGCAAAACTGCCCTGAGCTGCTACTCTTCGCTTACAGGGTAGCCCTGCTCTGCAGGAGCAGTCATGGAGCTGTCACACTGCTGGACCTGTAACATTGCCTCTTTGATAAAGCTGTTTTCTTCTACCTCTAGCTTGCTCTTGAGTTCTTCCATGGGCAAAACCAAGAACGCTCGCAGGCTAAGCTCCACTTTGGGGCTCACCTGCCCTGCATCAGCAGCTCAGACAGCAGATACGTGGTTCCTGTGATTGCATTTCAGTCTTTCATTTGCAAGCTATAACCCAAACCCAAAAAAGCCTAGGTCCAATTTATTCCCATTGAAACAAAATGGTAAAAGCTTGTTGTGATGAGTAAATGACATGCTTGATTCGAGCAGCCAGTTAGAATTTTAAAAAATGAGTAGAGTTTAAAAAAATGAGTGAAGTTTAAAAAAATGAGTGACAGTTTATTTTTCGTAAGACTCTTGGCAAGAGCTGAAAATAAATCCTCGTACCATCAGAGGATAAAAACAGAGATCCACTTAATAGCATCTGATAATTAGTCAACTTAAAAAGACAATCTTTAAATGAACAATGCAGTATAGAGAGAAAACCCTGCTCTTTGTCACATTTTGTACACTTTAAGACAAGAATTAGAAAATGTAGCATTTGTGGTGGCACAGAGAGTAATTGCCTTAGAAGTTTAGTAATCAGAGAAGATTTATTTAGTAACAAACCTCAGAGAAACAGTCCCCTCTGGCTGTTTCTTTGACCTGTCTCTATGCGGATAGCTTCTGATTGGTCAAACATACTGAAGAGAAATAGACGTTGCTTTCTACAGATTCACATGGAAATTGCAGAAATCACTCAAGAGTCTTCCTCTGAGCAGTGACTTTGTGGATCTCCAGTGGCCCCACCATTTGGAAATGCTCAGTCTGCTCTTCCTTGGTCTCCATGGGGCCTGCACCTCTCCTACTCTGTCCTGCACAGCCCCTGGAGCAGAGAGAGGCATAGTCCCCCACTTTGCACACTGCAACCTTACACTGCAGATATACCACATCATAGCTGTCAAGAAAGCTGAAGGCATTGAACTTGAACCGAGCCATGTTCTTCTGGCGGGGATGGAGGTTGACGTAGGTATTGTCTTTGATGCACCCGATGGGGAGAAAAACCCCAGGACAAAAAGATTAACTTAAAGCATGATATGAGTTCACTGCAACCCAGATAATCAGGCATGGACCCAGATCTCTGAATTGCAAATAGAGTTCTTCCCACTACCCACTCTTTCTTTCATAAAGAAACTTTTTAACACTACTATGAGTGGAAAAACCACTATTCCTGGACATAAACAGAAAGGAACTAGAAAATAAACACAATAAAACCAAAAAAAGTAATTAAATTCTAGGTAGAACTCTTGCCTTCAAAAGGCCTATTGTATTTTGTCCAAAGAGAGATGAAAAGTGTTGGTGGTTTTATTTGAAGACAAACTTAGATTTTTTTAAAAAGTATATCAGTAAACCCTAGGGAAACCACAAAAAAAAAAAGAAAGAAAAAAAAAAAGAAAAAAAAGAAGTGATGCATTAAGAGGAGATAAAATGAGTCATATAAAATGCTCAGTTAAAACTGGAGAAAGCAGCAAAAGGAGTGTGAGGAGAGAAACAAGGAACAAATGCAACTAATAGAAAATAGTTACCAAGATGGTAGATTTTAATTCAATGACATCAAGAATCACTTTAAACATAAATGGTCTAAATATACCAATTTAGAGGCAAAGTAGATTAAAAAACAAGTCCCAACTATTTATTATCTATAAGAAACCCACTTTAAATATAAAGACTCTGATAAGTTAAAAGTAAAGGGATGAAGAAAGATATACCGTGCAAATACTAATCAAAAGAAAGGTGGAGTAGCTATATTAATTTCAGAAAAAAATAAACTTCAGAGCCAGGGTAACTATCAGGAAGCAAGAGGGGTATTACATGAAAAGAAAGTGATCAGTTCTCCAAGAAGACACAATAATTTTTTTTTTTTTTTTGAGACAGAGTCTCACTTTATCGCCCAGGCTGGAGTGCAGTGGTGTGATATCGGCTCACTGCAAGCTCCGCCTCCCAGGTTCATGCCATTCTCCTGCCTCAGCCTCCCAAGTAACTGGGGCTACAAGCACCCGTCACCACACCCGGCTAATTTTTTTGTATTTTTAGTAGAGATGGAGTTTCACTATGTTAACCAAGATGGTCTCGATCTCCTGACTTCATGATCCACCCACCTCGGCCTCCCAAAGTGCTGGGATTACAGGCGTGAGCCACCGCGCCTGGCCACAATAATTTTTCTTGTGTAAGCATGTAACACAGTTTTAGATAGAACTGCAAAGAAAATCAACAAATCCACTATCATAGCTGGATACTTCAAACTCCGCCAACAGTAGTTGATAGATCCAGCAGGAAGAAAACCAGTGAGGATACAGATGATCTAAACAGTACTCTCCATCCACTAGATCAAATTGGCATTTATAGAGCCCCCCATCCAGCAACAGCAGAACACAAATTCTTCTCAAGCCCACATGGAATATTCATCAGGACAGACCACATTCTGGGCCATAAAAGACACCTTAACAAATTTAAAAGAACAGAAATCACACAAAATACATTATCAGATCACCATGGAATTAAACTAAAAATTAATGAGAGAACAATTCCTGGAAAATTCCCAAATGTTTGGAAATTAAACAACACACTTCTAAGTAACCCATGGGTCAAATAAATCTCAAAAGAGAAATTAAAAAATATTTTGAACTAAGTGATAATGAATATACAAGTTACCAAAAATTTGTGGAATGCAGCTAAAGCAGTGCTTAGAGGGAAATTTATAAAATACATATATTAGAAAAGAAGAAATATCTAAAATCTATAGTCTAAGCTTTGAAAACTTAGAGGAAGAAGAACAAATTAAGCCTGAAGAAAGCAGAAGGAAAAAGCGTCAGTTATTAAATTCTGGCACCAAACTGAGCCTCTTGCCTGACATCTTTATAAGGGGGGTTGAAAGGGAAGAACTTTCTCACTCTGTGGCTCAATGCAGTTTAGCGCCACCTCCGTGCACCTCTCACACCATGGCTCACACTCCCTGTGGAAGGTGCTGTGTCCTGTCCCTCCCCTGGCTTTTGGAAACAGGTACCACAGTGCTTCAGGGTGGACTTTAGGGTGCTGTGGTCTTCACCACTCTAAAGCTACCATTGAATAGTAAGTGATAGATTTTTGTTGTTTTCAAACTTGTTGCCAACTGCCCATCTATAAGCACTTTGCCTCTGTTAGGGGACAAGAGAGCTATACAGGCAAACAATTGGCCGAAGTTCTAACTTGGCAAATCTTTTGGTTAACCAAAGGAGCCAGAATAAGTCTCACAAGTATAACTAAGATCTTAGCTTGGGATAACCTATTAGTTCATTAGTGTAGGTCAATGCCTCGAGGGCCTACACCATGAATGGGGAGTCCAGTGAAGTCATACGGCTGGAAGGGACTGGAAGGGAAGGAGGCATGGACATGAAAGGGTGAGGTGAGGCAGCAGAGCCCAGGATAGCAAGGGCCCTCCCCAGGACTGTGGGGAGTAAAGGGAAGATGTCTGTAACTGCCTGCCTATAACTATTTGTCACCGGTTGTGATCAGAGGATGGTGAGGGCCCCCACTGTGCCTCTGAGACAGAGTAAGGACTCTGCACAAAGTTCTGATGTAGGAATACCAGTTGAGAAGCCACAGGTTCCCTAAAGGCATGCCAGGTGAATATAACAGTCCACCCAGAGGGCCTTCCATCTTCCTTACCCCTGCCGGATCAAATCATACTTGATGGTTATAAAATCTTGGGGATCTGGAGAAGCCACACAGGTATCCACGAAGAGCATCAGGTTGGGATTGGGGCTGTGGAGGGTGGCTTGGAGGAAGACCTCTTTCCTCTGGCTGTCGTAGTAGGGCACCATGCCTTCCACAGGCTGGGACTTGGGGGACTGGAGGAAGGATATGGACACGGTGTAGCCAGCACCCTCCATCGGAGCGTCATCCCCATGAATGATTTCAACTGTGGATGGACCGTCCACCCTACAGGTGAACTTCAGCTTGGGCACCTTGTGCCGCACGATGACTTGGCCAGGGTGGCCCCGTGTCCGGCCTCTGATGGAGTTGGAGTAGCTGAGGGAGCCGAGGTGCTCCTGTGAGGATGAGAGAAGAGCTGTGAGCAGCACTCTTGACTCCCTGACAAACACCTGCCTCCATGAGCTGAGACCTCTCTTTCCCACCTTACTTGGTGCCAGCTTGCTGACCTGCAGGAGGGAGGACCTCCTGGGGACAGACCTCTGTGGTGCTTACCACCACAAAAGGGTGACATGACATGTGGGGTGCATGCAGGGAGCCCCCAGTGGGCAAGTCTGGACTGTCCCTTCCATCCTACGAGGACCAAGCTGTTGTACTAGCTGTGAGCTGGGGTGGCAGGTCCAGCTGCTCCAAGCTCCCCTTCTCCACAAGCTCCATTCCTGCAGGCTCCTGAAGGCCAACACCCCCTTGCCCCCGGGCTCTTGTCCTCTCTTTGGTCTCTTCCCTGCCCTCGACTCCAGACCAGTACTGGCTCCATGTGAGCTGTGAGCCTGGCCCTGCTGAACTTCACTCCCAGCCTTCAAATCCAACATGACTTGCAGGAAGTAAGGTTGTGCTAGGGCCAACAGGGAGGGGTCCCTGCCTCTCATGCCCTGTGCAGATGCCTAGAGGTTCAGCCTGCCCAGGAACATTTGCTCAAAGAAGCCTCAGCTTGTGGGACTCAGATCCTGTGATATTCTGCTTGGAACCTCCAAGAACTGCCCTGTCAGCTTAAGCCAATGTTTATCAACTTTATTCTACCACGGCCCCACTAAGGAGCCTTTGTAGACGTCTTACTCATCCTGGCCACTCTCAAACCCTGTCTATGAATTGTAATACAAGTACACTGCTTATATACCAGATGTGTATCTGTGCTTGAGCTAGAAAGAAAGACATTATTATTTTTGCCTCTAAGATCCAGTATCTATCTCCCCTGCCACCCATAAAGGTGACATTACCCTCCTTGAGAATCCCTGACTTAGAATAAAAGTCAAACTCCTCACCCACATGGTCCTGCCCTCCTTCCACTCTAATCTTGGGCTTCCTGGCCTCTGATCTCTTCCCGAAAGCCCCAAGGCTGTGGCTGCCACAGGACCTCGGCCCTGGCTGATCCCCACATCCTCTGCCTGGCTGCCCCACCCCAGCACAGGCTCAGCTTCCCAGCCACCAGCCTACACAACACGGCTTCCCTTCCACCCCCAAATGACTCTTCTACCCCTCCCTTGTATTCCTGTCTTCTTAACCTCTTTTGGTATAAAAAGGACCCTGGTTTGTGTTTGGTCCAATCCTGTCCCCGTTTTCATGAATGTAAGGGCCATGGAGCAGGGGCTCTGTTGGTCTTATGGCTGCTGTGTCCCCAGTACCTAGAAGGTGACCCATCCACTGACTCCGAAAGCAGACATGGACCTCTGTGCAGCAGTGTTTTCCTTATCAGTGCTCCCTGATCCTGCTGACTGCTACCCCAGCACCCTGGTCAGCTCATGGGGTTTTCAGGGGAAGCTGAGCCAGCCAGGCCAAAAAGAACATTTGCAGGGTCTTCCCTGATGGCCCAGAAGCTTCCCTGGGGGTGCCCACTTCCCAGACACAGGAGGCATGGATTCTGGGGCAGAAACTTCTGAGGTTAAAAGTAGAATTCTCAAAGCAAAAAGGATAAGAATGACTATGATCTCTACAATGAAATAGACAAAATGTGAATGAATTGAACCTCTAACAATGTCAAGGGTTTCCTGGCCTCATGTTTGTTTCTAATCAGGGGATGTAAAAGAATAGAGAAGCAGTATGGGGATCTTGCTTGGGAGCAGGTTACCCTGTTTAAATACTGAGAAAAAAATTTTCTGTGGTTATACACTCTCCCTATATCTCTGGTGTACCTGCTTCCTTAACTTCAATACCATTGTTTTGTGAAATAAAACAGTGGTTAAGGAAAATTAAATAAACATATGTATGCCATGATTTAGAAATGTCCTAAAGGTTTGCTTTCTTGATCATGGAATGCAGTTACCTGCTTAGAAACCTAGCAGTCAGATGGGCAAGTGGACAATCTGTCTTCCCACATGCCTGTCACCATAGTTGCACGTGGTAGGTGTGCACCAATGCTCAATCAAGAGGCATGTGTGGAAAATACATTGCCTCTGGAGTGAAAATAATATACCATCTATCCATCCATTCACCCCTCCACACATCCATCAGCCCATCAGCACTCACTACTTGTTATCATGTATCCCAAATTCCCCAAAGGAAGGAAAGTTTCAAACTAGTGAGCTGCTCTATGTCTCGCCAAACTCAGAAATGAAGTTATGGTTTGCACTTTCCCTCTGTCCTTACACAGGTTTTTAATAGGTGGTTGAATTTCCCAAACTTTTCACCACAGAAGGGTAGCACCACCTGGAAAGTGTCCTACCTGCTGGATAGTGCCACAGTGGCCATAGGGAATGTTGAAGATCAGGTAGCGTCCCATGACTTTGGGGCGACATAGCTCATCATTTAAGTGGATGTCCCAGGAGGAGTAGCCCAGCCTCCGGAGATAGCCTCGGTCAATAACGGCTTGGAAGAGGTGAGGCAAGCAGGATAGCTGGGCTGCAGAAGGGGAAGATGGAGAAATCCTCACAAAGAGAAACTGGTTCACTGGTCATGTAGATCCTGGGTGCGGGTATATCTTTACTTCATTAGACTACCATGAACAATGCCCTCAACTGGGGCTGGCTCAGCTCTCCTCACATCCCACCCTTGACTTGACTTTCATTAATTTTACTTATACCCATCCTTTTCCAAGAAGCCTTTGAGGTCACACCACACCCATGGGGAATCCTACCCACAGCCCACGTTCCATGAATGGCTCATTTCTCATGTTGAGAACCCTGTGCCTGAACATGATCTATCTGGGTCTTTGTATGGAAGTTAGTTGGAGAAAGGGAGCCTGGGTACAAAGGCGCTTTTTCCCAACCTCCTAAAACCCAGCAAGTGGGTGGAAATCCAGAGATCTCAGTGGAAACACAGAAGCAGGTCCCTCTCACAGCCTGTTCTTTCTGCCCTACTTGGCTGCTTTCTTAGCTCCCCCATCAGCATCCTTAGCCCCAGACCCTAGAGGGGAGAAGACTTTACCATTGTCCTTAGGCACAAGAGAGTCAGCCGGACCTGGTGAGAGAAGGATGAAAACAAATGTCAACTGTGTTGGAAAACAGCAAGAGGATAATGTAGCTGGTAGTAGACATGCAGTGTAGAGGAATGGGATCATTTGATTTCGCTACTAAAGCTGGGGTACAGTGGCATGAGAATTTTCCAGGGCATGCAAAGGAAAGGAGGGCCCAGGGCTTCCTGATGGAGCTGGAGCCTGGCATATGTGAACTAGAGTTGAGAATACATGTGTCATCAATTCCAAGATTTATTGGAGCAAGAGAATGGCAGACACATGGCTTCTAAAGTTATAACGCTATCCTGTGTATGAACACTGATTGGTGTCCTTTCCCAAGCACACAACAGACTTGGAGCCTCAAGCTGGGAAAGATGTAATTTGCAGATATCAGTCTTCTTCAGCTCAGAAGCAAGGCAGGACAGTACCCCAGAGCCCAGCCCAGGAAGCATGGCCAGCTAGGTTCACTGAACCCCTGAGTGAATGTCCAAAGGACTCACTTGGTATATAATCCAAGAATGGAAAATGGATTGTCATTTAGAATCGGTCCCCTGACAGCATCAGGAATAGCTGGAACCAGGAACTGATATAATCAAAACAAGGATCTGGAAGGTGAGGGCCCCATGACCCTAGCACACATTCATACTCCTTGGCTCAGTGTGATTCATGTCTGTCTTCAGGGGCCTCTGACAGCTTTTCTATTTGGGTCTCATGTCTATGCCAAACAAGGCAACATCTACAAAAGCAAAAGCAATGGCAACAATTCCTTTGATTTACCCATAAAAAGCTAAGAATGGAATAGACAAGGTAAGCTCAGACTTGTTTATCAAATCTTAGAATTCTGTAACTCCTTGAGGTTTAGGGTAAGTTTAGAACACACGTAAAGAAGCACTGCTCCATACAGAAGGTAGTCAACCTTTTGAAATCAGAATCCTCAGATGTAGGGTGATAAAATACATTCTAGGAAAGGTATAGGCCAAATCTTGGATGAAAGGGACATCAGAGGAGCCAGGGACACCCTGGGGTGTCTTTCTGACTTCTGAGGGACAGGTCCAGGTGAGGAGGAGTGTCTATCCAGAACTATGCTCTTGAAGCCCTCCTCCGAGATGGAAAGAGGGACTGGACAAATGGTAGACAAACAGCAGCAAGTTCGATGGCCTTAGTCATTTTGTTACACAGTCACTCCTTCCTTTGACCCCATCATCGTTTAGCTGTATTTCAGAACCAATACCGCGCTGAACTGGAATTGGACAAAAGTGATGAGTGCGCCCCCAAGCCTGGATTATTTACCACCAAGGGCACCGAACCAGCATGCCCTCGGTAGCATAGGATCTGGGACCCTGGCCGCACCTGATATCCCCAGGGTGATGAATTTGGAGCCCAGGAATGTGAGGAGAGAAAAGGCAGGGTGGGCAGGGAACGCGGTACCTGCGCACACCACGCCCGCATCCTCGCGGTGCTGGCAGTTGTGTCGGGCCCACCCCGAGTGGGCGCAGCGTTCCAGCGCGTCCTCATTGCCGGCGCAGCGCACATCGTCCAACAGGATGGGCCCGGTGCCCTGGCCAAAGCGGCCGCGGCCCGGGGCACCCAGAGCGCGGCCGCAACCCAGGAGGCGGCACACCACGCGGGCGTTCCTGATGTTCCAGTGGTCGTCGCACACCGTGCCCCACACGCCCTGGTGCCGCAGCTCCACCCGGCCCTCGCAGCGGCTTCGCCCGCCCGCCAGGCGCAGGGGTGGCTCTGTGTGGCGAGAGAAGCAGTCAGGTGGGAAGAAACTCGAGGTCAGGTTTCCATCCTGTGCAGGATCGCAGGGTGCCACTTGCTATTTGCAATACGAGCTGTTTCTGGTTTTGTTTCTCTCTCTCTCTCTTTCTCTCTCTCTCTTTCTCTCTCTCTCTCTCTCTCTCTCTCTCTCTCACACACACACACACACACACTCTCTCTCTCTTTCTCTTTCTCTCATACAGTAAAGCCTTAATTATCTGAAGTCCTCAAGGAATGGTCCTTGTGGGCAAGCCTAGTTTTCCAGGTACCTAAGAACTTAATCTTTAAGCAAAAATATAAAAACCCAAAGAAAACAAAACAAACAGGCAAAACAAAAAACCCAAACACTTTCAAATCTTCAGGAGACAGTTGTTCTAAAATGAGGTACTGCCTTGACTCATTAAACATGTATCCAATGAAACTACTTTTACTCTTGATGGCTAAGAGCTCATACATTTGCTCTAAAATCCATATTGTACAACCCAGCTCTTCCACTTGGTATTTACTCAAGAGGAACGAATGTGCATGTCCACAGAAAGATTTGGACATAGCAGAAGCCCCCACAACAGCCCAAATCCAGAAACAATCCAGGTGTCCCTCTGCAGGAGAAGGGGTAAATCATGGTATAGGCACACGGTGGAATAATACTGTACAGTAAAAAAGTCACAAATGACCAATACATTTGTTCCTTTATGAATCCCAAAAACATTTTAAGTGAAAGAAGTTAGAAACATGACAGCACATGTTATTTGATTCCATTTATATGACATGCTAGAAAAACATACCTATTCTATAGTGATGGAAGGCAGATCAGTGTTCGCCTGGGGAAGGTGGGAGAGATTTACTGAGAAAGGGCATGAGGGAACTTCCTGGTGTGATGGAAATGCTCTCTGTCTTGATGGTGGTGGTTACACAGTTGTGTATATTAGACAAAACTCATAGATGCATGCAGTTTATTGTATAGAAATTATACTTCCAAAAGGTTGATTTGAAAAATAAAAACAATAAAAAGTAAAATCTATATTATGTTGGTGGTGTCATGCCCACAGACATGTGTAGAATGATTTGCCTTTATATTGGTCTGTGGTGACTGCGTCTTTCAATTTTCTGCTCTGTTTGACACATAGAAGATGCTTAGTGAATGTTAAACACCATGGGCTTCTGTTTCTCTGTGACTGTGGGATGCTGGTCTAGGCTGCTTACTCTCCTCATCTTGTTTATTGCTGTAATATTGGAAGCAAGATAACCATGCTCGTTTGAACTATGAATAAGGGTAAATATCTTCTGGATAAGGTTTCAGAAAGTGAATTTTGGGATTTCAACCCACAAAGTGCATGTGTATCCATACACACCTGTGTCTGCACATACACACCTACAAGCTCATAAAATTTTCCTGTAAAGAGTAAGGAAGTTAAATGAAAAAGAAATATGATCCTAACAGTATTAATAGAGTTATGATCATTTTAGTGTTTAGAGACAAACAAAAATTACCAAGTACAGGGACCATCTTTTCATCAACTGAAATTTTAACTGTAAATAAGAAAAAAATAAACTTGTAAAGATGTGTATTCGTATTTATATTCAAACCTGAAAAAGAACCAAACATTTTCTCTAATTTCAGGTACCAATACATTGTTTAAGTTCCTACTTTGGTTTGGGTGCAGAAATATTATCTATGAAGTTTTACATTTTTTGCCATCAAAATGTATTAAATGACCAGGTGCCAGTGCTCACACTTGTAATCCCAGCACTTTGGGAGGTTGAGGTGGGAGAATCACTTGCACCCAGGAGTTCAAGACCAGCTTGGGTGATATGGCAAGATCCAATATTTATTAAAAATTTTTAAAAAATTAGCTGCATGGTGGTGCACACCTGTGTTCCTAGCTACTCGGGAGGCTGAGGTGGGAGGATCACTTGAGCACAAAAGGTCAAGCCTGCAGTGATTGCACCACCGCGCTCCAGCCTTGGCAACAGAGCAAGACCCTATCAAAAAAATAAAAATAAAAAGGTAATAAGTAGTGCTGTATCCTGTTTATTCTCCAGACATAAAATAATGTATTAAATGGTCAGAAAAAAATATTTATAAATATACTGAATTTTGAAAGGAAGAATTAAAAAACCATATTTTGTAGAAAACATTTTTAGAGGGGCTGAAAATGAATCCAAGAAAATCAAGTTAGTTTCCTCATAAATATTTTTAGATGAGAGAAAGATCATGTCTTAGAGATGTAATTCAATAGTAACATATACAGAGGAAAGCCTGGTAGAAAAATTAACAATGGATTTTATGAAATAATATAGTAGTGTAAATAATAAAATGAAGCATTAATCTAGCAACAGGCATAAGATCATTACCTGGTGATGGCGTCACTTTGGTTGAAGTTAGATCTGTGGCTGCCAAAAAAAAAAAAAATTCTCTTGAAAAGAAAACATTAAAATTTGGCTTCATTGAAATTTTACACTGTAGACTCTAAGTGTATGAAAACGAGCCTATTTCATAAGTGATATGCAATAGAAATCCACCCTGTGCATTGATCTTGTGGATTTATACATACAGGCATGAACTTGAGTATGAGAGGTTGGCATTTTGCAAGGGAGGCTGACAATTCTTCTTTTGAACGTCTACAGTGTGTCAGATAATTTGCATCTCTGGTCCTCATGACAACAATTTTAGGTAAGTATCGTCATTATTTTAGAGATGAGGAAATGGAGACTCAGAGGTTGTATAGTATGCTCAGGTTATCCACAATTCAAGCCCGTGAGGCCCCAAAGCATGTATTCTAAGCACTTCGCCTTTCAGGAGCATAATGTGTGGGAGTCGCATTCACCCGGGCTCCCTGTGGTTAATCAGGGATGAAGGGGAAGGAAGGTAAAATGGTCACAACACCTTTTCTCCTACTCCAAGGTGGCCCTTCCCAAACAAACAGGAAGTGATTTCACTGTCATGCCTTCACAAAGGAAGTAAAACCTGAGTGTCACCTAATTTGTGACCAAAGCAAACCAGTTACCATCAACCAGATCCACAAAGAAAAGGTTGCCTCATGTGATGTCAAGAACCAGTGAGAATTACAAGCAAAGGAATCTTCTGACAAAAGTGCAGTCATGGTGTGGGTGGGAAGGAAGGAAGTGAGGAAATGAGGGACGGAGATAGGAGGAAAGCAAAGGAGAGAGGGAGAAAGAAAGGAAGTAAAAGGAAGGAAGGAGGGAGGGAAGGAAGGAAGGAAGGAAGGAAGAAAGGAAGGAAGGAAGGAAGGAGGGAAGGAGGGAAGGAGAGAGGGAGGGAAGGAGGGAGGGAGGGAAGGCAGGTAGGCAAGAAGGCAGGCAGGCAGGCCACACTTAAACATAAGTGAAAAGAAAGTGCTGAACTTTGGTTTCATTGAATTTTACCCCCATATGTCTTCAAAGTACCCAGGACGTGGGGGAAAAAAGAAAATAAATAAAATAGAAGAAAGTAGCAGAGCCTTGTTACTGAAGACGTCAATGTCATAGGGATTTGGGAGACTCACACAGATGGATTCACCAGCAGAGCGTAAGAGCAGAAAGGACTTTGGATAGGAGTCAGGACACCTGGCTCTGCCTAACCCTAGCTCTGTGACTTTAGGCAAATCTTTTCCTTCTTTGGGCCTCATTTTCCTCCAAAGCGAGGGTGGTGGTTTAGCACCTTACTCTCCCAACCGGGTCCATGACCGGCAGCAGTGGCATCACCCGGGAGCCTGTTAGAAAAGATCCATCCGTAGCCACTGAATTTGCATTTCACTAGTTCCTCATGAGGCTCACACACGTATGAGCATTTGGGAATCCCTACTCTAGACTTGAAGTTTTAAGCTATTTTATCCTATTTATCCTGCCCCAGCATCCACCTTGGCTGTGTGCAGTCTCATGACTGGTGATAGGGGAGTGGCTGAAATCCTCTGGGGAGTTGGGTGGCCTCCCCCGACCTCTCCTCTCTTCTCCCCTGACCTCACCTGGGGAAACAGCAGTGTTTATTCTGGGTGTGTAAATGCTTGCTGGGCTGAGCATGCTCAGAAAGTCATTCATGAGGGCTGCTGCAAGGAGCAGAGAGCATACCTGATGAAGAAGTGGCTTCAGCTGCAGTGGGAGTCGTATCTGCAAATGCAGGGGAATGTTTTAGTTTGATCAACTACATGGTGGAAAACAGAAGGGCAGATGGATAGAACTAACACTATCGCAACCCAGTTTTTTCATGTGTGTGTTGAGGTGTGCTTGCTGGGTCAAAGCATCACCTGAAACATGACACACACGGCCAAGCAGGAGAGGTGTGAACCCCCAGCCCTGGTCTCTTGTGGGCACATCTGATCAAGACCAGTGCATGACACACACAGGCCAAGCAGGAGACGTGTGGACCACCGGCCCTGGCCTCCCATGGGCACATCTGATCAAGACCAGTGCATGACACACACAGGCCAAGCCGGAGAGGTGTGGACCACCAGCCCTTGCCTCCCATGGGCACATCCAATCAAGACCAGTACATGACACACACAGACCAAGCAGGAGACGTGTGGGTCTCAGCCCTGGCCTCCTGTGAGCACATCTGATCAAGACCAGTACAGCAAGCAGAAGGTGTGCCCTGGTGGAGGGGCCACTTCTGTGTCTACAGATGAAGAGAACATGAACCTCAGTTTCTGTGAAAAGGATGCTGGGGTTTCTGTTTACACTGAGGTTCATACCATAGACAGAATAGCCAGTACCTATATATGTTCATTTGCCACAGAGAAAGAGAAAAAGTTGATCATATTGAACTATAGAAATGTGACAGGCAGAAAACATTACCGGAGGGTGTGTTCACTTCTGCTGAGGTTGAAGATGCGTCTGTGTATTAACAAAGAGAGCAGGACACAAACATGAGTGGAAGAAGGCTGGCTGTGTCTTTTCATTGAGGTTTACTTTGCAGGAAAAAGGATCATTACTGAGGTTCATTTTCTGAATACAACATGACACACACGAAGCCAGTCTCATTAACTTAAACAGTATCACGAGGGAGACTTTACCAGGTGGAGAGGTCACTTCTGCTGAGGTTGAAGAGATCTCTAGAGATAAAAGGAAGAAAAGACATATACCAGTGGAGGGGACTCCTGAGTTTCTGTTTTTACTGAGGCTATGTTGGGGACAAAATTTTTGAATTCCATTTTGATAAGCAGATCTCCAAGAAGAGGCACTGACGGGACAGCAGTCAGAGTGTTCTACCTGGTGTGGAGGTCACAGCAGTGGAGATGGAAACTTCAGGTGAACACAAAGGACAAGGCAGCAATAAGACACTCTTGTCAGGCACACGTGCCTCTACAAGATGCAGGAGATGAGAAGGTGGTGTCCTGGATCAGTGACTCCAGGCTTGTCCTCCTGCTCTGCAGACAGGAGTCATGGCAAGGCATCTCCAGATCCCCCACTGCCTCTGAGCCACCCCTCCGTTCCTTCCTGTGGGTCTCCATTCCTCTTGCCAACATGCTACTTCTTCCCATGGAGGTAGAGGCGACTGGGGGGCCACAGCCATGGGCCAGGTTTCTCAGTGGTATGGAGTTAATCTAACAAAGATTCTGTGAGTGGGGACTTGCTTTCCTCGCCTTTCTCCTCTTTTTAAATGGTTGGGGGCAGTGACTGAGGAAAGGGTCAGCTCTGCAGACTGGAACTTTCCCTAGTGAGCTGTCCCAAGATCTAGCTGAGGGTAGGAAGGGGTGGCGGGTCCATTTGTCTTTTGTACTGTTTCCCGCCGATTCAGCTTTATCAGTAATAAAGGCCTCATTTTGCTGCTGAATCTGATGTTTTATAACTCATTTGCTTCAGCCCCTAGAGGAGGGAAGACCACCCTCATTATCCCCCTTCCCTTACCAAAAAAAAAAAAAAAAAAAAAACCCCACAAGTCCCTCTACACTCTATTTGTGAAGTTCTCAAACCCAGAGTCACATTAGAAACTCCTCAGATAATTCCAACCAGCATCACTCCAAATCTATTATATAAGAGACATGTTGCTTGCTGTCTTGGTCAGCTCCGCATCCCTTACTGCCTTGGCCATCCTCATTGAATGCTGATGAATGTCAAGGAGGATGAGGGAAAACCATGGCTTGACTTCTTTCCATTCTGGAAATACCACTTGGTGGCTGATCTCCAGGAGAAGTTCTCTCCACAGACTCAAGTAGGTGATTACCTTAGACCAGTGGTCCCCAACTTTTTGACACCAGGGATCGGTTTTGTGGAAAACAAATTTTCCACGGATGGCAGGGAGGATGGTGGATGGTTTCAGGATGAAACTGTTCTACCTCAGATCATCAGGCATTAGTCAGATTCTTGTAAGGTGCACACAACCTAGATTCCTCACATGTGCAGTTCACAACAAGGTTTGTGCTCCCATGAGAATCTAATGCTGCCACTGATCTGGCAGGAGGCGGAGCTCAGGTGGTAATGCTTGCTCGCCCACCATTCACCTCTTGCTGTGTGGCCCAGTTCCTAACAGGCCATAGAGCCCTACTGGTCTGTGACCTGAGGGTTGAGGACCCCTGCCTTAGACTACCAGTCAGTCAGTGAATGTTTTCATGGATTCAACTTGGCCTAATGGGTTGAACAAATTTTTCCCTTGGCTTATGCATTGAACTGAGCTGCCCAGAATTCATTGACCATCAGGGAATCAGAGATGGCCTTCAAAAGTAAGGTCAATATAAACATATTTAAAAACTCAAAAGATGACTAAAAATTAAAGAATTTAACCAGGACATAAGAAGTTGTTTAATAAATTCACTGGAAAACCAAACAAAAAAGATTATAGCAAGCAAGATGGAACCCAAAATAACACTTAAATTACCTGTTGAGGTGGTTAGAGCAGTATTCAAGGATACTGGAAATGAGAAAAGGTAATTGGTCAAAACCTACCAAATGGCAAAGAAATTTTGTTTCATAGTTAATTTGTTTTCTTCTCTGTGTCCCTAGAACATAGAAACCATGGTCTTCATTTATTTAATTAACAAATATTGACTGCCCACTCCTCTGTGCCAGGGACTGTGCCAGGGCTGGAGTAAAACAGCCAACAAAACTACATATGGTTCTTTCTGTCCTCAAAGAGAGGATTGTCATGGGAAATTCAGATGAGGTCAAATGATTATACATACAAATGTAAAATTGCAATTGTAGCAAGTGCTATGAAGGAGAGATGCATGGCACAGAGCCCAAGCAGGTAATCAGACCTAGCCAGGAAGGTCCTCTCTCTATCTTACCATCCTCCAACCACCACCTCATGCCAGGCAGAGAGTCTGGTCTGGATGATGCACCCTGCTCAAAGACGATGACTACTTGACACCACACCACCCCCAAGTCTGCCTAGTCTTGGCCCCAGTGGCGGACAGAGGTGATCCTGGTGTCCCATTTGCATACATATGCAGTGCAGTGGGCAGAGGGCATTACCAGGTGAAGGAATTACTTCTTCTGAAGTGGAAGCTATGCCTGAATATGAAACATAAGCAGAAATGTTAGTCAATTGATCAGAAAATTTTTATTCATTTTCATTCATTTTTATTCACAGTTCTGCCTTTACTTTGGTCTCATTTACTAGGAGGCTTTGTTGTTGGAAAAATTCACCTATGACAACTAGCTATTTTCCACCCTCTCAAATTCCCATCTTCCAAACTTAAAAACATATGCATGGTTATAAATTAAATCCTTCCTGAACTGAAACATGCTTCCCCGTTCTTTTAAATAAAAGATACTGATCATACTTGAACCTGCATGAATTCGGACTCATTAGGAAGGTATCATTGCTGTTCCAGGATTCGATACAGAGCTGTTTCAAAGGATGTTGAGACAAGTGGACATTTTTTGCTCCATTTAGAAAGTGACACTGAATGGTTTTTTTGAACCCTTCTATGCCTATCAGAGCATCTGCTAGCATTTCCTGTCATTGCCAATGTAGCTTCTCTATTAGGTCTATACCTCCTAGGCCCCTGCACTCCCTCCCCAACCTGTTGTCTCTACTAATATATAGTCAGCAGGGAGACCAGATAGCCGACTGTTATGAGTGTGTAGAAAGTAAGAACAGGCTCTGAGTAACAGGCTCTGTGGTATACCTCTGTGGGTATTCGAACACTTGAACTTGAATGCTAGGATCTCAGTTTGGCCGCATGAGGCACTCTTTGTCTATTTCTGGGTTCTAGTGTATTTTCCAAGGGATTCATTTAGCCAAGTGACTTCTGGACAAATGGTATAATTGTACTAGCTAGGTAAATTTCAACATAGCAATATCCCTTATATAGGCAGTAAAGGACATACAAGGAAAAAACTTGTTACCAGGTGTGAGGGCCAAATCTGTGGCTGAAATTGAAGCAGGAACTGTCAAGACAAGCAAAAGTTAAGAGAAAATTATAGTTAAATGCCATCCTTGTCAATCAAGTTCATTGGTAGAGAATTTTTAAAAATTGCCCTGTTTACAAATTATGCCCCAGCCGTGTTCCTGTTTCATTCTCGTATTCTCTGTTTATTAAGCTAAGGGGATTAATGATGGGGCAGGTGGGTCATGGGGCTGGGACTCAAGACACTTGGGTTCTAGTCTCTAGTCTTTGTGGAACAGAGTACATGACCTTGTGCAAGCTCCTTTGCATCTCTGAGCTTCAGCTACTGCATCTGAAGGGCTAGTATGTGGAGAAGTCGCATCTGTATCACCTTGTTAGAAATATGCGCTCTCAGGATCCACTGAATCAGAATCTGTATTTTGATAAGATCTCCATGACAGCAATGTACACATTAAAGTTTGAGAATCACCAAGCGTGCAAATGGAGATGTCTATAGGCTTAGACATGCATGGAGGCCAGGAAGAAATGGGAGAGAGAAAGTATGTGCCATATAAAGGAAGCAGTCGTTTCCTGCTCAGCACCAGCCAATTGGTGCCCTGCTGAAATTCATGTTGACCATTCTCAGATTTTTCGATCAAAGCTGGAGATCTAGATTTTTGTAGGATATCTTCCATTATTAAAAGGTGGGATTAAAACTAATTTAAACATGCATAGGTAAAACTGAGTTGTCTGCATCCAAACACAGTGGCAGGCCAAAACTGCCCCTGCCCACTTATGACTTCCAGTCTGAGCAATCTCTAAGGTTTCTTACAACTCTTAGAAAAATGTTACACTGTGATGGTGCCATATGACTTGTTCTCGCCTAAAAGAACTGGTGGGCAATTTTCACAGATCCAGTCACCAAAAGAGCAACATGTTCCCTTGTTTGATTTTCCTTAGAGATTAGTGTGTACCAATCCTGGCAGAAGGCTTTGAGATTTTTGGAAATAAGGACCATGGAAATATGGACAGTTCAGAGAAAATTTGAGTTGAGCTGACTTGAATTGATATGATATTTTGCTAGCTTATTTAGCCAAACAGTGGTTAATTTAAGCCTTAGGATGATCCCCAAAGTGTCCAGAGGAAGGAATTTTATAAAAGGACACATGGGTTGCTTACATTAGGGAGCCAAGCCAGAACTTGGTGGGCAGCACACACATCCCTAAGGATGTGACTGTGAAGCTCCCATCACTGCGTTCTTACACAAGTGTGACCACTCAGTCCCCAGGACAGGCTTCTGGGGTGACTGTTTTCATCCTCTTGTTCTACACATGAAGAAACTGAGGCTCTGAAAGGTGAGGAGACCTGACTGCTGTCACCCAGTTGGTTAAGGCTGGAGCCAGAACATAATCCCAGGTTCTCTGACTCCAAATCCTGCGAGGCTGCATTGTCACTCAAAAGGTTTCAGTGGTCAAAGAAGTTTGAGAATCACTGGATTAAACTAAGTTTAAAAAAAAGATCCCTTACTGTACAACTTGTCAGAGACTCTAATGTGTTAATAGGCTGTGAATCTTCAAGAGAGGAATATGGCATTTCCCTAACTTACATAGCCATGCAAATCCTTCTTTAAAATTCGCATATCAATAGATTAATGTACTGTACTGTGAAACACACTTGAGAGGTGTGGTACTCTATTATTTTCTGAAAATGCAGATTAAAGTAGTTTTGCCTGAGATATCTGAAGTCCTGTGGCTTGAGGGTTAAAAAAAAACTCAGACTCACTGGATACCCAAATGTATGGACACTGATGAGGATGTAAGTGAAGTCATGTCACTAAAACTTGATTTCAAAGACCAGCTGTTGCACCAAAGAGTGAAGAAACAAACTAGACATATCGTGTGCTATGTATGGAAGGCACACAATCTCTGTCAATGTACTCCTTCATTTAATGAATATATAAGCATCTTATACATTGATATGAGCTAGTATTTAATTTCATATGATATATAAACTCCAACCCTAACCATATGCAAAGTAATCTACACATATCTGATTTATAGAAAGCAAGAAAGAAACTAAAATTACCAGGTGAAGTGATCATTTCTGTAGTTGATGCTGAAATTGTAAAACGAACAGGAATTTAGGTTTTTTTTTAATTTAAAAAATTTATATCTCAGACACATTGAAATTAGATACAGAACAAGTTTTGAGATGTAAAATTAAAAACGACAAAGGTTTCTTGGTTGAGACTGAAAGAGGGACAGAGATGCAAGAAGGCAGAAAGTGAGAAATGCCTATCGGTTGTGAGAACCCCCTGGGATGGATCAGAGAGGCTGTTTCACTAAGGCATTGAAGAGGACATTGTTTCTAGAATGGCAAAGTACTAGGAGACTTCCTAATTCTGACTTTAGGTTTCTAATGCTGATTTCCCATTTTCACCAAACTACTTTTATAACAAAATACCAAGTTGTCTGAGCACTAAAGGAAAGTGATTCCTTAACATAATAAAGCATATTGTGACTCTTGATTCAGTACTCACTTACTTTTGTTAATTGTCCATTACAGTTTAAATGCACAAATGACTCTAACCCTCCCACTGGAATGCAAGCTCCAGGAGGGCAAGATTGTCTGTTGTGTTCATTGCTACATCCTCAGCACCTAGAACTGTGCCTGGCACATATGAAGTGCTCAATAAATATTTGTTAAATAAATGGATGAATTCAATCCTTTTAGTGTAGTCTTTGTCCTATAAAATTAAGATAAGCTAAGCAGTGAATATTGCATTTCATTTCCTTTTCTATTCTACTTTTTTGGGAAGAGAAAGAAGCATAGATAATGCACAAACTGGGCTGAATTTTTTTTTTTTTTTTTTTTTTAGGAAACTACGTCAAACCACAGAGGCCAAAAGAGGATAGTGTTGAAGCTTTCACACTGTATGTAGATGAGAGGATCTGGGTTTTCTTCATGGAATTTCCTGGAGCAGCACTGCAAAGTCAGCTTTAAAGCTCAAAACACACAACTTTGGGACAAAGTCTAGGAAGTGCCATTACCCCAGTGGGTGGTTCACAGAAGGATCTGGTAATTCCTTGAAGACTGCAGAGACAGAGGGCCCTAAGGTGAACTCATTGAGCTTTGAGTCAAACACTGGGTAGATCAACAAATTAAGAGAGACTGAGAATAGCCAAGAGGCCTCTGGAACCAAGATCAGGGCGGGATGTGAGGCTGAGGGACTTGGGGGCTGACCCAGGGTTTATTATATGTCATTATGTATTCACTGCCCCAGGGAGCTCAGTGTTGAGAGTGGACCTTGGGCATTTGTTTAGAGGATGCCAGTGAGACCCAAACTTCCTCACGTTGGTTTCCCAGGTCCCCCACTGAGAGTCATGGCTCTGGCAGCCTCAGGAGAAAGCTGGAAGTGAGTATCTGTGCAGATAAGCCCAGTATCTTCATGGTGGCCATAGCTGCGGATGGACAGACCCAGATGGCAGCACTGACCTGGTGTGGTCTCCATGCCTTGACACTGCACATCTTCCAGGAGGATGTGTCCCACGCCACCACCCCCTACCCCTGCAACAAAGTGGCCATTCCCTGGGGTGACCAATGTCCTCCCCACAGCCCAGCTGCTGGCACACCATGTGGGCAGCGTTGATGCCCCAGAGGTTGTTGCAGACAGTCCCCCATGTGCCATTGTGGTAGACTTCAATGTGCCCTTTGCACTGCCTCCTCCCATCTGCCAACCTGACAATGGGCAAGGCTGAGGGAGACCCAGAGGTTATCACTGGAATGTGATCAGCTCTTCTGACAGACACTAGTGGGACTTTTCTTAGTTCTTAATACACACTCTAAATTCCAAAACTCTAGACATTCTTGCTTCCTGCTTCTGGGTCCCATAGGACTAAGTCAAACTAGTGCTTGCAAATTCAGTAACTGAGTTTTTGAGGCTATTTGTGATTTCCAATATTTTGTTCTCTCATTCTCATCTTTGGATTGGAAATATGGCAATTACAAGGATAAGGATAAGTATCTGTTTTGAAGCTGAGCCATCAAACTGAAAGGCAATAGTGTGGGGATATGTCAAACTCAACCTTTCATTATTTCATTATTACAGGGGTCCAGGTTCACAGTTAAAAACATTTTTCAGGATCCAGAGACTAGACAAGTGGCAGCCACCTCTGTAACCTCTCCCCCTGTATCAACTCTGTATTTTCTCAGTCCTGGGGAGACATGAATCTGGGTGGGCACTGACATTACAGGGAGTCCCCTTGAAAGATTCAATAATTAGGAAGCTTTAAGGGAAACAATCAAAGGATTGCCAATGTTGGGACCCATTTCTGTCAATGCTGGGGCAACTTCAACAGCTGAAAGGGAAAACCAAGGCATCATCACAAGCACATCAGCACTTTAAAAGATTAAGCCCAAACTAGACAATGTCTCTGCACCACTTTTCCCATTTTCCCTCCCATGGGGGTGACCCTCACTGTCTGACAGTAATTGAAAGCATCTATCTGAACTTTGTCAGGGTAGCATCATTGATGGTCACCTGGGGGATTTGAAGCTACAGAGAAGGATGATGAACACTTGATGCCATTTTAACTCAGAGTTTTTATGCTGACACACCATGACTCGTTTGAAACACTGAACACTAAGTGTTCAGATAAAAAAAAAAATGTGTGTCATTTTCAGGTGGTTTTTCTAAAAATTCCAAGAAATGCAGTTGAATGCTTGGAGCTCAGATTTCGCATTCCTAACTCAGGTCTCTCCAAGAACATTATGAAATTCTTGGTACAAAATTAATTTTGCTTTACTTGAATTTAGAAAAGTGTAAAGTATTGATTGAGAAATGGTGAAGGTGGTTGGGATTGGAAAATCCAGCAGCAGAAGACAGAACATTACTGTGACAAGCAAGTAAAAATTGATCAAAAGAAACGGACGCCTGCGCCCAAAGCAGATGAAGGTGACTCTCAGGATCTGTGTCCCCAGGAACTGGGGCTGGTTCCTGAGGCCCCTGTAGAAGGACCTGCAGGTGGAGTAGCTGCTGCTGCTGCTGCTGCTGCTGCACAGGGCAGTGGCTGAGTGGGCTCTCTCCTTGGAAAGACCCCTACTCCACAAGAATCCTCCAGGTCACCAGCTTGCCTCTCACGAGCACAGCTCTTATTGCACACAGCACCAGGGCCAGGGAAATCACATTTGCTACATTTCCATTAGTCACAAAAGGTCAGACCCCAGCCTCAGGAAAACCGTTACAAAATATAAGAATGGGGAAAGTACCTGTTAGATGAAAACCGCTTGAGTGCTCCCCAGGAGTTGAAGAAACTATGACATAAAAAAGAAAAATAGTTAGCATAATTACATTCCAAACACACACAATGATATTTCACACTCTTCTCAAATATCATCTGAATCACATGTATGAGTCTGCCTTTAAACAACCCTATCCAGGCTCTAATCTAATAGTTACCACTTAAAATTTGATGGTACCCCATACATGGATGTGTATTATTCTGATTAAGAATAAGAAAATAAAAGAAATGAAATTCATGTTGGGATTGTGAAGATATGGCCCCATAGGCAGGGGTGCCTTGTCAGAACTACAGAGTTCAGCAGCTGCTGCTGGGACCCAGGTGAGGCTGCAGGTAGAGGAGCAGCTCCTGTCTCCAAGCCCTCCTACCCCAGGTGCTCCTGCCTCCAGGCCCTCCTACCCCCAGGCTCTCCTTCCCCCAGGCCCTGCCTGCCCCCGCCACCCCGCTCTCCTACCCCCAGGATCTCCTTCCCCCAGGCCCTCCTGCAACCCCCCAAACCCCGCTCTCCTACCCCCAGGTTCTCCTGCCCCCAGGCTCTCCTGTCCCCAGGCCCTTCTGCCCCAGGTCCCCTTCCCCTATGGCTGCCTGCTTTCTCTGGATTGCCATGGCCTCTGTTGCATGAACCAACCCTTTGGTTCAAGTATCTTAGAGTCCTGTTGAAACGCTCTCATCTGTGGAAGGGATGACACATCTACCTGCTGACATCCAGCCGAGGGAATGGGAAACAGCCCTGGCTCTTCACCTTCTGGGAAGGTGGAAGGGTCTGGAGCTCAGAGCATGTCAAGGAAAGTTAAAGCTCATAAGGGAGACCCAGCATAGGCTGGGGTTGGGAGACCACGTAGAGGTGACGGCCAGCCACCAGTCAGCAAATAAAATGGACATAAACTCACAGATACCTGGATGTCCAGCAGCTGCAGAATCTGCAGAGATAAAGGAAATGAGGATGGTTTAATAATAGAAACTGGAATGGTAGAGTGATTTAAAGATCATTGTTTCAGTTTAAATGTGACTCATGGAAGCTGGGCATAAATAATCAGTCTGAAGCATCCAGGGCTGTCCCCTCTGGGTTCATACAGCCAGGTGTAGGTTGTGGGATGTCTAACCTGGCTACAAACTTTGAGGCAGTGATGCTGATAGAATTTGCCTTGGTAACTAAAATACCAACTAAATGGTAATATTTTTGTGTATTTATGGTTTGTCCGATGCTTGACTACATGTTCTACATCAGTTGTCTCAATTAATCCTCCCAATAACTCCATGGAATAAATGTCATGATTTTCTTTCTTTTATAATTAATTGAACTTTGCAGGTACTCAAGTTGAATGGGACCCTCCCGTATATTGAACAGCTGGGCATATTTTCCAGAGTCTGAGCAGAAGTCCACCGTCCTGCACATGGGGAAAGGTTTTAGGCACAGAGGCATTTTCAGACTCTATCTGAGGCTCTCGGGCTTGGTCCAGGCAGCTGCAAGACTGGCCCAGGGGGACCTTCACTTACCTGAGCAGATGACGCCAGCATCTTCACGATGCCCACAGTTGTGAGTGAACCAACCGCCGTGAGGGCACTGCCCCAGAGAGGACTCCCTTCCCGTGCAGTTGACATCATCGAGGAGGATGCTGCCTGACCCAGGGCTGAAGCTGGCTCCTGGGAGGGCAGACACGGCCAGGCCACAGCCCAGCTGCCTGCAGACCACGTGAGCATCCTCTATAGACCAGCTGTCATCGCACACGGTGCCCCAGGTGTTGGCGTGGTAAACCTCAACTCGGCCCTCACATCTGCTGGACCCATTCACCAGCCGCAGTCCCAGACCTTGTGGACATTCCAAAGAAAGACCTTATGAAGTCACATCCATAGAGCCCACCAGAGAAGCCACTATTTCCTGGGAATTATGCACTGACAATTAAGGATAATGAATCCACTCCCTCCTTTATTTAATTTTGTTCAAGTTTGCTTGGTACTACTCTGTGTATTTTTTTGTGATTGGTTAAGAAATGGTTGTTCCTTGCCACTGGCTGGACCTGGCCTGCCCCACGGCATAGCTGTTCTTTCCCTGTGTGTGGGGAAGTCTTGGTTTCTGACATTCACAGGGTGTGTTGGATTTTTCACAAGAAGCTGTCATGTATATGCTGTGTGTAAGTGTGTGTGTGTATGTGTGTGTAAGTGTGTATGTGTGTGTAGTGTGTGTGTCTCTGTGTGCCCTTGCACGTCGATCAAGAGACAGTAACAATAGCTCCCATCTCTGTTATTCCTGGGATCAGGCATAACCTATGTGTGAAGACATTCCAGGGACTGGAAAGAGCCATCATTGCAGGCTGCCTCCTATGTTCAAAGGACAATGTTACAAAAGGGAGCAGAAGCTGGCTGTGCTTGGAACACAGATACGGTGAGCCCACAGGTGTGGGGATTTGGGGTGAGCAGGCAACCTGTCCTTCCTGGGGGCCTCTTCCAAACCAGCCCCCAAGAGCCACTCTTGCATCTCACAACCTCTTCTTTCCTGTCACTTTCCAATCACAGATTTTCCAGGTGAACCTGGACATTGCCAGCAGTTCCTCCGGCAGCCTGAGGCCATGGAGGAGGGTGGAAGTCAGGACACTTCCTCCCCTAGCGCTGGGATGTTTGTGAATTAAAACTGCATAGAGGGAGGGCCAGTGAAGTGAGAAGAAAGGGTGACCTGTCCATGTGGGCACCTCGGTTGGCTTTGGAAAAGATGCTGCAAAAGGGGAAAATTATACATCTTGGGTAAACCTTTGAGGTTTACGCCGAACTTTCAGTCCACTGTGGGTGGGCTGTCCACCCTGTGGATTATCGATAGACAGTTTCTGATTCTGAATGGGATTTCCTTCTCATGGCCTTTCTCTGTGGGCAGTACTCCTTCCATCACCCAACTGGCATGTTAGGAAATATAAGCTTGGGAAAACCATGGCTTGGTGCCTGATCTTTTTTTTTTAATACATATAGTTTATTATTATTATTATTATTTGAGATGGAATCTTGCTCTGTTGCTCAGGTTGGAGTGCAGTTGCATGATCTCAGCTCACTGCAACCTCCGTCTCCCAGGTTCAAACAATTCTCCTGCCTCAGCCTCCTGAGTAGTGGGGATTACAGACATGCCCCACCAAGCCCAGATAATTTTTGTATTTTTAGTAGAGACGGGATTTCACCATGTTGGTCAAGCTGGTCTCAAACTCCTGACCTTAGGCAATCCGCCCTCAGCCTCCCAAAGTGCTGGGATTACAGGTGTCAGCCACTACACCTGGCCAATAGATATGTTTTAAATTCAAGAAAACATCCTTTGGGGCCCTCTATTGTTCAGTATAAGCTACCCTGGTGCTACTTCTAAGTGCTTGGGGTCATTTCTCTCTTTCCCAGCTCCTCTCTGCATATTGTACTTTACTCTTCTAAGGGCCTATCGTGGAAGAGCTGCTGGAACTGTAAAGACCACTGGCGAACTAGAGCTGGGAGCAAACTGTAACGTGATGCTTTCAGCTTTTCCATTCTTAACAATTCTGTCAAGTAGAAGAAGGCAGTACCCAGAGATAAATCCCTGCCAGGCTCTGACCTTGGATGAGGCGAGGGTCAGAGACGCGTGGCTCATGTCTGCGAGTAGTATGCCCCGCCCACCACAGGGCAAGAGCTGGCTTGGATATTCACACTCATCAGAGGAGAAAATGTAGGCAGGAAGCAGCTCAGAGATTTGCTAGAGGCCTCACAGCCAGTAAATGAAGAGACTGGAAGATAAGCCCAGGGCATTTGGACCCTAAATAACTACTCTACTGCTTAGGGGGCTTTGCTAGGGCAAGTTAAAGCTCATCAATTCAAAACTACCAAAATTACCTGAGGTCGGGTAACTCACAGCAGCGGATGCTCCTATGTAAGGCAGAAAGGCAGTGGAGGACATAGACGGTGTGGGTAGCTCATCTCCCTTCAGTTCTCCTAAACCTGAGAGAGAGGTAGGCTTGCTTACTTCAGTCAGAAAGGTACCACGTCTTGTTTGGGGGAGAAACTGCACACAATCTGGCATCTAAAAATGGCCCTGAGTTACTTTGGTTACAACTATCTTATGTCCTGGATCACCAAATTTGTGTCTGTCTTGTTGCCAGACATGCGATGTCATCTCTTTTCTTCCTTCCTGTTCTTTCTTCTTCCATCTCCTCCTTCTCCTTTCTTTCTCTCTCTCTTCCTCTCCCTCTCTCTCCTTCCTTCCTTCCCTTCCTCCCTTCCTTTCTCTCTCTCTTCCTCTCCCTCTCTCTCCTTCCTTCCTTCCCTTCCTCCCTTCCTTTCTCTCTCTCTTCCTCTCCCTCTCTCTCCTTCCTTCCTTCCCTTCCTCCCTTCCTTTCTTCCCTTCCCTCCTTTTCCCTCCCCTCCCCTCTTTCCTACCTTTTTAGTTTTGGGCAAACTGTGGCTCCAGGGATGGCCCCAGGCATGGAGCACTTGTTTTGCCAGTTGGTTTGGTTGTAATTCTTCTGGGTGTGTGTGTGAGTCCCGCCTCTGAGTAAGTGTCAGCTCATAAAGGGCAGAACCGCATTTATCTCAAGAACATACACCAGTGACCTCAGTGCAGGGAGGGAGCCAAAAGGCCCCTGAGTGGGCTGTGGAGCTGGACCAGGAGCTCAGGGCCAGGATGAAAAAAAGCTCAGAGCTTCTGCTTGGTGGTCCATCCAGGCACCTATGACCCACTCCCATGCTCTGCCCAGGGCCCTGGTTCCAAACCGCATGGCCCTTATAGCCCCCAGCCCTGTCCTCTGATGTCACTCGGCATGCGGCACCAGCTTCTGTTTTGCTCAGAGCATTGATTCTGTCCCTTGACCTCTCTCTGCGCAGAACCTTCAAATATCTTCACCTGCTCCTTGCCCCTTCATCCTATCTCAGGTGGATGCTGCCAGGTCTAGCTGATAAGCCAGTTCACCTGTTCCCAGTTGAACCCATAAGGATTCAGAGACAGGTGGGAACTTTTGACCCCAACTACTGAATTTACTGAACTTTGACTCCAACTACTCCAACTACCGTTCAGCTTCGCCATCGTCAACACACAGGGCCGGTGGCCAACATGATTGCAGGACCTACCGGTATCATTCTCATCTTGCACAAGAGACTCATAAGATGCATAGAAGCCGATGTTGGTGATGATAGCATCGCTGTGGAACACCACCGACATGCAGTTGTAGGAGGAGGTAAATATCGGGATCTTCCTGGAACAGAATCTCCCTAGCGAAAAAGATTTGCTTTGTGGGCCATCAAAGATTTCAATGAAGTCGTATGGACAGCCATAGAAATTTTCCATTCTGTGAAGTGAAACAGTATCATTCAGACTCAGTCCACTGGGGCTTTCTTCCCAGTAAGCATTGCCCAGATTCGTTCAGGAAGTGATCAGGGAAAAATTATCTGAAATCTACATCTCTTCAAACAGGTTACAGGAAATGATGACCCTACTGATGTGGGCAGTAAGTATCCTTCTATTTCTAAAAGTCTTTTAATTTCTAAAGTTTTACTGCAGTGGAACTTTCTGAATATGTATTACAAGCATGTGGGATAGAATTTAAGTGGTATTGATAGGCACATGGTGAAAAGTAAAATCTTCTTCCACCCCTAACTACCGGTCCCCTCTTACTTCACTCCCCTTCCTACAAACAGGTTCGATGAACAGTTTCTGTGTATTCCTTCCAGAAATAGTCTATGCACAAAAGGGAGCCTCTGTACTACTGTCTGTGGCTTTCTTTTCTTTTTTTTTTTTTTTTGAGATGGAGTCTCGCTGGAGTGCAGTGGTGTGATCTCGGCTCACTGCAAGCTCCGTCCTCCTGAGTCCAAGCCATTCTCCCGCCTCAGCCTCCCAAGTAGCTGGGACTACAGGCGCCTGCCACCACGCCTGGCTAATTTTTTGTATTTTTTTTTAGTAGATACAGGGTTTCATCATGTTAGCCAGGATGGTCTCGATCTCCTGACATCGTGATCTGCCCGCCTTGGCCTCCCAAAGTGCTGGGATTACAGGCGTAAGCCACTGCGCCCGGTCTGTGGCTTTCTTATAGCTCATTCCATAGCAAGACCTACTGTTAGTGCGACAGCAATATGTGGATGTACCAAAATCCATTTAACTAATTCCCTACAGATGGACAATTAGGTTGTTTCCAATGTATTGCTAGCATGAGACTGTGCCATGATTATTCTCAGTGCACATGAGACTTTATCTGTAGACCAAATTCCTGAAATTGGAATTGCTGGGTGAAAAGATCTGTGCATTTAAAATTTTAATCAATATTACAATGGGCCCTCAAGACCTAGCTCACTTTTGAAAATTAACTATGGATTTTTTTGGAAGGAAAGGGGAGGTAGGTAGTAAAACTGGAGTGCATAACTGAGTCAGGATGAAAGTAAAAGTGGGAAATATTTACTCACTTTACCACTTCAAACGTGAGTTTCACACGAGCCCCGATATCCACTTGTATGTCCCAAGCACATACCACATTTGTGGGGTAATTTTTAGGATACCAAGGACTGGAGAAGGAGCCTGAATTATTTGTAAGCAAACCGCCACAGTGGAAATTTTCATCTGTAACAAACAGTGAACAAACCCCATCAAAAGTGAGCATTTACCTCTGCCTGTGTTTTCAGGGGGTTCAAAAGGGGACGGAGTGAGGACAAAGGTAAGGAAGACTTGGTCTAGAGCTGCTTTGGCTGATAGCTGGAAAAGTTAGCTTTGGAAAGGACCCCGAGCTCCCAGTGCTGTCCTGTGGGCAATGAAAATTGTCAAATGTGTTTTTGTGAGGAGAAAATGAGAGCGACATATGGTTGAAAGGACTTTATGAATCCATGTGCCCAGTAGGTCTAAGCTTGTAGTGTAAAGGATAAGGGAGCAAAGACAATGAGACCACAAGCACCCTTTCTCAGCATCGAGTGGTATAAAATAGCTGGTGTTAGAAAACTCCTGGTTGTATTGTATGCAAATCTCAGCTGAAGTCAACACCAAGATAGCTTAAAATATCCAATTTACAGCTGAAATATTGGATTTGGTGAGAAATTTGTGCCAAATGGAGAACAAAGTAAATACAAAACCATGTGAAGAGGTTCTAACAGCTTAGGTACCTGTAGGGGGGTTGTCGCCAGTGGAGTCTGCAAAGACACAGAGAAAAAGTGACACTGTAAGCAAGGACTTTTATCCAGAATATTACTTGAAAATACTCAGAAACACTGACACTATAAAGCTGTGATTTCTCTGTGGCCCGATGGACAGAGATGCCTCTGGCTTCTCCAGGGTTCGGACACCTGCACACTCCATGCGTGGACTGGTGTCATTAGATACAACTTGTTGAGGGCTGACCTGGGATGTCTTCTTCCTTGTTCCCTCCAGCATCCTACAGTGTGAACATCCCTGCAGGCAGTTAACCCTCTCTTCACAGCAGATACTGAATGACCAGGGATTGCATTCCTGGTGAATCTGAACTTTCCCTCCCTCCTACCACTCCCCCATCCTCTACTGTCCCATGGCCTCGCCATTTTTGTCAACCCTACTGGGCTGCATTGCTCTTGTTAATTAACAACAGAGAATTTAACTGGACAGGGTCCCAACTTCAGGATGGAGGTGTAGCCAGGTTTCACTACATCAGGGACCTGGCAACAGGCAGAATTGTATAGAAAAGCCATACCTAAAAAAAAAAAAAAAAAAAAAAAAGAAAAGCCATACCTGTTGGTTCTGCATTTGGTTTGCCACCAATACCTATCCAAAGATAGAAGAAAGAATGAGAGATGGATTGAGTAAGGCAGTTACATAGCTCATACAAATACTGGGTTCTTTTTTCAGGATCAAGCGTGTTCTTTTCAGGGCAGTTGGGAATGTAGTATCAAAACCTATCAATGTTGGTTACAAGATTGGCAGTTCTTCAGTCTCATGATGGTGCAAGTGAAGCCTGGTATTTATTTGCTTTGGTCAGTTATTGGACTGAGTGAGCTTCAGACACAGAATTGAGCTGTCTTTAACACAGTACTTCTGGGAGGTGAAATGTATGTAGTCTGGACCTGTGTGTGATCTTGGATATGCCCTTGTGGCTGCATCAGTACAATGAGGATGCTAATAGTCTCTATTTATTAGTGGTGGTAGAGATTAAATGAGAATACGAAAGCACCAGTTTTATCTTAGAGCCTGGTATGGGTTCAGCACTTGTTAGACACCAGCTACTATTCCCAGTCAGGAGAGAGTGGGTTGTCACCAACACCATGGCTTATCGTTGCTGGAATAGGATGGCTGATGACAAACCCTCTATTTAATCACCACAACTTTTCGGGCGGGATCTTGAACAGGTGCAACAATTTAAGTGAAAGAACACTAACTCTTAAGCAAATTGACTTAAAAAGCTGGATTGAAGCCCAGGGCTCATTTCTGAGTTACTGCCCGCTGCTGTTGACGTCTCCCTTCCCAGAAGTGGCTGGTGGGTGAGACTCTCTCTCAGAGGTGTGCTTTGTGCCCCCAGGTGCTCACCTGAGCAGATAACACTGGCATCCTCGTGGTGTCCACAGTTATGGGAGAACCACCCGTTGTGCACGCATTGCCACACTTTGGCTTCATTTCCTGTGCACTGCACATCATCCAGCACGATGTGGCCAGTGCCACCATCAAAGTAGCTCTGAACTGGGGCTGACAGTGCCTCACCGCAGCCAAGTTGCTGGCACACCACCCTGGCATCCATCAGGTCCCAGCTGTCATCGCACACCGTGCCCCAGGTGCCGTTGTAGGAGACCGCCACCCGGCCCTCACACCTGTGGCTGCCATTCATCAGTCGCAGAGACATACCTGGGGGACAGGCAAATGGGGGCTTTTAAGCTGTGGTGATGTCTCCAGACTCTAGGACCTCTGCAGGTAGAAAATGTTATCTGGCACTTGGGCACCTATTCCTGTATTAGGCTGTTGGACTCTAGGCAGGGTGGCATTGGGTGCTGATTTGCCTGGAATAGTTCTTGTTTATGAACATTGTAGATCAATTAATGCCTGTTAATTATCTTAGGGTTCTTTTTAAGCTGTCAAAAGTATTCCAGTTGGAGGATAAATTACATGGTCACCCTTAGCATAAGCCACTGAAAGCTCTGAAGTGTTCCCCAGATCCTGCTGCAGAACCTAACAGGCCTCTAAGTGTTATAGGTGGTTTTTGTATTAAATTCAGCTTGAAGCAGGTGGTTAGTTGAGATAGTTTTGTCCCAGAAGGATTTTTCTATTGCATTTTCCTTTACTTCTTCGGAGAAGAAGGGGGTGTCTTTTGGATCCATCTACACACACAGTTGATGCAAACTATGAGATTTCAGGCCATCTCTTTCTTCAGCCAGGATGCTTTAGTGTAGAAAACTAACAGGGAGTGGCAGAGCAGGGTGAGCGTGAGGTCAGGGGCTTTTAGTATCTGCATGGATATCACTCCAGATGTCATTAATAAAGGTCAGATTTAGAAAGTGTCTTCTCTCTTAAAAGGAAAGATCATAAATCAGATCTAACTTCCTCCCAAGGTATGTGTTAGGGTACCTACCGTTCTCCCTTTCATCTTGCCGAATGGTGTTGTACAGAGCATAAAACCCTGTGTTGGTGATCATGGCGTCGCTTCTGAACACTGTGGTCATGATGTTTGAAGAAGAGAGGAATGTGAGCTCTGCCCCAGCACAAAACCTGCCCATGGAGAGTGAGGCAGCCTGTCGTCCATCAAACACTTCAATAAAGTCGTAAGGACATCCAGAGATGTCCTCTAATCTGAGGACATGAAGGCAAAGTTAGTATCTCCAAGGAAATCTGCGAAATGTTTCAGATAGAGTCATCTTTTGCATAGCATCCAGCCAAAAACTGCAGTCATCACTGCTCCACCCCCCACTCATCATTTGACCTATTGAATCTGCCCTTCTGTCCTTTCCTACTGGGGCTGCCCCAGGTCTGTTGGGGTCTCATCTTCCACCCAGTCTATTTCAGTGGCTTCTGGTATTCTGGCTTTCAGTCTCTCCTATCTTCTTCCTCTCTACCTTTAGTGTCTCCTGAATGTCCCCCAACTCTTTAATTCAAATCTTGCTACTCTCTGGGGTGGTGGCAAATATCTGACAGTGCCTCATTGAGTTAAACTCTCCAGAAGACCCAGAGCAGGGAGAAATGGTGACAGCTCTAAGAGCTCCGAGGGCTCCTCCCACCAATGCTCCGACCTGCCCTGTTCAAACCAAGTGTTTCATCGATGTTTCACCCAACCTGGACGATCAGAGAAGCTGACCCTGGCCATCCTACCTGTGGCTGCCTTCTCCTTCTTTATTTTCTATCCTATTATCATGTATGCATATTTTTTTCTTCATAGCATTTTTCAATTTATCACTAGTTGAAATTGTCCATTGAGTCATTGGTTTATCTGAGTCCCATTTGTCTCATCATCTAGAATACAAACTCTGTGAGGGTAGAGATCTTGCATTTCTTGGTTGGCACTAGGAGCCTGTTTCTAGTCCAGGGCCTGCTCAATAAATTGAGTTGAGGCTCAATAAATATATGTTGAAAGAACATCAACATTGATCTAACATGATACAAGTATGAGATAGACATATTTGGATTTAAATAATAGTAAGTAGCCTTGAGTGCCTGTATGATACATTCTCATTGCATAATATACATGAGATAGACATAATTACAGTTGTACACAAACTAAATACTGGATTTGAAAACCTACTTATCGCAGAACACAAATGCTGCAGTGAAGTAAAAGCCAAGTACCCCAAAATAACCCATTTTTATTTTTATTTTTTTAAAGTAAGTGATCATATTTGTGTGTAAGGTGACAAGAGTGTGGCAGTAACAGGTGACACTGCAACCTGAGAAATATTTCATCAGAAAACAGGGCATGCTTTAAATAGCAAGAATGAAACAGCATTAAGAGCAATGTCAAAAAGTGCCGTTACTTTTGCACCTACCTGATACTTTAAATATGGATATAATTTTTACAAATTGAGGGTGTAGCAGAGTCCTGTAGGTGCTGAACTATTTTAAAAAATGAAAGTAAGAGTCAGGGTAAATCAGGGTTTTTCAATCTCAGCGCTATCGATATTTGGTGCTGGGTAATTCTTTTCTGGACAGGGAGCTGGGGGAGCTGTCTTGTGCACTGCAGGACACTTAGCTGCATCTCTGGCCTCCACCCACTAGATGACAGTGGTGGTGCCTTCTAATTGTAACAATAAAAAATGTCTCCAGACCTAACCAAATGTCTTGTAGGGGTATATAATCACTTCCAATTGAGAACTGGAATAACAATAAATAGTAAATAATAACCAATTTTATGTTCTGAGAAACAAAAAAAGCAAATTTCAATAAATCTAGACTTTTAACATCAAAATTCAGAAATCAGCCACTATGGTCTGGTTTTGGGCAACACCTTAAAAAGCTCCTTAATTTGTATACTCCAAAATTATAGTATGAAACTCATGTTAGAATAATAACTTTGACATTACAGGGGATGTGGGCCATTACAACTGTTTGGAATAACCATTTCCCAGAAGTGATAAAATGAAACTGTGCCCTAAAACATTAGAACCGTGAACTTCAAAGATTTGAAATACACGGTACCAACTCTTCTCACACTGCTTTCAACAAATACATGTATGTTGAATGAAGGAATAAATGTATGTTGAATCAATAAATGATAAATGCATTTTGCTTATACTGCATAATGCCCCCTGATATTAGCTTATGTCCTTTCTATAAAAAATTATGTAACCACCAAATAAAGCCAATGCAATTCGCCCCTCCTCCACTGAGTAACATTTTATGTTTTTAAAAGTAGCATTTAACCATTCAGATTCTCAACTGCTGTGGCCAATGACGACAGGTGGAAAGCAGTGGCAGAGGTCTGGGGCATACTGTGGGACAAAGTCAGGAAGAGAGAATGACCCAGGTGCAACTCAGTATAGCAAGATGAAACCGGAGTTAAACATTATCAGGAAAAGTAATATTTTTGTTTAAATGTTACTCATGTATATGTACGTATATATGAAAACATGTGTGTGTATATACACCTACATGCATATAAATATACATTAAAATAGATACATTCCTTAAAAATGAGTGATGTAAGTTAAAGAAAGAAGTAGGAAGAACAAGGTGCATGATGAGGGGAATGAATGAACTGTTTAGTCTGTACAAGAAAATTCTTGGTAAGGACATGATAGAAATTCTTGACAAGAACAGGAAGCAGATTTGTGTAGCATCAGAGAGAAGAATGAAGATCAGACCATGAGGATGAGGAAGAATAGATCTGGGTTCAGATGGAGGAGGAAGGCTGTGTCTCAAACAGAACTCGTTAAGAGTTAAGGGGTGAGGTCTTCATGTGTGGGTTGCCCCAGCTACAGCTCAACCGTCTGGTGTCAGGGAGGCCCATGGAGTATTCTCTCATTGCATAGGAAGTTGAGCTAAGTGATTAAATGACTCTCCACAGCTCAGATGATCAGAGCAATTCTCACCGAAAATGTGAAAGGATTTATCCCACAAAAGTCTACCTCGCTGAGGAAAGTGTGGATTGAAATCTAAACTGGCCTTAAAAGTAGAGAAAGAAAACGTTGCTTACTTCAGGCTTGGGATTATCAGTTCTATGTGGAATTTCTCAGCCACATGTATCACCCAGACGCACTCCAAGTCGGTGGGGTAGTTTGTGGGGTACCAAGGGCTGGAGAAGGAACCTGAGAGATTTGAAATCACTCCTCCACAAGAGTTACTTCCTCCTGTAAAAGCAGATGAGAGACCCATGGTTGGTTTCTTTAGGCACACATGTTGCATTTTTCCAGATGTAGAATCCAGAATTCCATCAAGCTCAGCAGTGGAGTCACTAAATGGGGAATGATCACGCTGATGTAAACACAGTTGTGGCTTGGCTGGTGTGAGTGATTGTGCCACTGAGAGGGAATGAGGGAGGATGGAAGATGTATGATGGACAGGCAGGACCCTACAATTGATTGTGAGTGATATTGGAAATGGGATTGGACACATGCATGTAGTGTGTGTGTGTAGTGGGGGCAGCCTGTACTTCTTTAATGCTCTCTCCCGTCTCCTGCCTTGCAAACCAGCTCAGCTCAGATATTGACAACGCACCCATTTGTGAGGGCTCCATGCCACCCATTGCCCTTGTAGTAGCCAGGGCACACAGAAGTCCATTCTGCTTTTATGAATTATAAAAATAATTATCTGTAATTAATACTGTATAGGTTATAGTTTCAATGAAAGAGAGTTACCTTGTGGTATAGGGGCTGGAGGAATGATATCTGCAAAATCCAAAACCATAGAAAATCAAGAGAGAGCTTAGCATCATAAAACCATCTTATACTTAAGCACAAATGAATGAGACTATTTTTACCCTTGAGCTTTAATAAATGGTGTAGACACTTATTTCTCTTTTCTCCCTGATCTGGAATGGAGCCTCTGCCCTTCTTTCAGCTGACTCATGAGAAAATCACCAACCACACACAGTTACATGACTTGTTTTCTCTCATATGCTAGGTTCCACAATCCAAGGGCTATCCTTGGGTTGACCAGTTACTAGGAATTACAGTGACATCACTGGGCTTATGACCATACCACTAAGCCTGTAGAAATTTACCAAGTGCTGAAATTCAGAAAACTGAAAACCAGAAAGCTGAGAGCCAGGGTGGAGAAAGGCAGGTTGGATAAGTGTTCCATTGGAGAAAGATGGACCTTAATGGGGAGGTCCAATGAGTGCTTAAGGTCCCTTCTTTTTCCTTTATTGTGTCCTCTTGGCTTTGATTTCTATGTGGCATACACAGTTGTCCCTCAATATCTATGGGGGATTGGTTCCAAGACTCCCCAAGGATATCAAAATCTGTGGACGCTCAAGTCTCATATAAAACAAAGGAGTATTTGCATAGAACCTATGCTCATCCTCCATTATACTTTAAATCATCTCTGGATGACTTATAATACCTAATACAATGTATTATAACACTATGCAAATAGTTGTTACATTGCATCATCCAGGGAATAAAGACACGAAAAAAGTCTGTACATGTTCAATACAGATGTAACTAAATATTTTCGATCCACAGTTGGTTGAATCCACAGATGTGAGATCATGGATACAGAAGGCCTGCTGTACATCTATATTCTATGTGTGTCCTCAATACCTTCTGCATAGCAGGTGCTGAGGGGAGGGCAGCCATGAAAGCCTGCTCATGAGAATGCTGGTAATTGTTTGGATTTTACACCAAGCGTTTAGTGGGGGAGGAATTTGAAGCAAACATGTCAGATGTACTTGAGAATTCCTTTATTCCCATTGTCTTGCTCCTTGGCCAGCACCACAGCAAGGTGCAGAGCGGTGAAAGTAATGGACACGGTCAACTTACCTGTCATTAGTCCTTTGCCAGAAGAAGTGTAGTATATCACTGGAATACATTTTTCACTAAAAGTGGCTCAGAAGCAATTTTCTTTTGTTAAAATGCTTGATATGCAATATTTATCTCAGAGTATTAAATGGCAAAAGCCTTATATTTTTGTGTCTTGGTAGGTATACAATGTTCTATCAATAAGAATTTTTTTTTATTCATGCTTACAGTGGGATACTATTTAGACATAGGTGGTTGCATTTCCCTCCATAGTTTCCTTAATCCCATGACCCATTCTCTTTTCCAGCCAGCTATGCATCTCTGCCTCAGAAAATGGATATTACAGCAGAGAGAAGACAGAAAGGCTTTCTGAGGTTTGAAGCCCCAGCCTCCAAGAGGACTTGGGCCTAGAGCTGTTGATGAACTGAAAACCATCCCCTCTCCTCCTGCTGTCTTTTCCTCCTCCCAGGGCCCAGGCCAGAACAGACTCCTCACTGGGGAAGAAGAGGAAAGCCAGAGGGAATCAAAGAGAGTGTAGCTGCTTGTTAAACCCAAGAAAGGGTTCTGTGCACTCTGCCTCCTCTCCAGAGCAGCTACATAATCTGTGGGTCTCAGTGCAAAATGAAAATGTGGGGCCCCGGCCTGGAGTGGGGAAATCACTTTCCCCTTCACATGCCCCAACCCATGGCAGCTGGGCAGCCCACAAGGAATGGAGGTCTCCATCTTGGGACACACTTGGGACCTGGAATGGAATGGGCAAGAGACCTCCACAGAGTGTCCTGGCAAGTGTGCCACGGTTCTGCCAGCCCAGGATAGGGACAGCTGCCATCTACCTTGTTGGGCCCTGAAATGCCACAAAATGCATCCCTGACCCCGATAGCTTCCCAGTGTCCAGGCCGTTGCTGCGGGCAGAGTGTGGCAGCAGTCACTGGGCAGAGTTAAGGAAGAGGCTGGGCAGGGCCCAGAGGCCCAGGGAGCAGAGAAAGGGGCCGCTGAGAACCCTTACCCGGGAAGCAGGAGGCCACAGAAGGCAAGACCCCACATGCTTCAGAATCTTGAGTTCGGGAGAAGGTCACTGCTACACACTGACTTTGAGTAGGTTACCAGTAAGTCCACTCTGCTATGTTGGCTAAGCCAGGAGACCCACGGAAGAGCCGTAAATGGTTTACTTCTCATCAGCAGTCTGCTTTTGACTCACTGGGAGACAGTTTGGCATCTGATGTATCTTTTCTTTCCTGCATACTTTCATTTTCTAACCCATGTCCCTAAGAGACAACATTTCCAGGGTCTCTCGTCTCCCTATTGACCTTCTTCTCAGTCATAGTGACTCAGTCTTTCTCCATCTTTCTCCTCCTGCCCTCCCTTGCTCTGCCACTAGAAGACGGTTTTGGATATGAGTCCATTTGGGAAATGTGGCTTTTAGCTCCTTGCCTGAGCACTGGTTCTCCACCTTGGCTGCACATTGGAATCACATGGGGAGCTTCAGATATCACTGATGGCTGGGAGTGACCTCAGAGACTCTAAGGTAACAGATCAGGGATGCAGCCTGGGCACCAGGAATTTCAAAAACTTTCTGAGTGATTCTAGTGTGCAGCCAGAATTGGGAACCACCAGCCTAGTCATCGTCTACCAGTGTCTAGGTCAGGAGAGAGGTTACTTTTTTTCTTTAACTTTGCCAAGATAGTGCAAATTTAGTGTTGGTTCTACCTGGGGGTGCAGGAGTCACATCTGGAGCCCAGTCTCCAGCATCTGCATGCATACAAGAAAAATTTAGATTAATCTAACTTACATTCTATGAAGACAAAGAAATGGTGACTTTCTAGTGTGGGCAGTTCTCAAGCAGGCAGGTCTCATGTTACATAAGCAAAAATGAGGGCATGGTTAGACCTGGAAAAGCAGTTCCAGAAATGGGAGAGGTGCAGAGAACAGGCGCAGCCAATTGTGTGGCTCTGCTGTGTTTGTCCTGAGAATGGAGCCAGGCTCACAGCATTCTCTGTCTACCTGGCCAAAGGGACATTCATCTGTTGGGCCACTGTCCCAAAATTCCCTGGCCCCGCTCCGTGCATGGCCTTCATCCATCACTAGGATGTCTTTGGGTGAAAGATCAGAAAGAAGCTATCATAGAAGGAGAGGCTACCTGAGCAGACGACACTGGCATCCTCATGATGGCCGCAGTTGTCGTCTGACCAGCCAGAGCTGGGGCACTGGCCAAGGTGGTTCTCACTTCCTGAACACTGAATGTTGTCTAGAAGGATGTCTCCAGAGCCTGGGCCAAAGTGGGCCTTTCCAGGAGCAGCAATGGCCCAATCACACCCGAGCTGCTGGCATACAACCTCAGCTTCATTCAGATCCCACAGGTCACCACAGACAGCGCCCCAGGAGCCCTTGTGTAGGACCCCCACATGTCCTGAGCACTGGCCAGAGCCACCCACCAGCCACAACTCTGGTCCATCTTCTAAACAGAGCAAGATTTTATTTTTGAGTTTGATAAGTTTTAGGTAGCAAGTGATTTCTAGCTTCTGTGTTTGTGGCTAAGGCAAACACAAGAGCAAAATCTTAAAGCTGAATGATTTAATCAGGCTTAAGGGCTTCAGAGTGAGACAGGAAGTGGGTCTGAATTCTTGTTCTATGGCTTCCTAGTTGTGTAAACTTTGATAGGTGACTGTCTCCCTGAGCCTCAGTTTTATCACCTGTAAAATAAGGACTCTAGCAGCATCTAGAGGGGATGCTACCAATGAGAGTGTGGTCAGCACCCAGCAAGTCAGGTTTACTGCAGATCTTGACATATGGTTTTTGTGTCACAATGCCGAGTTATGGGACAGCAGGTTCCCAGCTGCCTTTTTGTATATGTCTTGGATAAGGGTAGATTTAATCCCCTGAAAGGCACCTGGACCACAAGGGTGACTGTGACTTCAGAAAACACAGTGGCAATGCTCTATCTGGACTGAAGGGCTGTGGCCAATTAGAGTTATCTGCTATCTCTGGAGGCACTGTAAGGACAGCCTCCCCTTACTGTGTCCACTGACACTGTTACTTTGGCCTTCTTTCTGTTTCTCCAACATGCCCAACTCTTTTCTCTGCCTGTAATGCTTTTCTATGTCATTCATCACATGCCACGTCTTCAGAGATGCCATCTGTTCTCATCCAGCCTATAGTAGCACCTACTCCACTCCAGGAATCCTCTACTTTCCCACCTGGCTCCTTATTCCCAGTCTTCACCTCTGTCCTTTATCATCCTTACACCAAAACCAGTTTGTTTATTTCCTTGTTTATTGTGTTTTGATCCTCTCTCGCTTACCCACGTCCACACTAGAGTATAAACTCCAAGAGGGCAGGGAGCTGTACTGTGCTCCCACACTTACAACTGGACCTGGTATATAATAGGACCTCTGTAACTATTGTTGAATGGCTAAATGGTGGTCTTGAGTTAATGAGTGTCTGTATTTCAAACGTTGGAGCTTACCTTGCTTCTCCAGGGCAGAGTTTCAAACATTGCTTTGAGGGTGAAATATGTAAGGAATTTCCTTACTCAGATACAAGCAAACCCCAAACCACATCCAGGGACTTACTATCTGACTTTCTGGTGGCCTAAAAGAATTACTGGGGTTTCTGCAGGGGCGGCCCCTCAACATCAGAAGTCTCACAGTTGGCAGGCAGTGTGCTTGCAGTGTGCAAATTGGACCTGGCTTTGGAATGACTGCCTGCAGGGTCATGGCTAACAGGAATCCCCAAGCCTCTCGTTTGGGTGAGACTAGGTTTCAATGTATGCAAGGTGTAAAATGGGCCAGCTAGTGGAGGAGGTGGAGTCTTGTTATACGAGTGTTGCACTTCCACATTTCAGCACTCCGGACAGTTCCCAAGAAGCTGTGGATAGTAGATGCAGCCCCAAGACCCTTTATAGCAACCAGCTTTTGCCTGCAGGCAGTAGCAGCCTGGCCACTCACACACAGAATGCACATGACTGCCTCATTGTAGCTCCCATGTGGCCTTCATGTTGGGAAAATCTAGCAACTATAGAGTAGGATTAATGAAGCCAAGTGTGGGGGTCTTAAAAGACTGAATCCCAGAGCTCTACTGGTAAGGGATTCTCTGAAGTTAGAAACTGTTCTGTCTTTTAACCACCAAAAACTACTTGAAGTTTTCTACCTGACTGCCTTGCACCCTGCGGAAAGGCATTGAAAAGAGCATAAAAGCCAGTGTTGGTTTTCATGGAATCACTTTGGAACACCACTGTCATGATGTGTGAGGAGGAGAAGAAGATCACAGTTTCAGGGGCACAGAACTTCCCCATGGAGAGTGAGGCAATCCTGGGACCATTGAAGATTTCAACGGAGTCATAGGGACATCCAGGGATATCTTCCAGCCTGGGTTGAATAGACATGGAGGGGTAGTGGCAGATTAGAAACTTCCTAGAATTTAATGCTAAAAAAGTGTGACAATCATAGAGATTAACTATTTGGATTATATTTAAATTGCACACTGAAATGTAAAATATTAATTAATTTTTTTCAGATGACCTATCACAACTCTGTTTTCTTTGGCTAAGGAATGTGGGGGGCTTTCAGGTACAATCTTGTAACAGAATTTTTAAAATTATAATGGTTTTGGCCAATCATAACCTACCCAGGAAATACTATTTTACTATTAGGAAATACTAGTTTACACTGCAACTAAATTCATAACAGTCAGATCACCCCAATGATCAGCATGTAACAGACATCACAGCCAGATTTTTCCTACTTCTGTATTTCACAATAATTGCCATACTCGAATTCTTGGGTAGGAAAAAACTTGATTTCAAAATAAAAGTGGTGACAGGATACAGAAGAATATTTGTAGTATGGCAATTATTCAGGAGGAAGGTAAGGGGAAGCAATTTTGAAGGAGCAGACAATGGATAACATAATAGAATTTGGAGGTGTGGGTTAAAGGTCCTTACCTCATTGTGGCTAATTGTGTCCCTAGGGTTTTAGTCAACAAATGTAACATGTCCTGAGGCATTTTTGGCTTAGTGCACGGCTGTGGTATAGTCATTATGGAACACAATTCATTGCATGCCTGGAGCTAATGATCATGGAATTCCACAGTCTTGCTGTGTTTGTAACATGATGTGTGTCATGCACAAGAAGAAGGGCTTCATGCAGACTCTTTTACAGACCCACATATTGGTGAACAGATGGGGCACTGACATCAGACAGATCTAGATGGGCTGGCCTTGAGCAAATTAATTATCCTCTCTGAGTCTCAGGCTCCTTATCTCTAATGGAGATGACAAAGACATCTATCTTTGGACTGTATAATCCTGGAATATGACAAAGCCTACAAAGTCTGGGCCAGCATCAAAATGTCAGCTGTTATTTTATGTCATAGAGATAAAAATGTCAGTGACTTTGTAATATTTATTCTCTTTATGTCAGAGATAAGGCAGTGACACCAATGTCTCCTCTTACTTTGCAGAACATTTGGAAGATGCAGGTCCCAAAGCTGGAGTGGTTGGCTAATGTGTGTATGAAAATTCTCTTACTGTTTAAAATTTGGATTCAAATAAGAAAGTCTCAGAGGACAAATACTGATACCCAGTGTACAATAAGGGCAAAGCTGTTGAGGATTTTTGTGATATTTTTAGAAAAAAAAAGAAACACTATCAAAATATGTTAATAAACCACTTATTGGATTTTTCAACTTAGAAGTAACTCATTGGATAGTGCCACAGAGTTAACCCAAAATTTGACTTGGAAAGACTATAGAATGTTGGGTTCTTCTGCTTTCACTCTTAAATGTTTCCACTAAAAGAAATACCTTTAATATGATTTCACAAATCAATATTCTTATTTACATAGAACGTTCTCTTTAAAAGTTTTCTTACTTCAAACTTAGAATTATGAGTTCTATGCGAAATTTTGTATCCACGTGGATCTCCCAAACACACTGGATGTCTGTTGGGTAGTTTTCTGGATACTGTGGACTAGAAAATGAGCCAGAGAGACTAGAAGTGACCCCTCCACAAGAGTTACTTCCTCCTGAAACAACAGGAAAAATGGTGTCAGAATGTGTTCATTTGGCATCACTGTGTACTCCTAATAAAGACCAGCTTACACGCAGTGGTCTGGTGGAATGAGGCGCCATTGGCCTGGGTGGGCAGGCACAAGCGATCTGAGCAGACATTTAGCTTAAATGTTTCTTGGGAAGGAGAGTCTATTCAATCTAATTCTGATGAAGCAAAAAGCATCAATGTGTGAAAGTTCCCTGCTTTTCCCTCTCTCTCAGCACCTGATAAAGAAAATGTCCAATTTGTCCTTTCTGCTTACAGTTTTCTTTCCCTCTCTCTCAGCACCTGATAAAGAAAATGTCCAATTTGTCCTTTCTGCTTACAGTTTTCTCCCCCTCTCTAAAGTAGGGGTTTTGCTTGCTGGGGAGGGACAGAGTAATGAGAGACCAGAAGGAGAGATGAAGAAATAGAGGCCACATGTGCTTGGGAAAGGGGAGAGTTTGGGGAGGTTTGGGGAGCAAGAGGTTCTAGAACAACTTTGGGTTCTGATGAATCGTAGGTAACGGGAAAGGGACACTGATCTGTTAGGGGATGTTATGACCAGCACCTTCTTTAAGTACTCTTCCTCACTTTTGCTCGGTAGATTACGTTTCCTTTAACTCAGATATTTAGTCTGAGACTGGAACTTGCAGGATTTTGGATTTATAAGGGTTAAACAAGATAACAGTGAAATCTAATAGTTTGATGTACGTTGTCGTATTAGCATAGACAGATACACACACATCCATATATGTATTTAAAACAGGATTTCACACAAAGAAGCAGAAAACCTTGAATCATCAAAGTATTTTAGAGGCAATGTGAAAGTACAATATTCTTTATTGACCTTGTCCCTAAACTATGAAGATGCTTAACTTTTCTACTTTCTCTTCCCCTTGGCCAACTTGTGATCCTCCCAGAATCCCACAGATTCCTGTCTTTCCTGAGATGGATGGCAGGAAGCGATGATGCTCCTAGTCATCTGGTAGTTTTATCACTGACTGCATTTGTAAGCTACAATAATGAGGCCAGGCGGGCTGACACTGAAACCTCTGGGAGTTTGACCTTCTGAAATCTCTACATGTGGCAGGGGATAATGGACTGGTGCCTTCTACAGGACTGTACCCAAACAGGGCAGGCTGAGTATGGACCAGATGTCTGACCTGGGCAGATATACATCCCGCTTCCCAGCCTGATCCTCTTGTTGTAAAGTCACTATTTTTCACAGAGTATATTACACAGAATGGCAGCAGAGAAGCAGACCCCTTGCCCACACTGTGCCAGGCTCCATTGTGAAATGTCCTGGGCACACTGCCCAGCATTTGCCATGATAGTTCTCTTGACATGGAATGACTATTTCAATTTAAAATAAATGACTACCTTTGATGTGATCCTGAGAAGCTGTAGAAGAACCTGAAAGGGAAAAAAAGGCAGATAATGATGACATCCAGATGAAAATATGTAGTCTTATTTACAAATCAGTGAAATGTAAAGGGTTTCCTTAGAAATATCAATATACTTAGTGCAAACTGAGGAGAGTTTGCACTGAAAGTGCTGAGTGAATGTTTCCTGTGGTTCTGTGGCAGGTAAGAGAAGGCCACAAATTCTCAGACATGCCTCCTGTCACAGGTGGGGTCTAAGTTCCCTCCCTTGAACTTGGGTGGGTTCTGTGACTGCTTTGACCAACAGAATATGGCAGGAATGGCTCTGCACGTTAAGAGACTGGTGGCTTCCACCTCCCATCTCTGGGAAAACTGACTTGCTCATGTAGCCCTGGGCCACCTTACAAGAAGTCTGAGTGTGACCAGGTGTGGTGGCTTACGCCTGTAATCCCTGCACTTTGGGAGGCCAAGGCGGGTAGATCACCTGAGGTCAGGAGTACGAAGACAAGCCTGGCCAACATGGTGAAACTCCCTCTGTACTAAAAATACAAAAATTAGCCAGGCATGGTGGCGGGCGCCTATAATCCCAGCTACTCTGGAGGCTGAGGCATGAGAATTGTTTGAACCCGGGGGATGGAGGTTGCAGTGAGCTGAGATTGCACCACTTCACTCCAGCCTGGGCAAAAGAGCGAAACTCCATTAAAAAAAAAAAAAAAAGAAAAAGTCTGAGTGTGCATGGTCTCTCAGCAGGGTAATCAGACTTCTTGTAACCTGAGACCACCTAAAAAGGAAGAGGGCTGTGGCTGAGCCTGTCCTTCCAGCCGACCCCACCAAGGCACCAACCGTATGAGTGAAGCTGTCTTGAATTCTCTAGACTAGTCATCAGATGAACTCCACTGAGCAACCTTGCTCAATGCTCTGTGGAGCAGAAGGGTCTCCCAGCTGAGCCCTGCTTGAATTCCTGATCCTCGAAGACATGGCATACATCTAAATGGTGGTTGCTTTAAATTGCTAAGTTTTGGGGAGCAATAGAAAACCAGAATGGCTCCTTTCACTCAATCTCATTTTTCTCATTTCCCTGCCATCCATAAAATGAGAAAACTACAGATCAGTCTTCATTGGAATATCCACTGCCCTTGACCCTAACCATGACCCTTTAACTTTAGACAGTCCCTCCCTTCTCACTCGTGGTCCCAATAGGTAAATCTGGCCTTCCCCCAAGAACACCAGGACACATCGAGGTCTTCTCCAGGCAAGTTCCCAAGAGAGATGCTTCTGCCAATGGCTGGTGGCTTGTCTTTGTTTACTGAGGCTGTGTAGGGGACAGCCAGGTTCATTCAAAGGGCAAGAGATGGCTTTGTAAATTCCAGTCCTGCCACTTTCTAACCAAGTTATCTTCAGCAGGTTTTTGATCTCCCTGATCCTCAACTGTGAAATCACCTTTCAATCACCTTCAGCATCATTTCAGAATTTGCAGTGCATGTGGTTGGTCTGTTTTTTTCTAATATTTGGTTTTAATTACAGATGAATATTAGCCAATAATTCAATTATAAGATCTTTGAAAAGAGGCAAAAGTCATAAGATCCCTAAGAGCATGTACTTTGGGGCCAGACTGATCAGTGTCAAAATTTGGGTCATTAACTTGTTGAGTGATCCTGAGAAAGTTACTTAACCTTTCTGTGTCTCAATTTTCTCTTCTGTAAAATATAATAGATAATGCCTTTTTGCAGGATTGTCCTGATGATTAGCAATGATCTGAGCAAAACGTCTCCCCATGTTTACTGTAGTTTCCCCTGGTCTTTGTGTAGCTGAGCCAATGAATGGGTAAATGAGATTGATGGCCAAGAGCATCGACAGGTTGGGTTCAGATACCCTGGCTAGCCCTGGGTACCTCGCTAATGTTCTCTGTCTCAGGTTATCTGGAAAATACGAATAATCCAAGAACTCGCCTCAAGGGGCTATTGTGGGGATTGCAAGAGTTATATAAGTGAAGGGCTCAGAACAGTGCCTGGTTCTTAGCACTTATAGGTATTTGCTGCTATTATTATTATTATTATTACTGAATTAGAAAACAATATGGACATACCTGGTGGTGTGGGTGGAGGTAGGTCTTCGGTATCTGAATGCATAAAGAAAGGTAACAAGTTAATCTATTTTGGGGTGACAAGGTATAGAAACCCAGAGTACCAGAACTACCCCTTGGGTAACTTCAACCCTCCTCTGTCAGGGTCCTTGGCCTAGGAGGCTGGGGAATAGCAGCTGGGTCAACTATGCCCCTTGGCAGCCAGGGCTCTTGCCCTTGGCCCTTCTTATGCAGAATCCCTGGACTACTTGTTGAGATGCATATTCCAGAGCCCCTTTTTTACTTAGTCATAATATCTGGGGGCAGGACCCTAGAATCTACATTGTAGTGCCCAGGTGGTGCTCATGCCAAATAATTAGAGACCTCTCCCCTGCAACCAGAGCTGCCCATGGCGTCCAAAGGAGATGCTTGAGAAACAGGTAGACACATGGATGGATGGATGGATGGATGGATGGATGGATGGATGGATGGATGGTTGGTTGGATGAAAATGCCACCCAGGATGCAGAGTTTCAAAATGTCACAATTGCAGCATCAGAAATCACTGGCTGAGAAGGGAGAGGATACCTGAGCAGATGACACTGGCATCCTCATGGTGGCCACAGTTGTGCTCTGACCAGCCCAAGTGGGCACACTGGCCCAGGTTGTGCTCTACCCCAGAGCACTGGAGATTGTCCAAGAAGATGTCTCCTGAGCCTGGGCCAAAGTGGGCCTCGCCAGGGCCAGAAACAGCCTGCCCACACCCCAGCTGCCGGCACACAACCTCGGCTTCGTTGAGGTCCCACAGGTCGTCGCACACGGTGCCCCAGGCACCCTGGTGGAGAATCTCCACGCGCCCCGAGCACCGGCTTGAGCCGTCCACCAGCCGCAGCTCCGGCCGGTCTTCTGCAGACAAAGACACAGCATGTGAGTTCCCAAAAGACCTGACCTGGGTCCACCAGTGCCAGCTCAGAGACGGTTAGGGAGGAACATTCCCCAATCTTAAGCCTTGGGGCTTGTTCCTTAGATTTCTCACGTGTTCCTGAGTTGCAGGTTGTGAGGTCTTCAGTCAATTTAATTTCATTTTAAGTACTCATTGATTGTCTTTTATGTTAGGGACTGATGATACAGTTCTAAACCAGAGATGTGATTTCTGTCCTCAGGGAGCCCAGAGTCTATTTATTAGTCAAATGCAGGCACTGCTACAGTGCACCATTGCACACTGTGATAAATGGGCCAAAGAGGGGAAAAACAGGATGCTATGAAGGGAACAACAGAGAGTAAGGGCCTGGAGGACACCTCTTTAAAAAGTGAGAAGGAGCTAGTCAGGGGAAGAGCTGGGAAAGTGGCCTGAACCAGAGGAATATCATATGCAAAAAGGCCATGCATCTCCAAAAAATATAGACTTACACACACACATATCATCATCATCACACGTAAAAAATCAAAAGTATTTTTAAATAAGACTTTCTAATAGAATCTCAGTGGTGTGAAAATCCTTGCAGTTTAGATAAAGAGTGAACTTAGAACTGAAAAAACAAATAGCTTAAGGACAAAATCAAGAACATCTGATATTTAACTCCCAACAACAAAAGATGTGACTGACCTGTACTGTTAGCGAGTGATTCTTCAGCATCTGTTTATAGAGAGAATAAGAATGTCACTATTTTTTGGAAACCTTGACTTTAACAATGGAAGATAAAGCTTTTAGTTCCATCATTATATGTGTTTATTAATCTGATGTGGGAAAAATTGGTCCTTTTAAAAAACATAGTACTGGGAGAAGCAGATTCATCTGTAGATAATGAAAGTAAGTTTCTCTCTGGTTGTTGGTTTGTACCAAGTTATGTAAAAATGGCCAGATGCAAAGGTACATTTGGAATGATCTGACTTAAACCATCAATTCTGTAGCAGGTGAGTTTCACTTTGGGCATATTTGGGGGGACTTCAGATTTAGACAATCATCCTCTGGAAGATTGAGACGTGGGAATAACATCTACCCAGGAGACTGTCACGAGGATACATGTCACTCATGATAAGACGTCACAAAGTAAAGAGGCAAATGAATGTACCAACACGTAAGACAATGTTTTTAAGTATGCACCTCAAATTAAAGGTCATGGTTAGCAGGTACTGACATGCAATTGAGCTGCTTTTCACATGGGCAACTCTATGCAGCAAGCCCTCCTACTTTGAGTTCTGATTCCTGATTTTTTCAAGTCACATCAGGTATTACAGCTGTTAGTTTACCAAAAGGCATCTCATTATTAGAAACGATTATTAATAGACAATCCAGAGGTGGCTAACTTACTCATAGCTAACTGTTTATACACAAGAAAATCCAGAATATATTTTTAAAATTGTCACAAGCCAATTGAAATAAGTCAGGTTAGTGCACAGATTTCTTTGGTGTTGTGATTGAGTGAGGACATGGCAGTAAGAATTACCAATATGCTTAAGAGAGAGCTTGAGTGTTGCTCACATACAGTCTGTGTGTCAGCATAGGCTCTGGAAGCCAGACTCAAGTGTTCCTGGCTCTGCAGTCCCCCCTAGCCTTGCTACTGAGGGCCGCCTCTTTCAATGAGCTCCTTATTCCCAGCATTAAAAAATTCTCATCATTAAACATGTGATTTGCATATTTCAGTAAAGCACACGTATTACTACCAAATTAAAAATTAGGTTTTATACTGGAGGCTATCAGAAAAAACCACATCTATTTAACCAAGTTAGAAAAGCTACAGCAAAAATCGAATGCTAAATGTTTGAGGATCCTGTTTTTGTTCCAGGCTGACTCTGAACACTAGCAGGGAAGTTTTGAAGCACTCTGGGACTGGCAGTGCCCATATTAGAGGGGAGAAGATACCTGAGCAGATGACACTGGCATCCTCGTGGTGGCCACAGTTGTGCTCTGACCAGCCCGAGTGGGCGCACTGGCCCAGGTAGCGCTCCACACCAGCGCACTGGAGGTTGTCCAGGAAGATGTCTCCTGAGCCGGGGCCAAAGTGGGCCTTTCCAAGGGCAGACACGGCTCGACCACACCCAAGCTGCCGGCACACAACCTCAGCTTCGTTCAGGTCCCACAGGTCATCACACACGGTGCCCCAGGAGCCCTGGTGGAGAAGTTCTACGCGTCCTGAGCACCGGCCAGAGCCACCCACCAGACGTAGCTCCGGCCAATCCCCTGCAGAGAGAGATCCGCTAACTGTTGTCCTCTGGGGGCAACACCCTTCCCATGAGTGTTGAGCTCCCCACCCCATGCTACTTCTACTAGTGGAAAACCTTGTACTTGGTCAACTATTCAACCTCTTAGTTGGAAGTTGCAAAGCCATTAGGATTGTCTGTAGCACTAGAAGTCCACTAATTGAGTATCTATTTTTCCAGAGGTATGTGCCCATTTGTTTTGGCTAAGTGCAGAAAAATAAATAATTTGCACAGTGATTTGTGATTTTACAAAGTGTGTGGTGCATGTGTGTGTGTTCACCTCCATCTTTATAATAACTCAGGAAGGTAAGTAGAAGAGTATTGGTGTACCAATTTTATCTATGAGGAAACTGAAAGTTGGAGAAGCAAAGTGATTCACCCTCGGTCCCACATCTGGTAAGCAGCATATGTAAAGTCAGATCTCCTGGTTCCAAAGTTCACGATTTTTTCTCTGCTATTCTATCTCACTGCCTCTGCAATGGCTCTGACACTCCACTTACTTTGCTAAAGTCTATTGGTGATGCGGATGGGGAGCTAACTGTGATCAGTACTGGTCATAAGGTGGAAAGACAGAACCCCACTAGAAAGTACTTGTAAGCTGCTCAGGCTTTGATGACCCTGAAAGGTACCAAAAAATGAACTTCACTCATCTTGGGATGCTAGAGCGAAAAGACCCCAAATGTTTTGAATGGCTCTAAAAGTTTGGGCAGAGTCAAGTGTCCCATTTGCAAATAGATGAACTATTTGCAGTCGGTCCAGTTTCTGTGCATAAGCAGATACAGGTGCAGATACAAATGCAGGTGCTGAGAGGAAAGGACACACTCAGTAAATGAATGAATACATTTCAGGGCTTACCTGCTCTTGCTGTTACTGTTGTGGGTGTTGCTATCGGGATGGCTGTGGATATAAGAAGACTACCATGATTAAGAAGGGATGACTTAGGCAAGTCAAGAAGGCAGCATTCTGAGATCAGTCTTCAGTAAATGCCAAGTTTCTGGCTGATTCTTTTTCCCTGCAATCTTCATAACATGTGACCTCCCAAATCAAACTCTGTTTTCATGTGGGTCTTTATGTTTCTCACGTGTGTGAGGTCCAACAAAAATAATATTCTCTTTTTCTGCTCAGTTACCATAAATATAACAATATTTAAATTGTGCTATTCTATGCAAAAATGCGAACAGTCACAATCAGTGTCCTTCTGGGGAAAATAGCTGTTTCTTCTGCTTGCTTCTGCCTTACTAACTTTCCCTAAAAGTGGAGTATCTGATTAGGTGAGTCATTGACTTTGATAAAAACAAAAAAGGAGATCAAATAAAAAATTATCAATATACAGAGACTCAATCATTGATAGGCATAACTTGGTTCCAGTGTAAATGGGCATCATATTTATGCAAAAACTGTGCAGACAGAATCTCTCATCTACAGAAGATTTATACAGGGAATCTGGAATCATCTACAAGAGACAGAGCAAATAATGAGAGTAAAAGCACTGGGAGAGGGGACACAAGAAGAAATCAGGGAGTACAACTTGAGTAATAGCATGAATGCGACTCACTGATTAGATGTGGAGTCTGCGACACTGCCTCTGCAAATACAAGGAAATACATCGTCAATAGTCGTTTAACGCGGATTATGGTGATTTGTCATGATCTACTTTGGTACATAGAGCATCTCCTTTGTGTTTTATAGCATGTTCCCAAAGCTTGCTCAGTGAGTCACCCTGGCACTTGGTAAAATACAAGAGACTGTTTTGAACAATGTCTTAGAAAAAGTGGATACTAGTTATTTGCAGTTTCATGAGCTCTGCCTGTTTTCTCTTAGTGGTGAATAATGCAGGACCTCAGATAATTACTGAAACTCCTAAGTCTCAGTTTCCTAATCTGTAAAAGGGGAAGAATCATGGGTCTGTGTAAGGATAACATATGTGAAGTGCCTAAAATGCTGCCTGGCATATAATAGGGATTCAGTAAGTGTTAGCCGTTATTTTGAGCATTTTGATCACTGTTGTTGTTATTATTGCCTAACCCTGAGTACCCTGCACTTCAACAGGCAGCCTTGGCTTGGTCCATCTGCCTTCTTGCTTTCTTGCCACCCACTTTATATATCCTATCTCTAGGCCATACTGTTCCCTCACCTGATGTGCTGTGTCGCTTTCTCTAACTATAGCCTAACCAGCTTTACAGGCCGTTTCCCCTCAGTGTTTCCTTAATACTTATAACCTATATTGCACTCTCTCTCTTTCCTAATGTCTTTTGCAGAGTTGCATGCATATGTCAATTTAGTATATTCTGGTATATTTATCTGTCCTATTGTTTGCCTTCTTCTAGCGTTTCTATCTGTCCTATTGTTTGCCTTCTTCTAGTGTTTCTATTTGTCCTCTATGCATACCCCATGTATTTGCCTTAAACTTCCTCTTGGTTGTACTTGAGCCTCTCTCAGGCTGGGACTACAGTTTCTTCTGCAGGTCCTAAAACACCTACCTAGTACTAGATTCAGAGTAACTTCAGAAATGACTTTCTAATTGACTGACTGTGATGAGATGTTTAGGTAAAATGAAAAAGCTAACGATAAAGCAGCCCATTATCAAACATTTATGATGTGCCATCACTTTGCAAAGTGTTTTACTTACCTAATTGCATGCAAGCCTCACAATAAACCTGGAAACTAAGGGTCCCTTGTTGTCCCCATTACACAGGAAAGGAATTGAGGCTGGAAGAGATCAAGTTGCTTGCCCAAGGTCACAGAGTAAGGATGATAGGACAGTGACTGGCACCCAGCCAGAGAGTCCAGCTCTGGAACTGCTGCTTTTTACCACTATTCTTACCTTTGGGTGCAGAATAATAATAAGCAATGAAGTTTTTTCCTAGGTTATTGAAGCTTCGGAAATACACGAGGGTCATTGAGCTGAAGGAGGATATGTAGGTGGGGCGGAAGCCAGAGCAGGTCCTCCCCAATGACTTTGCTGAGGATGGAGGACCGTCTAGGATTTCAAAATATTCATTGGTGCAGTCGAGACTGGGGAAGCAAACACCATGGATGCCTTTCAGTTTCCTCATTAGAAGACCTTAGAGGCACGCTATGAGACAGATACTTCACTTCATTACTACAAAGATGTTGACGATAGAGTAAAAGCGTGGCAATCATTTAAACATAGCATGGGTTCCTTTGATCCTACTTTTCCTCTCTAAGAGCCACTGCTTTAAGGGAACGGGATTTTAATTGGAAGAGGAAAGAGGACGCTGGCACAAAATGTGCCCCTGGAAGCAGCCCAACCGGCAGAGTACTTCACAGCTTAGGGCCAAGGGCAGGGCCTGGGAAATCAAGGCAACTTCACCATGTGGTGATTGGGGGGCCCAGGAACAGGGAGAGGCTGCTTGCTTCTCATGGGCCTGCCGGTAGGACATGGCTCCAAGTTGTAAATAATGCATTTACAAGTGTTTGGCAGCAGACCCACCCAGAGGAAAGTGGGCTGCCAAATCTTCCCAGCTTGCTTTGTGGAAGTTATCTGATTTTGTCAGCTGCTGTTTTTTACTATGATGTTTTCTTCAGATGTTGCCAGTGCTAGAATCCGAAAATCACTTTCATACTTCAATCTGACGAGCCATCTGTTCCAAGCCATATTTCGATTAAACAAAATTCAAGCGTAATAAATGATTTAACTTGTTCTTAGGGGTTAATTTCCACAAGAAATTCATCATGAATTTATCATCTGTGAATTACCATCTAAAACATTAAAACTTAAAATTTCCTGACTTATTAGGTCTGGAGTACCCTAGAATTTATATCTTTAACCAGCAGGCCAGAATACACACACACACACACACACACACACACACACACACACTCTCTCTCTCTCTCTCTCTCTTTTTCTCTCTCTCTCTCTTTCTCTCCTTTCTGTTTTTCTCCTCTCTCTTTTTCTCTCTTTCTCATGCACACACACTTACCCAAATAATAAAAGGTCAATTTCATTTTAATTAAAAATTCATGAAAACTCATAAAAATCAATTGTATTTCCCTATACTAGCAACAAACAGGTGGACACTAAAATGGAAAACACAGTGTCAATTATAATCACCTCAAAAAATAAAAAATAAAAGAAATACCTAAGTATAAATTTATAAAACATACATAGGATTTGAATGATGCAAATTACAAATAGCTAAAATATAATACCAAATGCTAGCTATCAACGATGTGGAGAAACTGGATCTCTCATATGTTGTTGGTGAGAATTTGTAATGGTTGTCACTCTGGAAAATAGTTTGGTATGTTTTTAAAAAGCTAAATATGTACTTACCGTACAACCTAGCAATTGCACTCTTGGGATTTATCCCAGAGAAACAAAAGCTTATATTTACACGAAAAGCTGTGTATGAACATTCATAGAAGACTGATTTGTAAAAGTAAAAGACTATAAACAACACAAGTGTCCTTCAGTGGGGGAATGATCACACAAATCCTGGTACATCCACACAAATGGAATACTTCTCAATAACAAAAAGGAACAAGCTGTTGATACAACAGTTGTTGGAACAACAACAACAAACCAAATAACTCTATTACAAAATGGGCAAAGGACATGAATGGACATTTCTCAAAAGGAGACACAGAAATGGCTAATGAGTGTATGAAAAAAATGCCCAACATGACTCATCATCAGTAAAATGCAAATTAAAACCACAATCAGATATCACCACATCTGTCTCAATGGCTATTATAAAAAGAAGAAAGATAAATGTTGTCAGTGAGGTGGAGAAAAGGGAACCCTTACACACTGCTGATGGAAACGTCAATTAGTACAGCCATTATGGAAAACAGTATGGATGTTCCTCAAAAAACTAGAGATAGAACTACCACATCATTCAGCAATCCCAGTTCTGGGTATAAATCCAAAGGAATTAAAATCAGTATGCCAAAAAGGTATCTGTACTCCCAAGTTTACTGCAGTATTTCTCACAATAACCAAGATATGGGAACAATCTAAGTGTTCATCAATGGATGAATGGATAAAGGAAATGTATATATGCCCATGGAATACTATTCAGCCTTAAAAAAGAAGGATGTTCTGTCATTTGCAACATGGATGAATCTAGAGGACATTATGCTAAGTGAAATATGCTAGGCGTGGAAAGACAAATACCGCATGATCTCACTTTTAGGCAGAATCTAGAAAAGCCAAACTCATAGAAATAGAGGGCAGAATGATAGTTAACAGAGGCTGGGGGTAAGGGTGGAGGTGCATGGAGAGATAGAATTTGGTCAAAGGGTACAAAGTTTCAGTTAGTCAGGAGGAATAAGTTCAAGAGATACATTGTATGTCATGGTGACTGTAGTTAGCAATGGTAATGTATTGTATGTTCCAAAGTTGCTAGAAAAGTAGCATTTAACTGCTCTTATCACAAAGAAATGGTAAGTAAGTGAGGCACCGTGTATATTAATTAGACTGATTTAATCATTCCGCAATGTATACATGTGTCCCAACACACATCCCACCCTATACATATATACAATTATTATCTGTCAAAAACAAAATAAGAAAGTTAAAAAGCTACACAAAGTACGTAAGAAACAGCTTAGGACTTACTCAAGATGTGGAAATGCCAGCAGTATATGATCAGATGCATTCGCCTTGATTTCCCACACACAAGTGATGTTGTCATGCATTTCATTCTGTGGGGGATTCCTAATCGCTCCAGATGAGTTAGTAATAACGCCACCACACCGAGATTTTTCTAAATGCAGAAATATATTTTAGAATTTCAGTTGTTTCATTGTTCAGTTTACTAACTTCGTAATTCACATCTTTTTTTAAAAGTATTTTTCAAAAAGGATTTTGTTGGTCATTACTTTGTGAATATGTCTTAGGATGTATCAGAAGTTATCAACTAGTCTAAAAAGTCTTGCAAACTTAGAAATTAGGGGATAAATGCATCTGAATTTTGAAACATCTCTCATCTCTTTTGAGAATTCTGCCATCTACATGGGCTTGCTGGAAAGAGCTCTTTTTTTTTTTTTTTTTTTTTTTTTTTTTTTTTGAGACAGAATCTCACTCTGTCGCCCAGCTGGAGTGCAATCACGTGATCTTGGCTCACTGCAACCTCCGCCTCATGGGTTCAAGCTATTCTCCTACCTCAGCCTTCCGAGTAGCTGGAACTACAGGCACACGCCACGACACCCAGCCAATTTTTGTACTTTCAGTAGAGACAGGGTTTCACCATGTTGGCCAGGATGGTCTTGATCTCTTGACTTCATGATCCACCCGCCTAGGCCACCCAAAGTGCTGGGATTACAGGCATGAGCCACCGCACCCGGCCTGGAAAGAACTCTTATGCAATATCAGCCAGAATGTTTTTCTCTGGCTAGTTGTGGGCTCTGTAGCTTTGATTTTTGTCCAGTCACTAGTAGTAATGAGTAAAGTACTGCTTCAGTTTTCCCAATTAATCTGAGCCAATGTGGAGCCTCTGTGTATATGAAGATGACAGAGTCCATCCACTATCAGTTATAATTTATTCAAATTGCATTCTTAAAAACTCACTATTAAGTACAAAGAAGTTGCCCTTAGTCATCCACTCCTGGAATACCCCTAATACTGATGAGATTTTGTATCTGCCTGTCTGCCCACCTGTCCATTTGTTTCCCCACCCACTTGTCTGTCTGTTCTGCTTCTCTGTCTGTCTATCCATCTGTGTAACATTCAATCCTGAATTAAAGGTCATGCTGGTGGCAATGGAAACAGCTGGCTTTCCTCTATCAGATTATCGGAATGTGTAAGAACTGGACCTACACTTCATTGGCCCTGGTCATTTAGCTGTGTCTAAAAGGACCAGCCAGACTGTCCTTGCAACAGTGGTATTTTAGCCCTTTATCCCCAAGTGGTGCTAGAAAAAGTTAAGAGGAGCTTCTGGAGGCTCAAGGCATAGGCAAGAACAGAAGGAAAAAATGGCAGACGAAAAAGAAAGAATAAAAAAAGAGGATGGAGATTGCAGCGAAGGGGAAAAGGGGAAGAAAAAGAATGTGCTCATCATGGTCTGAGCCCTCTCAAATCATGGCCTTGGGTACCACCCTGGCAACATTGCTGTCTTAACGGCTGCATGCCTGCCCCTCACTCATGGTGTCCATGCTGGGACACCAGACAGCTAGCATCACTTGATTATCTGGACTTCTTTCTTTTACTAGGCAGAAATGGAATTAGAATCATAGGTTTATTGGCCTTTGTTACTCAGCTCTTCCCCCAGAACACAGGTTGAGAGGGGAGAGACCCAGACAGGATAGTAGTACTTTGGCTCAATTTCCTTGAAGGATCACATCAGGGCTAGAGCTAGAAGATGATGATCAAGGTAACAAAGGACACGAAAGTCTCACCTGTGGCCACTCTCCTTGCCAGGACAGCCAGTGGGTGACCTGTCAAACACACAAAGGACACGCTTAGGACTTACTTAAGATATGGAAATGCCAGCAGTGTATGGCCGTCACTCGGCACTGAGGTCTGCACCCCTGTCTGCACATGAGAATCCCGAGGAGCTCGCAACAAATACACCATCTGAGCCACCCCTAAATCTACTGAATCAGAGTCTCTGGAGGAGAGGCCTGAATGTGGAGGCAATTTTAATATGGAGGAGGGAAGAAGCACTGATCTAGATTGTTCCAAGACTTCTTTGATGCATTATTCTCTTGCATATATGCAAATTAGATATTTTTTAATTTGAGGTTTAAGAAACCTGAAGACACGAAATTCTGGCATCTGGAGCTTCTTCCCAAGTGACTCAAGGGTTAAGACTTATGAGGCTGAGCTGTAAGAACAAGAATAAGCACTGAGTCACTGATTCCTCTGATCAGGTGCTGCCCAGAGATGCTGAGTCAGGACCTAAAGATGCTGTGGATTCTCCTCCATGGCCAAACATCTCTCCTGCCAGTGACACTCAGCTCAGCACCTCCCATTGGAGACCAAATCCGTCTCACTTGCTAGAGCTGACAACCCAGGAGGGAATGTGAAGGAATTTTACTAGACCTTGTCAAATCAGCTTTGTTCATAACTCGCCCTCTGACTGAGAGCTGGTTGAGACCAGGGCATCAAAGAACCCGGGGGTCTGATGAGGGAGAGGGCACTGGCATGGAAAACTCTGGGTGCTGGGGTTGGGAGTGCATGGAAAAGCCAACAGCAATGGAAGCTCCGTGAGGCCAGGGCTGTACCAGAAAGGCCGAGGCAAGGAGGGAGTAGAAATGAAGTGGCTCACTTTGTCCAGAACTGGTCCACTGGCCATTTGCTACTGAGCAGGAAGTGCTTTTACCATCTCTCATCTCTTAATGGCTTCCCATCCATCCATTTCTCATTGCCATCCCCTCTGCAAATCTCAGAGCTGACAAACCAAAAGTATTATATAGAAGTCTGAGAAATAATCAATTCTTGGCCTTTTGCTTAAGATCAATTGTAGAAGCCTGAGAAACTGAGAATCTATTTCTGGTATATGAAATACACAGTGGAGTAGGAGGAGAGGTAGAAAGTGAGGCTGGACTAGATGATTCTAAGGCACTGTCCATCTCTCCCAGAGGACAATCTGGGGATTCCACAGCTCACAGTCACTCCACCGACTTGGAGAATAAGATACATCCAATTTCTAGCAGAGTTTCTTCCCTGAGATTTTGATAAGCTACACGTATTAACATCACCTTCCCTACCCGGTGGTGTGACAGTTGAATATTCGGCATCTGTAAGTGTGAGAGATGAAGACATCTGCTGTGAGTGAATCACGTACTGGTTCATTTTCAATAGTTACTTTTACGCTGTCCTTTGAGAAGTATTCCCTTGAAAAGAGCAGAAGTGGGGCCCCACCTGGGAAGGGAGCAGGGGTTTACCTGAGCAGATCACGCCGGCGTCTTCCCCGTGAGCACAGTTGTGGGTAAACCAGCCGGTGTGGGAACATTCCTCAAGGTGCTGCTCATCTCCTCTGCAGTGCACGTTGTCAAGGAGAATCCTCCCAGAACCTTCCCCAAAGTGGGCCTCACCCGGGGCTGAAATGGCCCAGCCACATTCCAGCTGCCTGCAGACAATGTTTGCTTCTGGAAGGTCCCAGAGGTCGTCACACACAGTCCCCCAGACTCCCTGGTAGAAAAGTTCCACGCGACCCGCACATCTTCCGTGGCTGCCCACCAGCCGCACAGGGGCCCAGCCTCCTGGGGAGAGCAAAGCAGTCACGGGGTGATAGTTGCCCCTCTGCCTGTGGATGACTGGACTGTTGTCTACCCAGCCCAGCTCACTGTCCTTATCTCCCATGACTTTGCTGCAAATATGGTTATGCTGCCATGAAGGATCCCATGCCATTCCCCAGACCTGTCTGCTCCAAGAAGCCTGTGTCTTCCTTATCCACACTCTATTTTAAGACAGTTTGCCTCAGGTAGATTGTTTACAAAAATGACCAAAGTTCTTCCCTTCTCTATGCTCTTTACAATGTGGCATTGCAGCCCCTCCTATGAAGACGGTGAACTTATTTTCCCACTTTTTAATTCTGGGCTTGTGGCCTTTAACTTGCTTTGGCCAATAGAATATGGCAAAGTAGTGGTACACCCTTGCAGAGCTGAGGCCTCAAGAGGCCTGACAGGCTTCAGCTCACTTCCTGGAAACTCTGATAGCATCATGCGAACAACCTTGAGTTAGCCTGCTGGAGGATGAAAGACACGTGGCCTTGTCAACGGTCACCTCAATGACAGCTATGGAACAGCCAGACATGTGAGGGAGGCATCCGAGGCCAGATAGTCTTCAACTGATCTGCCAGCCAACCACAGATGCATGAACAAACCCAGTCCAAATCAGCTCAGCCTATCCTAGATGAGCAGAACTGCCCAGTTGACCCATGGACTTGTGAGCAGTTATAAATGGTTGTTGTAAGCCACTATGTTTTCGCGGTGGTTTTATATGCTGGTAGATAACTTATATGCTTCTTCTTTATCCACATTCCTTTGCTATATAACCTGCCCACCCAAAGCCAGGAGGAGGCATGGGCCAAAACCATGTTCCCCGTGTCTGGGTCTGCCTGGTCAGGTGACTGGACTGGAGCACAGCTGACTCCAGAGGAACCCATCCACATGCTGGATTGGGCCAGCCTCTCTCCACTGGATGTTTGAAATCGGGAAGAGAGAACTGGAAGACGCAGAGTCTGACACTTGCATTTGGGCAGCCACATGATGAATCATATATGGGTGGGTTAGTGAACGGAGAAGCTGCTCAGAATAATGACTCAAGAGAGGGGAAAAAAAAGAGGAATAAGGGAGATCCAGAGAGAATGGCTCCACTGCAGCTAATTCCTTCCTTATTTACATTCTCTTGACCCCTACATCCCTGCCCTAGTCTTCCTTCCATTAATCTTGCTTGAGTGGGGATTTGTACCATGAAACCAAATGCTCACCCAGTATTAAATGCCTCCCATTTCCCTGCCTTCCTTTATACCAACCACTTGGCCTAAAGTATGTGGTCTCCTATTCCTGCCTGTGAAAACCTTTTCATCCTTCAAATTCCACGCCAAGTGGCTCCATTCCATGAAGCTCTTGTGATCCCCCAGACTAAGACTAGTATTTTCCTTTCCCTTTGCTTTTTTCTGTGGTGCTTATGGGCCTGACCAGCGACACACACTTCTCATCTCCTTAGCAGAGGTATGAGAGGCAGGGACATAGAGTGGAAAGAGCAATGGATATCAGGGAGCAATGGCCAGGGAGGATGAGTCCAACAGCCCTGGCCAGCTGCATGGCCCTGAGGATGACAGACATTACTTCACATGCTGTTGTGATGCTAAAGAATGTGAGAGTTTTCAGAGGGCTTCTCAGGGCCTCGTTCTTGGTTGGAAGGTGGGTGGGGTGCAGAGCTGGATCAGCTTAGGATGAGCTGGATATATGAAGGGACCAAAATAGTGGGGGTATGGTCACAGTTGCCACAGAAGTTCATGCCGACAGCATTCATGTGGGAACACAGAACACCATGGGCCATGATCTAAGGGTGCAGGAAGAGCAGGGCAGGGCCCCTCTCATATGGCACAGACCACTTTCTCCCTATGTTATAGGGAGACTTGTGTATAAGACTTGTCTCCCTACTAAACTACGAACAACTTGAGAACTGGGATTGCAACTGGCTCATCTATCTATCAACCCCAGTGCCGGGTTCAGTGCTCAGCACATGGTAGGCACACAAGATAAGAACTTATTAAACAAACGAAGAAGAGAAATATTAGAGTGTGACTTCAGGCTGATTGAAACTCACAGAGCCAGCAGTGGTGCCTTAGTGACCACCATGCTTCCAAGGCCATGGCCGACGGCCAGGAGCTATAGCATCTAGCACCTGCAGGGCACTCTTCCACCAGGGGTGCTCTCAGGCCCTGGGGCAGTGATCGTGGTTCCTCTTGGTCATCCCTGAATCTTTTGGCTGTACAGTTAGATTAAAGGATCAGTGGGCCCCATATTTTACCCCTGCCTTATCTGGCCTCAAACTGAACCTAACTTGCAAAAATCCAAGACCCAACTCAAAGCTGGCTATCATGAAATATCACTTGCCCCTGATCGCAGCAAAAATCCATCTTAGCAGGCCTCAACCATGCACTCTTCACTAACTCTGCATGGCTATTGTCCAGCCCTAGGCTCTAATCTAGAAAGCATATTAATGTCTCCCGCCTGTCAGTGCACAGAGGGTCTAACTATCTGACTTGTCCTCTGCATGACACAACCTCACTGATCCCTTACCCTTCATTTCTTAGCTTAGATATGGTTTCCTTAGCTTAGATATGGTTTCCTGCTCTCTCGGGTCTGGATGGGGACGCTCTTCTGGGTGCCCATGGCACCTATGCTTCCCCATCACAGCATTCACCACACCCTGTTATAAAGCCCATGTGAGGGTCTGCTCCATTCACTGCTCTACCTATCCCCAGGGACACATGTTCATTCACTCATTCATAGTCAAATGAATGAAGTTGTTCAGAAGGCATAATATAAAAAGACACAGCTCTACCTGGTGGTGCAGAAGATGGTGGGTGTTGAGCCACTGATACCACCGATGATGTGGGGAGCAGGTTCTCATGGGCTAGTGGTGGGCAAAAAGGAAGGACTGTTATCAGGGAACAGTCACAGCATGGGGAGAAGACACAGTTCCTTCAAGGGGGTGCCTGCCCCCTCCCAGGATTTAGCAGGAATAACAGTGAGAGTGCCTTCTGAGGCCCATGACCTCAGATCCCTGAGGTCTCCATTTAGAGCAGAACATGGCATTGCTACTGTGGACGAACTAATGTGCACCTGTGGCAATCAGCAAAAGTGAAGCTCATAGGTAATTGGCCCCAGGTGGCTGGCTGTCTAGAGGCCATCCACTGGCCAGCACCTCCCTCTCTGTTGCCTCCTCCCCACATATGCCACTGTCATTATTTGGAATCTGCTCTGAAATGGCACGAGGAAGCCTCGCACGGCCTGGGAACCGTTCTTGACTGTGGCAGTAGTTACACAACTGGACACAATTACCACAATTCGCCAAACTGGACCTTAAAATGGGTAAATTTTATAGTATATAATCAAAGTTGAATAAAAAGTGAGATGGATCAATGTATGAATACAGGGATGCTAGATAAATTTATAGATTCATTATGGAATCTAGGTAGGAGTTCATTGTTAAATTCTTCAAACTTTGCTGTATATTTAAAAATTTCCATAATAAAATGTTGTAGGGGAGGAAGTCTCCCTTAATTCCTATTACAAACTCTATGTCTCTGGTTTTTGGCAACAGTCTCTGGCTTTCCACAGTGGCATATGTATTATGTAGCTAGACCATGTAGCTGCTTACTCTCTCCTTGTTAGTCACAGAAAGCCAAAGGCATAGAATTTTAGGGAACATAGAATCCAATGAGCCTGTTCTAATGATGAGGAGACTGAAGGCCAAGGTCATTCATCCACTGGGAGGTCAGCCTGGATGAAATTCCTGCAGACCAGGCCCTTATCATCGCTCACACCTCCTTCCTTAGGTCCACATGTGCCCAAAACAAGCAGCCATTGCTGCATGAGCGCCGCTGGGTAACAGGTACCCTCAGGCATTGCCCTATTCATGCCCTTATTCAAAGCTCTTTATTGTCCCTACTTTCATGAAGAGGAAAATAGGATGAGAGATAACATAACTTGGCTGAGGTTATGTAACTGAGGGTGATTATATGTCACATGTATCTCTCCTGTGAGAGTATAAACCCCATTAAAAAAATAAACAGGGGGCCAGGTGCAGTGGCTCATGCCTGTAATTCCAGCACTTTGGCAGGCCAAGGTGGGCAGATCAGGAGGCCTGAGGTCAGGAGTTTGAGACCAGCCTGGCCAACATGGTGAAACCCCATCTCTACCAAAAACACAAAAATTTGCCAGGTGTGGTGGCAGGTGCCTGTAATCCCAGCTGTTTGGGAGGCTGAGGCAGGGAGAATCGCTTGAACCCGAGAGAGAAAGGTTGCAGTAAGCCAAGATAGCGCAACTGTACTCCAGCCTGGACAACAGAGCAGGACGCTATTTCAAAAAAAAAAAAAAAAAAAAAAAAAAAAAAAAAAAAAGGAGAAGAAGGAGGAGGAGGAGGAGAAGAAGAAAAAGAAACAACAGGTGAGTTTTGACCACCACTGTATCCCCAGTGCTTGGCACAGAAGTTGGCACAGGGTAGATACCCAGCCAATATCTGTTGAATGAATGAATGAAGGAAGGAAGGAAGCTGAGAATCAAATGAAGATCTGATTCTAAACCTCAAACTCTTTTTTACATCAGGACAAGTCTAGTATTTGACACTGAATGTGACATGCAGTCCTACCTGTAGGCAGAGCAGCTGTGGAATCAGCACCTGTCAACATAAAGAGGGATTGTGCATGTTATCTTGTCTTCATTGGCAAAGGTTTATTGGGAACTTCCTACATTTAGGGAGCTTCAGGCAACAGAAAGGAGAAAGAGGCAGAGACTTTGCTCCTGAGGATTTTGGCATTTCCTGGGGATTTGAGACAGGACATCAGTCAGCAGCTGTTGACTGTCCCAGGATAGCCAGTGCTTCCCCAGGGGCCTCGGACGTTGAGGAAAGCCCCGTGCCCCACAGAGGGGATGTGGCTCAGGATGAGCCAGATGCAACCTGCAGAGCTTGTCATTCATAGACACATTATTCCAGCTGCAAGCAGGAGAGGACCAGAAAAGACTAGGGAGGACCAGGGGGACAGATTGGTGTGGGAAGCTCGGTAGGCTAGGAACATGGAGGTCCTGAACACCAGCTGATGGATTTGGCTTGTAACCTGGATGCCACAAGCTCAAAAGTTTCTGAGGATCATGCAGGTAAGCTAAATAAGGTGGTGGGGAGGTGTGTGCCATGAAAACTGGAAAGGTATTCCGTGTCCAAAGGAACAGCTCTTTCTCAGATCCAGCCAGCTAATGCAGTGAAAGGATGCATTGCTCTGTGCCTGAAATTCTGCTTTCATTTATTCATTTTTACAACATGTAAGAATTTGAATTTTTATGTCAAATGTTTTGATTTTTAAATTCATGTTCAGCCTGATTTTCAAATTGAAGAGATTTACTTCTGAGCCTGGATGCAGCCTGTGAGCCATACTTAGAGATCATTGAAGTCAAGGAGATGGTCAGGCTTATGTAGAACTTTGAAAGGCTGTAGGCAACACCAGTTACCTGCCTGGCCCCACTATGTTCCTGGATTGAGCTGTGGGGTGTGGTTTGTGTGTGTATAGAGGAAAGAGGAGTGAAGGAGCTAGAAACAGCCCTCCAAATGAAGACTGACAGCCAGCCCCCCACCTGCACAGATGACGCTGGCATCCTCCAGGTGCCCACAGTTATGCCTGGCTCGGTCCCCGTGCATGCACTGCCCCAGGTGGCTCTCATTGCCCACACACTCCATGTCATCCAGCAGGACTTTCCCAGAGCCTGCCCTGAAGTGGGCCCCTACAGGGGCTGCCACGGCATGGCCACATTGCAGCTGGCGGCACACAATGGCGGCCTCGGCCAGGTCCCAGAAGTCGTCACACACCGTCCCCCACATGCCCTGAATGAGAACCTCCATGCAGCCTGAGCACCTCCCTGTACTATTCAACAGCCTCACCTCCATCCAGGCTCCTGCAGAGACACAGCTGGTAACTGATGGTGGAATTTTAGAAGATGTTGGTGCCCTTGATGTAAAAAATCCCTGATTTTATCCGAGTAGCTGAGCTTCCTGTCTGTTTCCCTGAAATGGCAGCAGCTGCCCACCAGAGTGAAGTGCTGGTGGGCAGAAATTCCCCTCTTTTCTCCTCCCATAAAGAATCAATTCAGCTTAGAGGTGACTCTCTGGGCTCTGGAGTCAGACTGCCTGCATTTGCATTCCAGGCCCATTGCTTTCTAACTGTGTGGTATGGTCCTGGGCAAGTTCCTCCACCTGCCTGATTTCTCCTCTGTAAACAAGGTGATAGCAATAATGCTCATTTAGTAGAGTTTCTCTGAGGACTAAAAGGGGTAATGCATATAAAATGCCAACATAGCATAGCATGTGCATAATCAGTGTTTAATGAATATTGCCACTCTTGTTCTCTGGGACAAGTGAGAAAATGTGGTAGGAATTGACTTAGAGTCAGACCAATGATACCTGTGGAACAAGAAATCAAGACCGAAGGCTCAGGGGCCCTCCCTATGCTCATTCGTCCTTTAAGAGCTGAGGAATATGAGTGAAATAAGAGTGTCCAACAGATAATCAATGCAGCAAAATCAAATCCTAGATTACCTCTTTCCTCCCTATTCGGAGGAAGACACAGAATAACCAACAAGCTGTGGGGTCTCCTGTGAGTGTGATGGGATGGATGCACCTCAAGCACCCTCACAAGGTACTTACAAGACCCCTGGCTGTAAATCCTTCCTTCAAGCATTGTCCTTCTCTTTGCTCCTGGAAGCTGTTGCTATCCCCAGGACCACAGGCTAAAATTCTGTCCATCCTACAGCTCTCCTTCCCTTGCCACCTCCATCGACCCTTCCTGGAATCCCCCAGTTGTAATCCTCTCCCTTCTACGTTCTGTACACCTTTCATGGCACTTCCCACCATCTACATTGATGGTGGTGGCCTAGTGTGTGTTTGACATCCTTACTGGATAATAGACACATTTGGGCAGGGACCAACAGATGGAGTAGGGAAGAGCATCAGTTTTAGAGTTGGAATAGGATAAGTTATGTAAGCTCCCTAAGCCTCAGGTGCCTAGCTTGTAAAAGGGGAATAATAACCAAGAGGAACAAATAAGATAATGCATGATATAAGCTTGACATATCATGGTTGTTTCATAAATGTTAGCTCCTTCACCCATTTTCCAAAGGACTTACCTGCTGGGGGCACGGGTGTGAATGGCAGGGTCACAGCCTCTGTTGTGGCTATGGTTGCAAATAATCCATCACCTGTCATAGGGACAAAGAGAGGCATCCCTAATAGTTAGAACATCCTCTAAACCCAACTTTAGAGAGATGAAGGTTTGAAAATAGACCCAGCCTAAAGGTCACAGTCAAATATGCAACATCAGCTCCTGACTTAGCTTCTCAGAGGCAAGGAGAATTTGCAGGAATATGATCAGCACTCAGGCTTTGTGGTGGGCACAGCTAATAACAGGGCTTGACCTGTGAGTATAAAACAAAGAGAGGCCTTGTTCATTGCTAGATACCTCCTAGCTACACATGGAAGGGAAAACTTCTGACAACAAGCCCAAAGAGTATGACTGGGCTCAAATGTGTCCAGTCAGTGTTTTGGTTGGCTCCCCAAGAGGCAGATTCAGGTAGGGAGGATCACCCACTCTCCCTTCTCTACCACATTCATCTATCACTAGTTAGAGCATAATGGGATGGAAAATACAGTACTTTTAGAACTTTCACCTAGTTAACACATTCTAACCCTTTAAACACCCATAAAATAAATTCTGAATTTTCTGTCTATTCCTTTTAGGAACAAACCAGATATATTTAGTTAAATGATTAAAGCTTTTGGTTTATTTCTAGATGTTTGCTGAATTTACTTGAACTCTTAGTAGCTTAAACCATGGGAGGCTCACATAACAAAATAAGATAGCCTCCATTTATATCCTACTAACTCATAAAATATCATTTAATTACTGTGTTGTTTTATTAAAAATCTAAAATAATTATAATAAAATATTAATATTCGATAGAATCTACTAGTGAGTACTCAATTGTTCATTACACTATTCTCGACATTTTCATTGTTTTTAGTACATTTTATAATAAAATAATCTGACTTTGATTTCCGTGTCAGATGTAGTAACTGGTTGGGCGGTTAAATATTGACTTCCATAAGATGTGTATGTTTTACTCCCTGGAATCTGCAAATAGGTTACATGATATGACAGAGAGACTTTGCAGATGTGATTAAGGATACAGATCACAAAATGAGAGATTATCTTGGATTTTCTGGGTGCATCCAATCGAATCACATGAGCTCTTAAAAGCAGATAATCTTTTCTGGCTGAAATCAGAGAGGTATGGCAGAAGAAGAGGCAGGAGATATTTAAAAAGCATGAGAATGACTTGACTCACTGATGCAAGCTTTAAGATGAAGGGGTCATGAGCTAGGCAATGTGAGTGACTTCTAAAATCTAAGAACAACTCCCATCCAGCAGTCAGCAGGGAATCAGGGACCTCAGTTGTACAACTATATGTAACTGAATTCTGCCAACAACCCCAGTGAGCCTGGAAATAGATTCTCCTTCAGATTTCTACTGGCATCTTGATTTTTCCTTTTAAGACTTGAAACAGAACAACTAAGCCCACTGGACTTATGACTTACAGAACTATAAAAATGACACATTGATGGTGCTTAGAGCTGCTAAATTTGTAGCAGTTTGTTATGGCAGCAATAGAAAACTACCGTAATTGGGTACAGATTTACTGTTCTACATGAAACAACTAAGAAATCAGATAAAATTCTGATCTTGGACAACAGGCAGCACAGGAGAGCAATCACTAAGAGAGAGTGAATGAACATGGGGAGTCCTATAATTACCCTAGATTATTAATTAGAGTTCCAGTGCATAACAGAGGGAAGTGGAACCCAGGAGGATCCTGGCAGACTTCTTCAAAAGATGGATCTGAAAATTCAGGGAAAACAAAGTGGCTAGAATTCACTGGGAAGTACTGGAGGTTGCCCACAAAGAGCGCCAGAGATTTTCGGAGAGTCTCTCTCAAGTTTTTATCTGAGTACTAATCAGCAGATGTATGTGGAGAAAATATCCATGACCAAGGTAAGAACTGCCTAAAAGGAGTAGAGGGAACAATCTTTGGTGATTGCACAGGCATGGGAATAGTTCCTTTTCCTACCAGCCAGAGTGAAACCAGGCAATCCATGAGGCATTGGGTATGGCAATCAGAAGGGTATTGCCCAGTACTGGGGAAAATTAGCTCCATACTAAAGTCCGCTGTACTCCTGCCTAACAAAACTTAATCACAAGGCTTAAATGGACCAAACTGTCTCCAAGTAACTTGAGTGATTTAAAGTAAGATCGAGAATAAACAACAACTCATACTCAAAATGGTAAATGGCAACATTTGGTATCCAGTAGAAAATTGCCAAGGATGTAAACAAACTGAAAACTATGACCCATGATGGGAAGAATAAATCAGTGGAAACAGACCAAGAAATGGTAAAAATATATAATTTTTACACTAGAGAATGAAAACAATAATTATATCATACAATCAAGAAGGTAGAGGAAAGATGGAACATGAAACGTAGGGATATGGAAGATATAAAAAAGACCCAAATTAAACTTCTCAAGAAGAAAACAATAATGCCTGAGATGAAAAATACACTGGATATGATTAACAGCAGATTAGATACTGCAGAGAAAAAAGTAAGTGAACTTGAAGACATATCCAAAGCTAAATGCCATGGGAAAAAAACGACTAAAAAAAAATGAGCAGAGCACCAGGGAATTGTGAGACGACTTCAAGTAACCTAATGTATGTTTAATTGGAGTCCGTAAAGGAAAGGAGAAAAGATGGGAACAAAATATTTGAAGAGATAAACTTCTAAATTTGATTTTTAAAAACCTGTGACTCACAGATTCATGAAAGTCAATGACCTCTAGCCAGAAGAAACATGAAGAAAACTATCCCAACATATGTTGTAACCAAATAGATTAGAATTCATGATAGATAGAATATCTTAAAAGCAGCCAGAAATGAAACACTGTATACAGAGAAAAAAGGTGATAATGACAATAGACTTCTTGACAAAAAGAATGAAATTCTGACAACAGTGAAAAAACATCTTTAAAGCATTGAAACAAAAAGGTCAACCTGGATTTCTATACCCAGGAGAATTATCTTTAAAAAATGAAGATGACATAAAGATGCTTTCAGGCACAGAAAAGGTGAAATAATTTGTCACCAGTAGACCTGCACTACAGGGTGTGTTAAAGGTAGTCTTTCAGGCAGAAGAAACAGGATGCCACATAGAAAAGATGTTTGTTATAAATCTTAAAGAGTAACCACTTAAAATAAAATTGTACCTAGCAGACAAAAAAAAGTAGACAAAATGGAACAATAAATTCAAAAAAAAAAAAAAAAAGAAGAAGAAGACAAAAACATGGTAAAAAAGAACAGGTGGAATGAATAGAAAACAATGAGCAAAACGGTAAATTTAAACAAATATCACAATGGTAGATTTAAACTTAACAGTGGTGATTTTTAAAATATACTCACAAATTATTTGATATTCCTTCCTTCAAGAGGTAGGGTTTGCTTTCCCTCCCTGTGTTTTGGATTGAACTTAATAACTCACTTTTGATCAATAGTATACAGCAAAAACAATGACATGTCACTTCTAAGATTGAATTATAAAAGACTGTGGTTTCTGTCTTGAGCTCTCTCTCTGTCTCTCTCTCATCACTTGCTATGGTGGAAGTCAACTTCTATTTTGTTCACAGTCCTATGGATAGGCCCATGTGGCAAGGAATTCAGAGAAGCCTACAGTTAGAAGCCATCAAGAAACTCAAGTCCTGAGTAAAAGAGCACATGAGGAATAGAAGACACCAATAAACCATGTGAGTGAGCTTGGAAAAAAGTCCTATTCTTGACCGTATGCCTGATTGACTGCTTGACTATAACCTCATGAAAGACCCTGAGCCAGGACCACCCAGCTAAGCTAATAAGATACATGACCCACAGAAACTAACTAATAAATATCTGTCATTCTAAAATAAAAATGTGGGGTAATTTGTTATACAGCAATGGATAACTAGTAAGCTGTATCTGTCAGTCATCATATTAAATGTAAATGGTCTAAACACCTCAAATAAAAGGCAGAGATTTTCAAATAGGATTTTTAATAAGCAAAACTCAAGTATAGCCTACCTAAAAAAACTCCATTTTAAATTTAAAGATATGGCTGGGTGCAGTGGCTCATGCCTGTAATCTCAGCACTCTGGGAGGCTGAAGTGGGTAGATCACTTGAGGACAGGAGTTCGAGAAAGCCTGGCCAACATGGCAAAACCCCATCTCTATTAAAAATACAAAAAATTAGCCAGGCATTGTGGTGTGCACCTGTAGTCCTAGCTACTCGGGAGGCCGAAGCAGGAGAACTGCTTGAACCCAGGAGGCAGAGGTTGCAGTGAGTTCGCACTACTGCACTCAAGTCTGGGCAACAGAGCATGACTCCATCTCAATAAGTAAATAAATAAATTTAAAGACACAGATAGGTTAAAAGTAACACCATGCTCTATCAGGCCGTGCCATCTTAGCTTATGCAAGAGACATAAATCTTGAACCAACCTGATGGTATGTATGATGGAGTGACAGCTTCAGGTTCTGTGATTGGAGTGGGACCTGGTGAATTGCCAGCACTTGATGATCAAAAGAAAAATCAACATCCTAACATTTACAGTGCTATTTATAATATAACACTTAGTAAAATCAGTCATTGAGTATTATTCGAAGGGAAAACAAAGAAGTGACTTCTTGTTCAGAAAACAGCCCCTTACCTGTGCAGATGACACTGGCATCCTCCAGGTGCCCACAGTTGTGCCTGGCCTGGTCCCCATGCATGCACTGCCCCAGGTGGCTCTCACTGCCCACACACTGCATATCATCCAGTAAGATCTTCCCAGAGCCTGCCCCAAAGTGGGCTCCTGTGGGGGCTGCCAGAGCCTGGCCACACTGCAGCTGGCGGCACACGACGGTGGCCTCAGCCAGGTCCCAGAGATCATCACACACGGTACCCCACGTGCCCTGGACGAGAACTTCCACACGGCCTGAGCACCTCCCTGTGCCGTTCAGCAGCCTCACCTCCATCCAGGCTCCTGGGGAGGCACAAGAAGGGGGTGCACTGGGGAGTGGCCTTTGGTGTCAGGACATTGCCTTAGTCTTATCATGTTGGGCTGATATGTTGCTGATGTCATAATACTTATATCTTCCATAAATATTATTTCGTAGGAAGAATAATAGTAACAATAAGAATCATAAATTCTACCACTCACATCTCATGGGTGATTACCAATAGCAGGTGCCATCCTAAGTACTTTATAAGCTTGATCTTATTTGACCATTACATCTCTCTTGTTGGGTCTATTATTAACTGTTTTTCACATGAAGAAAGTGAGACTCAGAAAGTCCAAGTTAACTTTCTCAGGGTCAAAGTGGCAATGTGAATTGGAACTGGGTAGATGGATTAGCATTCCATGTGGCTTTCTAAGGCCAGTTAACTTTGTTATATGTATTTTCCTCCCTGAAGTTACCCTTCTCCTTCCTTCTCTCAAGCTGAGCCCTGTGCCTCTTGCCTGGGTCAGTTTACATGCAGAGTAGAGAGCTGATATAGCCTGTAGGATGTTCTGGCTTTTGTTCAAAGACCTGAGATCAAGGAACAGAATAAGGTTTGAGGGAGAGAAGTGCTTATTCTACCTTTATATGTAACAAAAAGGGTATTTCCTTTGGGTTACGCAGATAGAAAGTTCTATGGGTCTTGGAAAATCTGGGCTGGAACTCCTACTCCCTGGAAGTGCCTCAAGGAGGCCAGAAGACCCTGGTGAGCAGTTGAATTAGACGTCTAGAGAGACAATGCCAGATCCCTGGGCTCCCAACTTACACATGTCACCTGAGCCCACACATGGCACAAGAACTCCAGAGGACCCCTGACCTGGGGAGTCCTCTCAGCCATGCCCCAGTGGACGCTGGCTAGTCTTTCTGTGGAAGTCGCCTTGGTATGGGGGAATGTCCCAGACTGGAAATTACAGAGTATTCTTTCTAGCACTAAAGACATTTCTTTTCTTTGCTGCCATCACAGTTGTACTTTAAATCACAGAATATTCACTTAATGCCTATCATGAGCAAGGCTCTATAATGAAGAGTTTACACCTTAAGGGCTTTAATCAGTGACAAGATGGAGGAAACAAAGGAGAAATAGTCTCAGATTATTTCTATGTCTAGTGAAAGTAATCGTTAAACTTCTAAAAAATCTGGAATTCTGGTGATTGTTTTATTTAGTAATTTATTGCCCTGATCATGATATTTATATTGACCTTCTGTGTTCTAGAATTTTCTAGAAACACCGGTGAGGCTTCTTTCTTAAGCCAATGGGAGAAGTAAAAAATAGAACCTACTACTCCATTAGATTTATTAAACAAAAAGTTTGAGAGTCTGTGACTCATTATGTTAACAGTGCTCTAGCTTACAAAATAGGAGTAGTAGTGCAATACAATACAATATAACATAACATCAGTAATCCAATGCAGAAATATTTTTCATATCTAACATATGGGTTGCTTTGAGAACAAGTTAGAAAATATATGTGAGGAAAAATGTAGTGGAAATATGAGTCGTTATGATAATCATAAGTAGATTATGCTCAGAAGAGAAGGTGAGGAAGATTTTCTGAGAGATTCTAGGTTAATCCCCCCTTTACAGGCTCCAATTCTTCTGAGTCGGCAGCCTCCATTTCATAAACAACCCACTCCTACTCACATTATTCAGTGTGACCATTACCTACTGTTCACAACTCAACCCTGCCAGGAACTATGCATAAAAAACGAACCTCTTTTCTCAACAAAGCTCCTGCGAGCAACCTGTGTCCGAAAATGGGGCCAGCTCACTGTGCAGCACTACTGACAACTGGGCAGACCGCCTATGGCTCAGCTCCCAGGAGGGCATAAGGTTAGGACAGCTCTCACCACAGTCCATCGGTTCTGCCCCCAAGGAGGCTATGAAATAAGTCAGAATCCACCCCATGCCCTGATTTGAAGCAGTCTCATGGTGGGCAAATGCATCGTGTTCTTCCTCCCGAAATGCCCTTGTGGTGCTGGAGTCCAGTGGGTCTGAACGTGTTCATTACTTGGAAGAATGGAGAAGAGCAGGACAGACGCCTCTGTTGGACGTGGCAGGCACAGTGGGGTCCACGTGACTTTTAAGGGCCCCCCGCAAACATGCCTTCATTTGTTTTAAAATCAGAAGAAATGACTACAATATGGTCTTCATACCAACACAACCATAAAATAGAACATATACAAACATATCTGTGTGTATATAAATATACTTTTTTTATGGAGGTAGGGGTCCCTGAAGGCAAAAGTTCCTAGGGGCCCGGAATGTCAAAAAGTGGCCCAAGTGGAGGCCTGAAATGGATGAGAGACCTCTGCCTGCTGTGTAGTGTTTTTTGAGGAGGTAGCAGAATGACTGTAAGGCTAGCTTAGTGCATCTACACAGCCTTAAACTTCCACCATAGTATTTATTCAAAACACAGACGTGCACACACACCATTAGGCTTGGCCCAGTCAAACTGAGTTACTACTGATGTGAGTTACTGCAAAACCAGTCTTAACGGGTCAGAACGCTATAACGAGCTTTCTTTCTTTGTAAAGCAGATGTATAAGCCGTTCTACCCAGGTGAGAAAGAAAGAACTGGGATTTGGGTTCACACCTGATATACAATATCAGGTAAAATAAAAGGATAAATCTTGCCTAATTGTTACAATGGAAAATATAAATTAGGAATTTCACATTAAAAGCTATAGAGTAGGTGACAACTCGCAGCTGACTCCCTGATTTCCCAGTTATAGTCTTGATGTACCTGGGACATAGCAATTAGGCTTGCAAGCATATTCTCTTCCCCCATTAGCCCAAAGGTAGCTTTGGAGAATACTGTCCCACCACCAAAGGCAACTGGCTAAGCAGAGTCACATGGGCTTGGAGTCAGACATATTTGTGCCCAAATCTTGGCTCTACCACATTCTAGTTGGGTGACGCTAGGAAAATTTTCTGTGCTTCATTTTATGAAACAGTGAGGTGAGGTGAGGGGAAAGGATAGCACTTGTAGGTGGTTATGAGCATAGACTAGTGACAGCATCTGATTCTCTGCTTATCACATTATGGTTGTTCCATAAATGTGAGCTCCTTCCCCCATTTTCCCAAGCGCTTACCTGCCAGGGGCACGGGTGTGGATGGCAGGGCCACAGGCTCTGCTGTGGCTGTGGTTGCAGATAACTCAGCACCTGTCACAGGAACAAACAGAGGCAGCCCTAATAGTTAGGACATCCCCTAAATCCAACTTTAGAACGCCAAAAGTTTGAAAACAGACACGGCCTGAAGGTCACAGTTAAACATGCAGCATCGATTCCTGACTCAGCTGCAACCTCCGCCTGCCGGGTTCAAGCGATTCCCCTGCCTCAGCCTCCTGAGGAGCTGGGATTACAGGCATGCAGCACGGCACCCAGCTAATTATTGAATTTTTTAGTAGAGATGAGGTTTCACTAAATTGGCCAGACTGGTCTCGACCTCCTGACCTCATGATCCACCCACCTTGGCCTCTCAAAGTGCTGGGATTACAGGAGTGAGCCACCGTGCCCAGGCTGCATTCTTTTAATAGTATTGTCTTCCTTAAAACAATTTTTGAGGTATAATTGATAGACCAAAAAACTGTGCAAGTTTAATGTGTATAGCTTGATGTGTTTGGATACAAGCGCACACCCGTGATACTATCACTACAACCAAGGTAATAAACATATCCTTCACCTTCAAAAGTTTCCCTATGTCTCTTTCAGGTGTGTGGTAAGAACGCTTGACATGAAATCTACCCATAACAAATTTTGAAGTGCACAGTACTGTGCATTAGCTTTGGCAGGATGTTACACAGCAGATCTCTAGAACTTATTCATGTTGCACAACTGAAAGCTTACACCCATAGAACAACAACTATCCATTTTCCTGAGTCTTTAAACGATCTAGTGTGTGTTTAACAGACACAGCACATCTCAGTAACTACATGGATAGTGCAAGCTTCAGGATTTACTAAAGATGACTATTAGCATTGTCCGAATATGAATTATATGATGGTGTAATTGAAATATCAGCAGTTACAGGTGACGGAGAAGTGGAGACAGAATCAATTAGCATGGTCAAATGAAAATAGATTGTAATGGTGGTCACTGAGATGTAATTTAGATGTCTGTAAGTTGGATACTTCCCAGACATATGGCCAGGTGCTCTAGTTTATTTCTTAAAAATCAAAAGATATGAGGAGAATCTTTAATAATCTTTTTCTCTAACACACGCTTTCCCCATCTCTTTTCTTCTTACTCTGCATTTGTGAAAGTATGTGAAATGAGAAGACCTGCGTGATCATGTTCTTTGATAGTAAAATTACAGGTGATCAAACACAAAGTGAAATTCAGACCATCTCAGGGTCCTCTTGTTCCTTTCCTCTCAAATCATTGGATCTCAAGTGATCTTTTAGCAGTACCTAGTGATGGTGCAGAACCACTGACTATCGTTCATGCGACTTAGAATCTACAATAAATTTACCATGGCGGCGGAGGTGGTAGTGTCCTACCTGACGATGCTGAATGTGTAGCAGTTGTAGGAGAGAGCTGAGTTGGGATGGCAGCAGGTAGAACTGTAATAAAGAAGCACCTGTGAACAGTAAGTAACTTGAGGGAGGGGTGTTTGGCCAGGGGTTCCCTATGATTTCCCAAGACGTGGTTTTGCCTCAACTCTGAAGTGACCTCTGAGTAAGTGACAGTAATGCTAAATCACCTCTTAGCTGCCCTATCTTCAATCCCATTAGGCTCAATCATCCCCGGCCTGTCTCTCTCCTAGATTCAATGTTCAGGTGCGGGTATTTGGTGTTTTGTGATGAGGGTTTTGTGTTTTGGGTCTTAATATTCTTCCTAAGAGTTGGCCTGATGGTCTAGATCATGAAGACTGTCTGGTACTTTTATTCGCATGTTCTGCATGTTTTATTCCTAAGCCTATTTTGTTCCTAACATTTCTGTTGCTGTTGTGTTAGCAAAAAACTTCTCTATGGCTCCACAGTCCCACATTCTCTCCTGCTCTACAGACCTAACTTCATGCCACATCTGGCCGTGGGAATTAGTTATAATGTCCTTAAGGAACATTGACAGAAGCAAATGCAGGAGATGGAGAACAGTTGCTTCTCTTTTTGGATTGACTTGGGTAGATGCTCCCCCTCTTCTGTCATACCCTTCTTGTCTCTACTTGCTGTTTGGTAACCGTATTTCAATGTATGTTCTGAATAACGTGACCATTTCTGCACCACTGAGCAGCAGTAACTACAAAATCTATTTCATAAACGAGTGCAGAAGGCTGAGTATTGGCCTCCCCAAGGATATCCACATTCTATCCCCGCAGCAAAAGGGTGAATTAAGATTGCTGGTGAAACTACAGTTGTTAATCAGTTGCCTTAACATTAGGAGATTATCCTGCATTATCAGGTGGGCCCAATGGCATCACAAGGGTACTTAAAAGTGGAAGCAGAAGGCAGAAGAGAGTCAGAGAGAGATGGGAAAATGCTAATCTCTCCACTGGCTTTAAAAATGGAGGCCTGGCCAGCAGCCAAGGAATGCAGGTCACCTCTAAAAACTGAAAGAGGCAGGAAATGGATCCTGTTTTTCCTGAGCTTCTAGAAGGAACACATCCTGCCTGACACTGCTCTTAGCTGAGACCCATTTTGGATTTCTGACCCCTAGAACTTCAAGATCATAAATTTGTGTTGTTTAAGCCACTAAGTTATGGCACTTTGTTAGAGCAGCGATGGGGAAATTATACAATAAGTAAACATTACATGCAATCAGATTATTATTCCTCAAAAAAAAAAAAAGAAAAGAAACATTTCCTTTATAAAAATTAAGAGAGTTTGGATACTCCCAGAGAAGCTGGCCAAACTGAAAAATTAAATAATTACAAAACCCTATGTTCCAAATGGTTTCCAGTATTTTAAAAATAGTATTGTTAGCTCTCTTTTTTAAAGAGGTTAGTGAATCTTTTGGAGTGATGTCCTGAAAATCATCTCCATCCAAGCTCAGTTATAAGGGGCAGATTATAATAAGTCACTGAGTAAAATAACTCAATAGCCACTCTTCCACATACTTCCCTCCTATATTGGGTGGGAAAACAGAAAAGTCCCAGGGCAAAATAGCACAAACAAGTTATCTTACCTGATAATAAGATTGCTGAATTTCCATCACCTATTGGTAAGAATAAATTGAAATCGTTCTTATTCTATTAAATTGAATAACTTTTACTTGACTTGACTTTATTGGTTTTCAATGTATCTTTAATGTGACAGGTCTAAAATACAAAATGTAAAATATCATGAATTCCTGGTGAAATCAGCCCCTGGGACTTAACAGGCTCTCAGAAGTCCTGTATTTCCTGATTTGATTGCTTTTAACACAGCCTAGAAAGAAAAGCCTTAACATATAATACTGGCTCTTCAGAATGCCCACACACTGACAGCAAGCCAGTTACCAGTGGCGCTTTGGGCCACCTGCCTGTCCTGGGCAGTGGTTACCAACTGGAAGCAAAGTAAAGATGGCCATGGCATGTCCACACATGAGCTGTCTTCTCAGCTTGTGCCTCCTTCAGGGCCCAGGGACCATCATCTGGTTCCTCCTGGACCCTTTGCAGACATTTCTATTAATCTTATATATGTTATTATATATACTATTATTACATATTACATATTATAATATGCAATATACAATACTATATTTTAATATCATTTTATACTATAACATATAATTATATATTAGATTAGATTATTTTATTTTATTAACTATTGTATTATAATTAATATAATTTAATATATAATAATTATATATGTATATGTTCTGCTACAAATTTCAAATGACAATAAAATACATATATCTGCATAGCAAGACCAGAAAAATAGAAATATAAGATTAACAAGCATATGAATGAAAGGAAAATCAATGGAAAAATTACCAACCAACTAAAAAAAAATCCTTGGCTATTGCTGGTATTGATCATTCAATTAAGCTCTGAACTTCCTGGAGTTTGAAGGCAGATGGAAATCATCATGTGTAATGGAATTCTCACTGCCTGATAAGTGGTATCCTCCTAAAAAAAGTCATTGCCTTTGTTTATTGAGTATTTTAACACCTAATATAATGTTTCCAACAACAATTTACAAAAGTGGCATAATGTTATATATATATATATATTTTTTTTTTTTCCACTCAAATATTTATTTAGAACCTATTATGTACCAGGAACTCTCCTTGGCTATGAGATAAACAAGATTGCCAAAGTTCCTTCTCTCACAAAACCCACACTGTGGGGATGGTACAGGAGGACGCAGATGAGCAGGACAATGGAAAAAGAGTACAAAGACTATCTTGGGCTGGCCGCGGTAGTTCACGCCTATAATCTCAGCACTTTGAGAGGCTGAGGTGGGTGGATCACTTGAGGTCAGGAGTTCAAAGACCAGCCTGGCCAACATGGTGAAACCCCATCTCTACTAAAACTACAAAAAATTAGCCAGGTATGGTGGTGCACGCCTGTAATTCCAGCTATTCGAGAGGCTGAGGCAGGAGAATTGCTTGAACCTGACAGGTGGAAGTTGCAGTGAGCAGAGATGGTGCCACTGCACTCCAGTCTGGGTGACAGAGTGAGACTCCATTTAAGGGGGGGAAAAAAAGTCTATCTTGAATGGTGTGACTACATTAGAGCACAAGAGTGAAGTATAGGCAGGTACTTCCCTTCCCCAGCCACACTGAACCCCACATGGCAGGAAAGAACATATGCTAAACGGTAATGAAAGAAACAATTTACCAAGCTTTTTCCTTAAAAATCTTGGTGATAAGAATCATGTTTTTAACAGCTATTCCACTGGAAAAATGAAAATAGCAATACTAGAGAATAACCAAAACCCTCATGATTGAAGTGAAAATAAAGCTAATTCTTGCGGAACAAAGAAAGCAGTCCAACGGCATTTTCAGCTTAATGGAAGGATTATCTTAATGGCCCAGGAATGCAGAAATGAAAAACAATGACTGTCGAAATATGGCAAACTGGTCCCTCCCACTATTTATTCCATTTGTCTCTTTATTATCTGCCCATTACCTGCCCAGGTAGCTTCTAGAATAAAAAATGTCAAGTCAGTAAAACAAAAGCATGAACTTACCTGATGCAGGCTTTAAGTACTCAGCCTCTGTTAACATACAGGAAAGGAAAAGATCTACCTTAGAAAAGGGTAGCTGTCTCTAGAGATGCTTTAAATCAAAATTAATTTTAAAATGAAGAAGAAATAAAAGCATTGACCCTCCCTGCCTTAGTTCAGGTGACTTTAATTAACCATGGAATATATTAATTTTTTAGCATAGTGTGTCCAGTAACACATGTTCAATTGTAGCTCGACTGTGTCCACTGTGCAAACCCTATAACGCCTCCAAAGAGGAGAAAACACTAACTATACACACGAAACCGTTAGGTTGAATGCAGTAGCTTTATAGACTAGATTGCTTTGATGGAATTCTATGCCAAAACTCCAAATAATTTTTGAAAATAAAAGGGTTGGGAAAAAACCAAAAAACAAAAAATGAAAATGAGCTGTTTGAATGGACTTGAAAAGCTAGTTAATGATATTAATATCATTTAGATAAAGTATTTCTGGTTTAATACAATTAGAAATTTTGGCAAGTGACCGAGTTTACTGCTTGGTCAGACCTGCTAAATTATTTGCTTTTTCCCCACTGGCACACAAATTTATGCCGTTAGCACTGGTAGTATGCTAAATTAGCCACATGTTTGGTGGAAATTTGTTTGTATATCTAAACCAATGGTTCTCAGGGGCAATTTATTCCCCCAAAGGACACTTAGCAATAGTGTCAGGAGTAGGAGTGCTACTGTTATTAGTGGGTAGAGGTGAGGGATGCTGCAAAACAGCCTGCAATGCACAGGACAGTCCACCTACAACAGAGTGATCTAAACCCTGTCCTAGACTGATCATGACGATGACTCTTTGGTTAAAGACTTGTAATTAGCAGTCATGGCCTGAGCTCCCAATCAAGACAAACTGCTGCTATTCTAATTTACAAACTCCTTGTTTTGACACCTTCAGTTGACTGCAAATTTTTAGTGGGAAAAACCTTTGTCTCTTAGTTCACCACAGTGACCTGAAGAAAGAAAGAACACCCAGAAAGTGAGTCACATCACTGTTGACTCCTGTTTTCTTTCACCATTCATTTTGAAATCTAGGCTTTGTCATGGAACCACCAATATCTTCTACTATTTTTCTCTGTGAAAAATCCAGTTCAACATCTTGTGGCTAATAAATTCCTGAGCTCAAGTTGAAGTTCTCAAATTACCACTGTGTCTTTACTTTTGGCTCACCCAAGTGGCAGAGATGGTCAATTACATAGGTGTAAGCACTGCCAGTAGGGTGAGTGGAGATGCAGTGAGGGGCACCTATGGAGGGAGAGGTGGCCATTACCTGCACAGATGATGCTGGCGTCTTCTCTGGGGCCACAGTTATGCAGGCCCCAGCCAGCATGAGGACATTGTCCCAAAAAATTCTCTTTTCCAGTACAGTCCACATCATCCAGCAGAAATTCACCTCTGCCTTCACCAAATTGAGCCTCAGCGGGGGCTGCAAGGGCACGCCCGCAGTGCAGCTGCCGGCACACCACGTCAGCTTCATTCATGTCCCACTGGTCATCGCAAACCCTGCCCCACTGGCCATGGTAGAAAACTTCCACACGCCCAGAGCACCTGCCTGATCCATTCACCAGTTGCAATTGTGGCCAGTCTTTTGGGGAAAATACAAGATTACTGCATGTTAGCAGAAGGCACATATTCTGTATTAACCTATTTGTTTCACCTTGCAATAAGCATTTATGGAGCACACACCAGGGCAGAATAGATAGTACTGTGGCTACTGTGGTTAAGCTAACAGATCCAACTCTGGCTGTCACAGAGTTTGGAGTCTAGTTTGCAAGTCTGGAGGAGGCAGTCATGTTAATCTAAAATTACATGGAGATTCGCAACTATGCTAAGTGCTAGGAGGCAGTATAATCTCATGATGTTTTGAGAGTATATAATGGAGTGGGGTGGGATTTGGGGATGTCTTTCCTAAGAGATGACAATGGATCTCAGGCTTGAAAGAGGAGTAGGAAGAAGTTACATAGACAAAGAAGGATGGGGAGAAGGACAGAGCCTTCCTCTGTGAATTAACAAAAAACAAAAAACCTGTAGAGATTTATGAGTGAAGTGAAAGTATTGGGATCCTCAGATAAAACCATTCTGTTTGGTAGTGTTTGTAGGGTTGGAGATATAACCATCCCTTTAGCAGCAAATGACCCTCCAAGCTATATCAGCCAGGAAGTTAGAAAATCTTAACTTACCACCAGGAAATGGCATTAGGATCTCAGCATCTAAGAGCAGAGAGAAATAAATGAGGTATCATTGTCATGCAAAATAGTTTACCCAAGTTTACTGGGCAAGCATCAGCATGTATGTGATGGCCTCCTGGAGCAGATGCTGAGCTAATGGCATGCTTTGAGAAATATATCCAGAAGGTTCTGATCTGTGGCAAGTGAGAAATTTATCATGCATCTAAGTCATGTACAGATCGATCTTTTAAATTGGATTATTTGCGCAAATGCATCTTCTGCCAGAAAGATAAAATGCTTATGGAACTGTATTCCTAAGACACTCATGAAGGAGAATGCTGAAGGACTCAAGTTAACAATAAAGGCTGTGCTTTTCTCATTAATCTCTGAATTTTCTGAACAGAGATGCAAAGGGACTCTGTTCTGAGGCCATAGTCACTGCCTTTCCAGCCTTAGAGGCATTATTTGGGTGTCCAAAGTTAGGATTTTCTTTAGTCTGAGTTTAATAACATTTTTGCATGATAATTTACTAAACCATATTCATGTCATCACTCCATGATTTTCTAAAATGCATTTAGACAATAGTTTGGGGAGCAAAGATTTCCTCATGGTTAAAGGCAAGGAAGTTACCTGTTTTTTCTCTTTCCTTGTTGAGTCCTTTTGATTAAATTCAGTTTGTTTTTTTTTCTGCCACTCCCCAACCTCTTGCAATGCATTATGTTGGTAAATACAATCAAAGGATTAGGGGCATTAGCAGATGTTCTGTTAAAGATGTAGTAAAGTGTGATTCTTACCAAAAGTTTGCAAGTGTTCATTTTCATACTCTATGAGAAAAAAAAGGACAGTTAAATGTAAACTGAGTCTATTGGAGATGATAAAAATTCTGGAGTGCCTGTACTTGCTAGAAGGATCTGCTGTTGCCCCATTACTAAGACTCCAGTGAAAAACTTTAGCCTAGAATTTGCCTTATGTATGATTACTTCAAAAAGGTTTAGGGCATATCTGGGAAGGAAAGACCTTTTGACTCTTCAATATTCATGGAAATGCAAACATTTTAGTGCAAACTCCACTCAGGAAGAGCCCACTACGTGCAACTAGGGTTGGGTTTCTAAGTTTCTCACCATGAGATGGGATAGAAGACCCCACAGGATAAATAGGCGTCTTCCTAAGGGACCGAGGGTACCTAATGTTTTTGAGTATTTACAACTTTGTTTTTGTATTAAAATAAATGTGGCTTAATTGTAACTTGTAAGTAAAACTGGGTGACTTTTTAAAGTAAGTAAAGGATTTCAAAGAGAGTCTGCTTAGGGCATGGAAACCTGGGCCATGCTGTTTGGGGGTATTTGAAAAACAGCAGAACTGACTAATCCATTCACATCCAGTCCTCTCACTCATGTGGTCAATTACTTATTTCCCCAATTAACATTCATCGACTTTCTCTCAACATCACTGGAGGCAGAGGGGAAGGGCACTTAAGGAAATGGAACTGGGGAAAGTGTGATCCCCAAGGATGGAAGAAGGTAGGTCCCAGCTCCTGTTTAAGTAAATTAGGGCAGTTCAGCACAGGGGTTCCTTGCACCTGGGGAGCTTGGCAGGATTTGGGGGACGTGAGCGTGTTGGGGAGGCCTGATGTAGGTGAAGAGGGTAAGGCTACTGGCAGAGCATCGAAGACGGAACTCTGAAATTTTGAAAATTTTTGCCTAGGTGCAGGGCAATTTTTCCAGAGTGTAGACATTTTGGTTCGGGAGACAGAGCACTGGATGTGGATTCCAGAGACCTAAATATTTGCTGTGCGAGTTTGGTCAAGGCATTTAACTTTGACTTTGCTTAACCTTGTCTCTGAATCCCAGTTTCCCTAATTGCAACACAAGGCTCATAAAACAAGCCCCCCCTGAATTGCCGTAAGGGTGGAACGGGATAATGAACAGGAGGTGCTCGGGAAACAGGAAGGAGCTCAGTGACTGACATCAGGGTTGTGCTTTGAGACAGACTCTTAGACAAGACCACTCGGAGACCTGTCATGCTTGGAGCACATGACCTGTGAAGGCTACAATAATGACTCAGTGAATCTGCCCAAGATTCACTTGGTATGAGATTATCCACCTCAAAAATGACAGGATACATTTAATTAACTGTAATCAGTAGAGGAGACAGTCAGAGGAAATGACTGGAAAAGAAATTAGACTAAGGCTAATACTTGGGGAAGAAACTATAGTTAACTTTGCTTTCATTATTGATGCAGCTATTAATCAATGATCAGCTAATTAACAAATAGTTACTACAATCAGTAAATTCAACTGCACATGCTTGATTCTGAAGCAGAATCAAGATTTCTTAACCTCACACTATTGACATTTGGGCTGGAAAGTTCTGTGGTGGGAGCTGTCCCGTGCATTGCAGGATATTTCGCAGCATCTCTGGCTTTTGCCCATACAGGCTAGTAGCACCCAAGCTGTAACAATCAAGAATGTCTCCAGACATTGCCAAATGTCCCCTGGAGGGCAAAATCGTGGAGAGTGTTTTTAAATTGCCTGAGGCAAGATTTATACTTAAAATATTTTGCTACCTAGATTGTTCTCAGCCCCTGTCTCCCACCTTCTCTCCCAAGGGGCCTGGTGCAGGACTTGATGCCTAAGAGAGTGGCAGTCCTCTTTCTGCCCACTGAGGCTGCCTGGAGCACCCCCATGAGGCAAAGGTAAATTCCACACAGGCCTGCTGAGGACTCACAGGAAGGGCTTTGGACAGTGTCCCGCTTGGTTCAATAATAAGGCAGGACCTAGGGGTCCAGGAGGCGGGAGGGCCTGGGGCCACCTTTGCCCTGCAGGCTGGTGAGAGGCCTTGGGAATGATAGTTTAATGGACCGGAGTTCTCCTCTGACCCCTTAATTGCTGTCCAGACGAAGCTGCCTGCAGTGGGAAAGGTCCCAGCCACAACAGGCCCTTGTCTTTGCAGTCAGCAGGAGAGGTGAGGCGCCTGCTAGCTGGCAGTCACATGTAAGTCCATCCCACAGAATGGGGACGTTGTGTTCACTGCTGCATCTCTACAGGCTTTGGCAGTAAATATTGTTGAATGCTTAGCTCCTGGCCACTTGGTAATGGACCTAATCCTACTTCCTAGCATGTTGGGTTTGGGAGGAATTGGCAGGGGAATGGGGGAGAGAAAGACACCCCCTCTGACCTCACAGTTGTCTGCAGCTGAGCAGCAAGGAGGAGCCTTTCTGTTCCTCCTCCTCCTCCTGCTTCTACACCTTGCCCCATCACCCAAAGTCGGTTTATCAGAGACACAGCTGCTCACTTTCTAGAGGGTTGATTTCCTCAAAAAGAAGTATCAACACAGCCTTGTGGGCAGCCTGCTTTTCAGGCTGTGGAATGACAAGACAGTGAATCAGAACTGACAGACGCCTCGTCCTCACAGCAGTACAGCAATAGGCATTATCATGATTGTCATGACGACCATTCTCAACTTGTTAGGTAAGAGGAAAATGATGTGCAAAATGCCACATTAAGCTCAAGGGGGCATGAGGTTTGGGGAAGGGGGAATCATAGAGAAATTTTCATCGGGGTGGGCCTCAACCAGGTCCCATGGGCCCTGCCCTTCCATTGACGCTCTGCTGTCTCTGTCTTGAAATTCTTAACACTTTTTGAAAGGGGGGCCCACATTTTTGTTTTGTATCAGGATCCACAAATCATGTAACTTTCCTGCAGCTGGACTAAGGCTTTTCATTTCAAATCGAGCATTCTTCCCAATATGATTATCTTTGGCTTCTGAAATAGACACAGAGGACTGGGGTTAGAGTTCGAGTGTTCAGCTGCTTTAGAAATATCACAGAGGAGTCGGCTTTAGAGTGAGTGTCTTTCTTGGGAAGAGTGGTTGAGGGCCTGGGTGGACAGGGGTTTCATACTAATGAAATCGTACATTACAAAGGCATTCTCTCATGTTGGGGAGAAACGATGAGCCTCAGGGATTGATCAGAAAAAAATGAAAAATCAACTTTCAGAAAAGATAGAAATTTACCTGAGCAGATGACACCAGCGTCTTCCCCGTGCCCACAGTTGTGGGTAGACCAGCCGGCATGGGAGCACTCCCCCAGGTAGGCCTCAGTCCCAGAACACTGCATGTCGTCCAGAAGAATGGGGCCGGAGCCCTGGCCAAAGTGGGCCTCTCCAGGGGCAGAGACGGCTGCCCCGCAGCCCAGCTGCTGGCACACCACCTGTGCTTCCTTCTCGTCCCACAGGTCATCGCACACCGTGCCCCACACACCTTCAAAATACACCTCGACTCATCCTGAACTCCTTCCAGAACCTTCCACGAGTTGCACAGCAAGCCAGTCTTTGGAAGAAAGGCAGTCCCCCAACCTCCACTTAAGTGTTGGTGAAGGGAGTCATCTTTCCCACCACCTCCTCATGGTCACAGTAACAACTGCTATTTACTGAGCACCATCTGTCCTCCTGGCACTGGGCTCAACCCTGTAGAGCTGACATCTTTTTAAGGCTCACGACTCCCTTGTAGGGTGTTATTGTCCCCATGTTACCAGGGAGGAGATAGGATACTGACAATGGCAGCAGCTTCCCGAAGGTCATGTTGTTAGTGAGGGGGCAGAAGGAAAACACTGTTGGATCTCCTAGGGCTCTCCTGTTCCGGGTGGGGTCATCCATGGGACCATGTTAGTTTTGCCCTGTGATGAGATGTCAGGCTTTGCTTTTCTTTTCTTAGAAGTGCCCACCCTGGCAAGAATACCTGCATCTAAGAAGCTCTCAGACTCTGGGCTTCTTGATATTTTAGCTTAGAAAGTCTCTCTTGGATTCTTGGATAATTTTCACCATGTCATTGTCAGTGTTGAGTGTTGAGTGTGGATGAAATGCAAGTGCACAGCAGATACTAGCACTGTTCTTTTTTTTCCCCAAAGATGCTGCTGCCCTCTCCTGTCACCTGGCACCTGCAGTTCCCCTCTCCTAGTACTTTGATGGGCGTGATCCAACTGGCTACCCACAGGAGTCTCCGGGGATAGCGAGGCACCTAGGATGCTTGGGCTTCGGAGTGCGAGGGCCGCGGCTGGCCTCTGGGTTTGCATCTCAGCTCTGCCACAAGCTAGCTATGCAATTTGTATGGGCCACTTGAGCCCTTGCTTTCCTCATCTGTCAGGAATAATTGTACGTGCCTCAAAGGGGATTCGTGAAACAAATACAGATAAAATGCCTGGCACAGAGGGAACACTTAGGAGCTGGCAATTTTTATTACCTTCATGTTAAGAGCCAGTAATAAGAGAGACAGATGTAAATGCCCAAGGCTTGCTGCTGAGGGACAGCAGGGGACTGGTGGGTATCCTGCTGTCTTTCCCTTCCCAATGGCCACAGGGTAGTGCTTCTCAAAGTGTGACCCTCACACAAGCTGCCAAGTCATTTGAATCTCTAAGAGGGTTTGCTAAACATGCAGATTCCTGAAGTGCACCCCGTGTCTGGGAATGGGGGCCAGGATTTTACATGTTCAGTAAACTCTTGGGATGGTTATCATACATCCATCGTTTAAGAACTCCTGAAATAGAGACCCTTAAGTCAGGTGTTTTTCTTTGTTTGTTTGTTTGTTTTTGAGACAGAGTCTTACTCTGTCAACCAGACTGGAGTCTAGTGGCACAATCTCAGCTCATTGCAACCTCTCCTTCCCGGGTTCAAGTGATTTTCCTGCCTCAGACTGTCAAGTAGCTGGGATTACAGGCATGCACCACCATATCAGGCTAACTTTTTTTTTTGTATTTTTAGTAGAGACAGGGTTTCGCCATGTTGGCCAGGCTGGTCTTGAACTCCTGACCTCAAGTGATTCGCCTGCCTCAGCCTACCAAAGTGCTGGGATTACAGATGTGAGCCATGAGTCCCAGCCAAAGTCAGTCTTTAATGTATAAGAACCGTGAAGTTAAACAAAGATCTGAGAGCATCTTTGTCTTGTTAAGCAGAAATAAAACTGGGGTGTCATTCTTTGTGGAGACGTGTGACTTGCCTGGCTGGGTGGGGACTGTCCATTCCTGGGGACAGTCACATCCTCCGCCCTGCAGGTCCCACCTGCCCTTGGCCCCTCCTCCTCAAGGCCAAGGGGAATGTCTGGCTGTGACTCACCTTCTTGCTGAGTTGCAGGGGCACCTTGGACAGTGCTTCTTTCAGAGTGTGGGTTCCACAGCCTTCCTCTGGATCCTCCCACATTTTTCCTGGAGCAAACTGAGATGCATCAGACACGTTAGAACCCAGCAGGGATCCTGAGCATGGCCTAAGACAGTGGCCTCACGGGCCCCACCCCAAACCCACTGGCTCACAGCTGCAGCAGAGGGGGCCTGGGAACCTGAATGGTCAATAGTTCACGTGATTCTGTTGTGCAGCCGAGCTTGGGGACCAAAGTTCTACAATCACTTCTTCCTAATCTCTTGCCTTGGTGTGTAATTGGTTTTATGACTCTTCCTCTTATTCAAGTATATGTGTGTACCAGTTATTCCAATTTTGTGTCAGCTTGTATACTTTATTACACATCTTTAGCTATCTGTACTTAATCATGGCATTTGCTTTAAGTAAACTACAATTTACACATAAATTCAACCATGCTTTTTAGTTCATTTGATGTGTACTAATATCTCATGGGTTTGTCATTTTTCAGGCATTTTTCCCTTTTTGTGTTTTTTTTCTGTTTTTATTTTTATTATGTATTTTTTTTCTTTTGGGGGGTTATTTAAGTAAAATTAATTAATTCTACATTTTCGGATTTGTGCTTTAGGGTAACTTTGGTAAGAGAGGAGGTATTTGGCTAGTGCACACAAGCACAGCAGTTCTTTTAAAAACTGGTTTCCAACTCTTTCTGGTTAGATACAAGAGCTTTCATCTGACCACTGTCACTGCCACAGGGCCAAGGGAGAGGGAGGGTCTGGGTACAGGGACAGCTGTCAGTGTGGCCCGCTGTGGGGGAGCTGACCAGACAGAGGCCACTGATGCCACTGGATTGGCAATTAAAGGCCAGTACCTTTGTGTCTTAAAAAGAGCAGCTTCGGAAAGGAGTTGAGGTGAAGCCAGGGTGACTGATGAGAATAAGAAGTCAGGACCAACTCAGCGAGAAGTCTTGGATGTGAAACAAGAGGAATTTCCATGAGGGGCTTGGCAGGGTGACTGAAACCCAACTCCCGGTCTTTGATGTAGAAGGTCAACCTCTTCTCAATCTGGAGTAAGGTGAGATGCAGACACACTGCCCATGTATCCCCCAGGGCTGAAGTCACTCTCCCTCCCAGGCTGCGCAGTGCACCCTGCAGAATGTCCGGGGTGGCCTCAGGTAGGGAAGTGGTGCTGGGTGCTGGGCAGGCGGTCTGAGGAAGCGTTTGGTCTGTTTTATAGTGTTCAGGGAAATGTTTACAATAAGAGATAAGGAGCCAGGAATGAGGGAAGATTTAAGACTAGGCAAGGAGATAACTGGTAGCTCAGTCAGGAGAGGGCAGCACTGTGGGCAAGGGCTGAGGTGGGCAGGGTTTTGGGATGGGATCAAGGACGCAGAGTGAACGAAACAGGTTGGTCGTATGTGGTGAGTGTGTGTGTGAGAGACATTGTGAATAAATGTGTGAGAGTGTGTGAATGAATATGAGTGGTGAGTGTGAGTGTGTGAGTGGTGAGTGTGTGTGTGAGAGAATTTGGGTGGTGTGAGAGAATTTGGGTGGTGTGAGAGTGTGTGAGTGGTGAGTGTAAGTGTGTGTATGTGAATGAATGTGAGTGGGGAGTAAGAGAGACAGTGTATGTGTGCGAATAAATGTGAGTGGTGTGTATGATTGGTGAGTGTGTGGTGTGTGTGAGTGAATGTGAGTGGTAAGTGTGAGTGTGTGTCAGTGGTGTGTGTGTATGTGAATGAATGTGAGTGGTGGGTGTGAGTGTCAGTGAGTGGTGTGTGTGTATGTGAGTGTAAGTGATGGGTGTGTGAGTGGTGTGTGTATGTGAGTGAATGTGAGTGGTGAGTGTGGGTGTGAGTGTGAGTGGTGTGTATATATGTGAGTGAATGTGAGTGGTGTGTGTGTATGTGAATGAATGTGAGTGGTGAGTGTGAGTGTCAGTGGTGTGTGTATGTGAGTGAATGTGAGTGGTGAGTGTGGGTGTGAGTGTGAGTGAGTGGTGTGTATGTATGTGAGTGAATGTGAGTGGGGGTGTGAGTGCATGTGTGTGTGAATGGTGTGTATGTATGTGAGTGAATGTGAGTGGTGGGTGTATGTGAGTGAATGTGAGTGGTGAGTGTGGGTGTGAGTGTGAGTGAGTGGTGTGTATGTATGTGAGTGAATGTGAGTGGGGGTGTGAGTGCATGTGTGTGTGAATGGTGTGTATGTATGTGAGTGAATGTGAGTGGTGGGTGTGTGTGTGAGTGGTGTGTGTGTATGTGAGTGAATGTGAGTGGTGAGTGGTGGGCGTGTGAGTGGTGTGTGTGTATGTGAGTGAATATGAGTGGTGAGTGTGCGTGGTGTGTATGTATGTGAGTGAATGTGAGTGGGGGGTGTGAGTGAATGTGAGTGGTGTGTGTATGTGAATGAATGTGAGTGGTGGGCGTGAGTGTGAGTGGTGTGTGTATGTGAGTGAATGTGAGTGGTGGGTGTGAGTGTGAGTGTGAGTGGTGTGTGTGTGAGTGAATGTGAGTGGTGAGTGTGAGTGTGAGCGAGTGGTCTGTGTGTATGTGAATGAATGTGAGTGGTGGGTGTGAGTGAGTGGTGTGTTTGTGTGAGTGTGTGTATGTGAACGAATATGAGTGGTGGGTGTGAATGTGCGTGTGTACAGAGTGGCTCTCAAGGCTGCAGCCTTGCAACAGGGGTAGGCGGTGTGCTTTCTACCAAGCGTTTGGCCAGAGGTACTTGGGACCACAGGGCAGCTGTGCAGATCCAGCTGTGATCTGACACCTGGAATCTCCAGCTGACCATGGTGCCAGGGCTGGGAGTCCCTGTCTGAGGAGGCAGCGGCAGGGCTGAGAGCATGGGTGAGGTCTGTGGGGGTGACAGAAGGAGGCATTGTGGTCAGTGTGGGGCCCAGGCAGAGCAGTGCACACAGCTGAATGGATTGTAAATTGACCATAATGGGGTTATAGAGACTTTTTAATGATTTCACTTGCATTGTGTTGATTAGATAAATTCTGTGCCAGGGAACAATTGCATTATCAGAAATAGCCTTTCACTCTCTGATGGTCAACAAGTTCCCCTTTGTCTTCACTTCTCATGTAAATCACCCTAATATCAACTGCGCTCCAATGGTCTGCCAGTTCCCCAAATCTCTTCTAGCATCAAAGTGACCTGCATGGAACTGCAGTGGTGTCCCTGGGTGGTTGTTTCCAGATGGTCTCACTGGCCCCATTGTCTGTGAGACTCTTGTGCAATCAGCACCAGGAGCCTAGAAAAGCCTATTGGGCCATATCGTATCACTAATGCATGAGTTCCCGGAAGCTCAAGAGCACCCGCTCCATAAACTCTGGGGCGATGTCCACATCTTGGGGGAGAGGTGCAGTGACAGTACAGGTGGGCATGAAAGGGTTGGAAAAGGGGCAAGGATGAAGGAGGCACCAGGAAGCTGGCAAGAAAATGGCCCCATTGATAACTGAGACTTGCCAATGGTGTCTGTAAGATTAGCTGAGCCTCTCAAATATCCCTAGATTTTCAGCCACTTAGGGGAAGAAGCCTCATAATCCTATTGTTTTTATTCTGAGAAAGATCTCATAAGTGGAGATCAGCCAAGGGTGTGATGTTCTTGTTCATTGTGTTTTGTTCATTTTTTTCAAACTAGTGATGGAGCGTTCTCTACTGTGCCAGCCACTGTGCTAAGAAATGGGCCCAGAGTAGAGCAGCGTGTGCCCTCAGCCTGGGAAATGCTCTAATGTTTGGTGGTAAGCTTGCAAATTTCAAAGAAAGCAGAATAAGGCAGGGAAGAGGAGAGCTGAATATTGTTGTAGCTGGATTATCGAAGTGCCCAGTGTAATAGTAGTCCTCATTTGGGTGCTTTTTCCATTGGGAATTGGTTTTTCACTGTGATGTGAGAGAGGAGAAGGGATTTGGGACAGTTGGGACCAGAATGAGGCTGATTTTTGCTTTAAGGGACCCTTTCTCTGCTGTTCCCAATAGATTACTAGTTATCAGGGTGTAGTCTTTAGAGAAACACTGAATTTTGGAGTGGTTTTCTTTCTGGCTCCCAGAAATCATTAAAGTCCTTGCAGATTGATAATTGTCTATTTTGGGTGTTCCATCTGTCTAAGATCCTTTGGATACTTGATTCCAAAGAGATTAAATCATAGACTGATTCCACTTCCCAAGAGTAGCAGTACATTTCAAGTAAGGGAAGGAGCCTGGGAAAGCGGGGCAGAGATGACCGAGATTCATTCTGAATTGGTCCAGGATCACTTTCTCCTATGACCTACAATTACGTCCCCAAAGCTGACACTTTGTCACTTTGAGCACCATCAAACTAGAATCATCTTTGCCATGAGTGGCACAAACGTGATGAATGTGAATTTTGAATTCTCTCAGAAATTTCCAAATTTTTGCTATGCTTCAGAAAACTCGATCAATTTCCATACACATTTGGCATAGCTTATAAATTCCCAAGTACTAAACTGCATAGTGTTGATCTACTAGAAGACAAGAACTCCTTTCCTGCCATATGTTTTTAAAATATTGAATCCATTACTCAAAACTTGTTACTAAAATGTCAAAAGGGGAAAATATCTTGGTTTCCCGGGGAATGGATGTATCATGGTAAAATGTCGTATTCTGAATCTGATAATCTGTATTTTCATCTCTTCTAGGTTTAAAATACCTATAGTTTATAATTTACAGTGTCTATAATAACAGTTAACATTGACTGAACATTTTCTATGCCTAAAGCACTCTTCCAAGGATTTTACAAACATTTCATTAAATCCCCCAAACAATCCTGTGAATTATATTCTTTTTACACGAGAGAAATAGCAGCACAGAGAGATTTAAAAACTTGTCCAAGTTCACTGGGCCAAAAAGTGCCCAGTTAGCACTTGAATGATCCAGATCTTTCTGCCCTAAACCCCATATTTCCAAGCTGAAACCTCATTGGACAAATGGATAAGAAACGAGGCTTAGAAACTCAAAGGATTAAAAAAATTATTGAAATCCTTCCTAATAATCTAGTATGTTTTAATAAGTGTTTGAATATTGGATATAAACATACTCATACAATTATGTGCAGAACAAAAAAAGAGTTTGAACATATTACAAACTGTAAAGTCAATTGCTATTGTGTGGTGGGTGAGTTATGTTTTTCCTTTACAGTTAATAAGAATGATATTCAAACTACTTGTTGGTCAAGGGTAGTTCCAAATTTTCGTTTGTTAGTACAAGTGGGACATTAATATTTTCCCCCAATGTCACAAAATAATGATAAAAATTATTGAAGTTATGTAGATATTTTAAATTAGTTTAGTTCCAAGTTAAATTTAAAATTTCCTTAAGAGGACTAGATATGGAATACACATTAAAACCAAGAATATCAAATTGATCAATCTATTTTTATAGAAAGGTACAGGTTTTCAGATTAGAAGGTGTCATGACTGAAGTCCAGATAATTTTATGTTATGTCAAGTATTTCAAGCTAAGATTTTTTTAGTGGTACGTTTTATACCTCCATTCAGCAACAATAAAAAAATCATGACTGTAATTCAATACTCCTAGTGCTAAATATCAATACATAAACCAAAGAACATTTTAAGAACCCTTATTGGATTATATCATAGTCAAGTATTCTTTCTTTGTCTATTTCTATCCAGAATCTCACAATAGAGCTATGATTTTAAAGAGCAATAAATTGGCTAATGCTTTGCTCACAAAAAACAAATCTTACAGAAAATATTCAATCAAACTTCCCTAAAATCAGTTATGATTATGCATTCAGCGATCATCACAGCAATATCTCATCAGTGGTTGAATTACATTAAGCAGAGTAAAAGCTCTATCTACATTTAATTTTAAGCTGTTGTGCTGGTGGCCTACATACAAATAACCATACTTTCCCTTTCAAGCTTGTAACAAGGCATGAGTAAAATGAACCTGTGCATCAGCTGTAGTACCTGCTTCAGGTAGAATAATGGCATGGAAGAACAGCAGCCAAAGGAGGAGGGCTTGGCAGCCCATGTTGGGGGGACTTCCAGTTACAGCAAAACCTGGAGTTTCAGCTTTATATACTCTCCAAGTTCACCTGTTGGAGGTGGGTCAGTGCAACCTGATGCTCTTCTCAGGCTTGGATTGGCAGGCATTCAGACCAGCACACTCATTTGTTTTGGCATATTGTGTGTATTTGCTATGGGAGAAAGGGTGATTCTACTTGTGAGAGGCATTCCACAGAACAGTTGAAAGTTAAAATCATAGAGAAGAAGAGTCAAACCATGTGGTGGTACCTGGCTAAGCAGATGGGCCCTCCTGACCCTTCTCTCCTGGGGAAAGAGGTCACCAGGAACCCTGGATCTCATGGAGGGCATCACTTCTTTTGGCATGTGGCTGTTCCCAGTAGACCGCTGCTGAAATTCTACTTGTCTTTAAATGCCCACACACTGCCTCTCCTCCTCTCTTGAAGTTTTCCTCTTATTTCCCAACTACATGTGTTTGCACCCTTCTCTAATTCTACGACGTCCACTTGGCACAGCTTTTATATTCTGCCTTGATTGTAATTAATACCTTAATACATTCTTAATCACTCTTAATAAATCCTGTCTTGACTGTCATTACTAGTGTTTTAGTCTGATTCCCTCCATTATCTTGTAAACTTCGAGGGCAGAACTTCTCTTTATATTGTTTATATCCTTACTTATAATATTGCTTACTTATGGCAGGCTTAGCGTGATGCCTTTTACTTAAATCTTTGTTGAATTGAACTTTGCAGTACACAGGGATATCTGATGTTCTATAAATTATTACTTCCCTAACACATATTTTTCTCTTGACTTAGATTATTGCTTTATATAATAAACTATCTCATAATCTCAAATAATTCTTAGTCGTCTAATAGAGGAACCCACCTTCTCTAGCATATGTCTAACTCCATATCCCTGTGAATGAAACAAAAAGCCAAGGTGTTTTAGACCCAGTGGGTTCTGGGTTGTGAGACAGAGTTGCAAAAAAAATATTTTTCCAATCTGAATATTCTAATCTTATTTATCAGGACCACTTGGCAATTTGGGTACATCCAATGTGTTGGTCACTACATCCAGCAGGAATGGTTTCCGGGCTTCTCTTGTGTGTGGAATATCAAAGATTAGATAGGTCCACACTTGGTCATGATGGCAAAAATAGGGTCACAGGTGAAGTAGAAGAGGGGTGAGTGTTGGGGCTTAGGTTTGAAGGGCCTGCATCTTGTTTCTTCCATTGTGATTTGGGGCAATCCACTTAGCTTCACTGAGCCTTAGTTTCCTCATCTAAAAAGTGAGATAATACTATCTGCTCTGCTCTGCTTAGTGGGTTGCTGGGAAAACAAAATTAGGCGTATATAAGAGATTTATACATTATACAACCAAGAGGATTTCTCAATAGATATCTTTACAACAGAGATTTTGAGCTTTTCTGACAATACCAATATTAAGTTGTAAAATAAATTCAGCCAAATTTAGTGAAGGTAGGGAAAAAAAGGCATAGAAGGAGAGAGGGTATTACACAGGCAAAAATAATTGTAGCTGATACATCTCACAGACCAAAAGTGAATATTTATTCTCCCATAACTTTTCCTTAGAAGACTATAGAATGATAAGTCAAAATGAGTCCCAACCATTTCAGGCTTATTCTTGGTAAATCCACATGTTCCCTTTCCTCCTCATGCCTAAAAGCATAAAACACATTGTAGCCCTTGGCAGAGAATCCTGGTTCCTGGGTGTTGACTTCCATTCATGCTGCCATCATCTGAGATAGATGTGAGTTATTTTGCATCCTCAGACATGGTCATCCCCCCACCCTGGTACTTGCTGAGGTGTCAGTGGCTCTGTCTGGTCTCAGGTTGCAGGGTCCTTGCTGCTTTGTTCAGCAGCTGATCATACATTTTGTAACTTTTATTCGTTAACATGATGAAAATAATATTCGCTAAAGAAAATTATAAAGTACCTGAAAAACTGCAGAAGGAAATAAAACCAATACCTCTATGTTACACACTGTTAGTATATTTCCTTTAAAGCTCTCAAACAAAATGTGTGATTTGTTGTTGCTGTTGTTAGTTCATCACTAATTTTGGACTTGCACCTTATGGTGGTATGGTTCTGTGCACTGTGTTTTTCAAACTTTTCATTATGCAATGAGACATTTCCAGTTTAAATGTTTTTTAAAACATAACTATGATTCTGAACAGCTGCATAGTATTTCATTGATAGAATGCTGCATAATTCATTCCACTCTTCTTCTATTGTTGGCTACTGGCATTATTTCCAGCATTTGAATGAATTAGATGCATTTTAAAGCAACGGATTGTTGAAGATCAGCAAATTGTTTCCAAGTAGCCTCTGCTGCATTCCTAGTCTTGCGGTGGTCCCTGCACAGCTGACTCCACATCCATTTCACTTTGGCTTCTCCCTGGAGCCTCTCGATGCGTCTCCTGTCTTTGCTGGAGCCTGTGTCTCTAAGGAGCAGGTTGCTTTTAGTACTGATGGGGTGCAAGGGACGCGTCAGTGGAGGAGAAGCTGCTTCTGAAAAGTGATAAGAATTAACAGGAAACTCCTACTTTCCATCGTTTACCGTCCATAGAAACAATAGATTCCTTCACTGGAATAAAATGCAGACAGGTTGCATTATGTTGACATTTAAAGAAATTGAGACTCCTTGTTCTTTATGAGTGTTCAAAAGAAAACATTCCTTTCATCTGTTCCCATTTCAGCCCAAAGCCCGATTTATTCTACTAGGTTTGTGCCCAACTTGCAGAACTTCACTGGTCATTCAGGAAGTTAGATCCAGGTAGAAGGCAGAGGTCATGGATGCAATCCTGCAGGGATTGGTTGGCCTCTTGGTTCCTTGGTCTCAGGTTGTCTGATGAGGACTGTCTGCTGAGGGGCTGACCCAGAACTGCTGACAGTTACTGAGTGCTCCCTGCGGCTCCCGATTGTGCTTGGTGTTTTACACACGTGTCACTCAGCCCTCCCCAACCTATAGGAGGAGGATGTGGTGTGTTGCCCACATGTTGCAGATGTGGGGATTGTAAAGCTGACTTGGTAGGGTGCCAGTTTGTCATTGCCTCCTTGATGTCTAGATCAGTGGGACTCAATTAAGATTTATTTTTAAAAATGAATTTGTAGAAGTTCACATAGCTTGCTAGAAGTGCAGGCCAGATTTTAATCCAGGGATCCTGACTCCTGCTGGTAGAAGGCAAACAAATTGTTTGGCTGCATCAGCACTAGCTGCAGCCTACGGTTGGAAAAAATACCCACCCTGCAAGATAGTGGTCAGGGGTAAGATGTTTGTGCAAGAATACATATTTTACCTGAGATAACTGGGACTGAGTTTATTATACCATTATTTATATTTATGTCACCTTCCAGAAAAAGAATCAAAAGCTTTGATAAAAGTGCAAACAATCTAACAAGATATATAGTTTTAAAGCCACTAAGTAAGGAAATGGGAGAAACAAAAATAAAAGCAGGAGAAATAAATGGAAGCCAAGTAAATAAAAGCAGGAGAAATAAATGGAAGCCAAGTAAATAAAAGCAGGAGAAATAAATGGAAGCCAAGTATAGAAGTGAGAAACAGGAAAATTGATTAAAAGAATAAACTACACTTGAAAGGGGGCATTTGCTACAGGAATAAAGTAAAATAAGCATTCTGTGACTCCTTACGTTTGCCTAGTATTTATTTACTGCTCTGAGTGTTTCACATTCATTATTTCATTTTCATTTTCTAAATAGTTCTGTAGGTAAGCAGAACATATAGTCTTACCTTCATTTTATAGATGTGAAAACTGAGACAGGGAGAAGCTGACTAAGCCCAAGGACAGCTGGTGAGAGAGTGAAGCTGTGGAATAAGAACTCAGGTTGGCTGGTTCTCATGTTCTCCATCTCCATATCTTTTTTTTTTTTTTTTTTAGTTTGTGTTTTTTCAGAAAGCCACAGGAGACACAGTATCTCTTGATAAAAAGCAAGTGAGTACTCTTTCTCTCTAAGGTGGATTGTAACTTTTATAATTTCTGGTTTTAGTTTTAACCAGGTGTGTAACACTAGGTAAGAGATTATGGTTGTATCTATGATGGTCATTGTTAAACAGCTCTACCAACCCAGCTACCTACCTTTTCCCCTTGTACAGAATGTGGCCCACCTGGGCCTGTGAAGCAGATGCCAGCTCTCTTTCCTATGCCAACTGTATAAAGGGGTGGCACTCTATAAAAGATTATCTTTTTTTTCAAATAGGATGATAAACATTTTAATCCTCAAGTGATAAAAAGATAATCTTGATATAAGTATACTTCTGTCACATAAACCAGCCAACAGCTAATATTATAAAATGTGGTCCTGCTAGAAATTTTAAACTTTTATTACTTGATAAGCCATCAAAATCAAATAGATTTATCTCCTTGCTAGAATAGAGGTTGTATTTCTATGACAAAGGCACAGTAAAGGCAAGCTAGCCTAGAAACTACTTTGACTGGTACTTCTGAACAACTTTTTCTGAGTAAATAGTGATCTCAGATGACAATTCTGATAAAACTCACAACTCTAGTGCTATTCCTACATGACAAAGCCATTCACAAGATGCAAATGATAGTGCCAATAAATACACAGAATTGGCAGCATCCTATAGACTGAATTCAAAGTACCTAAGTAGAATAAATTGGTTTGCTTTTTAAAAACTTATTTTTTGAAGAAAATATTTTTTAAACAAGAGAAATTGAATGTACAAGATTTTAAGCCATGGAAAGTTATATTTTAGTCTCTAATATTCAAGATTTTCCCCAAAGAGTCACACAAACTGATTCATTATGACTTGCTGTCTGCTGGGTATGAATAGATGTTCGTGGTTCTTTTTCTTAATCCTCCTGTTTTTCTGAGCTGCACTTTCTGCTTTGCCATCATCAGCATCTTGAGCTTCTGTATCACAGTTATCTTTGTAATCTTCTCCTATGAAGTAGCTATTGATTATGGCACTACACAGTCATCGAGAAAGTGCCCCTATGT